GATAGCTTGACGTATCAGTAAGTAGGTTTGTGTTATGGGCCCTGACATGATGTTCCAATCAGCTATCGCTCAGACCTTGAGAGCTTGTCCCTAAAGTCATTTGAATACTTAAAAGTATATATGACGGTTTCCCCCTTTCCCCCCTGCAAACCGAAGAAAGTGCCTCGAGTATTTCAGACTTGAAATTCTTGCTTTTTTTCACGAAAAGGTGAGCCTATAAGGTGTATTATAAAAACTAGCAATACCGCATAATGGTTTGCCACTACCATAAGAAAGCAGTATCTATGTAAGAACTCAGTCTACGCTTCAGCATCTACTAAGGCGTTTACACTGGTGAATTGTTTTTTGTGAGCTGACATACATTTGTTGCACCCTATTCGCCACAGGCTAAAATACCAACAATTAAAGAAGGGATGTTGTCTTATGGTGGGTTGGACCACCGGGCTATATACCCACACCATCGAGCCGCACTATGACCTAACACGTGAAAGAGTGATTCATTAGAGGTTCAAACACTAGCATCACTCTCCAGTGGAACAAAGGACGACAGTAATAGGAGCAGGGCATGGATTTGGTGACATCGTTCAACATGGCTGAAGTTCGCACCAAGATCATAGAAAATAACTCGCTGTTATCTTAGGGGGGTAGCCCCTCCGCCACTTATTCTCTATTGTTGAGCCATAGGCCACTCCTAGGCTGAGATCCGATAGGAGATACAACAGTTTTAAGTCATTAGGTGATACAATCTGCGTCGTTAGGTTACACCTTAATTACTGATCACACTAACTACACTAATAACGCTAATATAGTAACAGAAGTAGGGTTTCAGCATTCCAGGACAGTGTTGTGTGCTCCACGCTTGAACACTCTATTAGACCAGAACTACGGGTGGACGACCAAGTAAAGTTGGGTTCAGATTTACCTCAGTATATTTATAGTTCCTCCTTTTAGGGACCTATTCATCACAGCAAGCTACTTAATTAACCATACAATAGTCGCATAGCAATCAGGAAATGGCAACAACAATGGCGTCTTTAACTGAATCCTGAAGAATTAGCACTTCAACTAGTTCAATTGAGGCTAAAACTATATACCGCAGCGTCTAATCTAACCAGATGTTATCAGCAAAAGGGCTAGAAACTTAGGAAAGAATCATGTTCTCTGGAAAAATACAGGACTCGGAAGCAGCACCTATAACGAGAGTAATGTGAGTACATCCAGGCAAGATAACATGCCTTAGCAACATAACATGGCACACCCAATTCATTCCACTCGAGTTATTATTCTACTGGCACAAAGCCGGCCATTTTTTAGTGAACAAACTGATAGCATTCATTCATGCCTACACACAAATGTGCTCATATCACGACAACCAGAGCTTCTAATTCATTTCATTACTATCTTCACAATCTCGTCAACAAACTGAAATCCCTAATCTCTTTAACCAAAATGATGTAACTAGTGGGCTGCGGGATTGTTGGGGGAGCGCATGAAAAAATCAGTAATTGGGGTGGGAGTCCACAACTTTGAGCCTCTCAAAACACAGCTCGTCTCTATTAATCATCCACAGCAAGTTTAGCCAGTAAGTACTGGTCACCATTAACTATTGGTACGTCCCCCAAGACGACTCTTGAAACTATAACTATCCAACCAGCAACCTAATACTGTATTTGTAACAACACAAGCTAACACAACGTGTGCGCATCGCTATGTACGTGATTGTCTCAATTGGTGCGGGAGTCAGACCCAGGGATCTTTGTTATGCTTCTGCTGCGAATCCACAAGTACACAACGGTAGAGAAGGGAGGAGTCAATACACAGAGGACACAGGACTTTCCTGGGCTAAGGGATGATCGAGGACTCGTGCTCCGCAAACCTCTCAGCAGGTTTCTTTTTTTATAGGCGAGCGGAGTATGAATATGGGACCATGGCCTCCTTGTGCCATATTGACGATTGATCACTCACACTTATAAAAGTAGCCCAATTGTCCTCAATACAGGGCCTGTACATTAATGCCTTTTATATAGCACAAGATGGCTACACCAGGAAGGTCAGACACAGACAGCTCCTTTTTTCATTCCCCTCTGCTTTAATTGAGACGTTGTTTATATAGTGTCATTTTCAAGCCCACATGTTTTCACTAAATAATCGGGCATAATCCGCTTCCTGGGCCGTTGTTTGAGCACCACCTAATCACTGCGCTAATGTTGAACAATCTTGGTCATTAAGGATTTGACATGTGTGTGTAGGGGTTGTAAAAACAAGTGGATACGACCTGGCTGTATAGCTCATGGGTGCGCTGTCGCGATGCTCTGGGAGCCTGCTCAGAGACACTACTCCCATACGGAGTAAATTTGTACAACACAAGCGTCATGTGCAACTTGAGTGCACTTAGCAATTCGTCTGGGAGTAAAAAGAAGAGAGCAATGATATATTGTAGAGTCATATATGGTCACAAGACAGAAGTGAGGAAAGAAGCAGAGAAAGGGTGGCAAACCCTCAGGATCTGACAGTCACAAATGAAAAAAAGCAAGGATTCACTTCGGTATCAATTGTCCTCTTGTGGAGAATATCTCTCGCCTCGTCACATCCACAAGTCCATCCTTCTTGCACCTAAAGGCATGACATGACGACATATATATCTCGTTGCCATCAGCGTGGCATTTTATGCACTTATGGTCACATGCATGGCATAGTTATATAACCTCCAGGACAATTGAGTTGAGAGTAAATCACTTTCTGCACGAAGTGAAAAGGAAATGGTTGTGAGAACACACTACACACGATAAGGAAGTGACAAAGTTCTAGCTTGATTCACAGTAGAAAGTTCAATTTATATAGATATGGAGAGAGAGACCGAGATTACAATGGTGTTCAGAGGCATTGGCTGTTGAGGACATTGGGCGTGACCATCTAGAGTGCATTCGTACTATGATTGAGGGTGAAGCCCCAGGCAGGTTGAAGGTTGGGGAAGTGATGTGCCCTACCACTTGCTTCTCTCAGCATGCGATAAGAACGACATGAGAGAGCGAGTACAGCGGTATTCGTTATCTTGCCGCTGCATCAATACTATCCATCTGGTTAGTAGCCATATAAGCGACGTCCGTACACTACTCCCGGACTGAGGTGTGATTTAAGTGACTAAGACTTTGATATCAACGCTCACTAGCCTTTGTGTGCTTTTATCACTAGTAATTTAAGCACAACAATCACTGTTCTCAACTATAGCTATGGATAGCCAAATGCGTGACCTTTGGGCATACAGGTCTTGGAAGGAGACTTGGAGCGGAAGCTCGTCAAACGCTACTTGAGAAAGTTTAGTCAGTCACGAATACGGGCGACATGTAATTACAAGGTTGAGCAAGGAATACGCAGTCTAGCTAGCTTATTTCCTGATTTTTCCAATTTTGTCATAAAACAATCGAATGTTGCGTATCAAAGTTCCATCACAACATTTCTGCTATGTTTAATTGCATCTATAATTGTGTACAAAAAGAGCTAGCTGAAAATCTGCATCACTTCTGCCACACTCTTCATTATAATCATGCAAGTGGTCGGCCGCGTATCCGCGCTGTACCCCTGTGTAAAACTTTCAGTCACGAGCTAGCACTGAGAGAGCCTCCGCGCTCCAAGTCGTCACACAAGAGTGACCTAGTACTTGCAAGTACCTAGATCTGCGCTTAGAGCAATAGAGGCAGGAATGATAAGAGAGTTGTGCACCATGCTTCCAATCTGTCACCTCACGTCGAGGGTCACACACGCGAGCCTGCGCCACGTGACGCTGCTACACTACTAGCCACGAAGGCTAGTGCACGACAGAGCTTATAGTACTGCTTACACACACATCGCATTCATAAGGCGCGTCACACCACATAAATAAATAATACTATACACATTAATATGACTCTATATAATATATTCCTATCTCAGTGGTTGTTCCTATAACACCCCTACTAACTATAACACATTGGGGAGTCGGACTCGATATATAGAAAGATACTTCACAACGCTTTCTGAGGCTGCGATTTCTCTCATAGCCATAATACTTAGCGATGCGATTGGTTAGTACCCCTGCTCATAATGCGTGATAATATGTCTCCGCTAAACTACGAATACTTTCATGCGTGCACGGATAAGCCATACGTGTCGCGCTGTGCACAGTGCTACAAGAGTGAACAACTCAGCAATGACGCGTCACGATAAGGTTAGCCTCTGGAGTGCGTCATTTTTAATCGCCTTATAGACACAGAAAGTAGCTGGCGAACTGGTGGTGCGATTTATTAAGGCAGAGTTTTGCTTCTAACGAGTTAGTAAGAAATAGTGTGCACCCAAAATCTACACTTACGTCTCCTCTATAAGTACTATCTAATACATTTGTCTCATTCTTTCTACAAGAGACACATAGCGATGCCTGTGTTGTATGTAGTCTTGTAAGATGGGCGGAGTGGAGTGGTGAGAGAGCGTGTCATTAATTCAGTACACAGTCTACTGCGTACCCTCACAATACACTGTCAAGAAATCTATGCATGCGTACAACACTAGCAATCTGAGCTTCTACACCAGGGATTACTTATAGTGAAACGCTGTGTGAGTCATTTAAATAGCAACATAATAAATACAAATAACAACAAAGCTAATAAAGTACCAGATGGGAAGTGAAAACACAGAGGCGCGCTATGTCATCGTGTCTAGACATGCGCCCTAGGTTGCCACTCTGTAATAAATGAGTCGATATTTGCGTATACCATGCGAGCCTGTATCTCAGAGTAGGGACACATAGTTAATAGATTTATTGACTCCTGTGAGACACTGCAATTGGGACGACCAGACATGCCACATCTGCGCCTCTATCAAATCTCGAGCCCATCCCCTCACACTACACAGCATGGTATACTGAGCCTCCAGCATCTGTTACCTGCGATCGGGAGACCTTTGGTCGTGCACAGAATCACAGTCTATGGCGATTCGATAGTTCCTGCCCCACGCTATCCTAGCCATATGTCTGCTGTGATATAGTCCAGGTCTGGGAAAGTAAGGGTAATTAACTCTCTGTATAATGCTATATATATAACCCCCACCCAGCATCATCATGGTAAAGAGATAGGGGATTCAGTTGTTGCGGATAGTAATGAATGAAGCGACGGAGAATTTTGCGTAGCTATACTAAAATGGCCGGCTGGGAGAAAAGCCAATGTTGCCATGTTGCAGGTGTTCTTGCTGTGTACCTCTGTCTTCTGTTCCAATTTCCAGAGCTGATCCTCCAGTTCTGCATGGGAAACACCGTAGGTAGTATAGTTTAGCCTCACTCAGTAGTCTCACTTGAATTATGTTATTGTAACGACTATGTGGTATGTAGCTGTGAGAAGGCCAGAGACTAAAGACTAAAGACTGGAGAAATCTGCACAGATTCTGGTGCTAAACACATCCCATTATTACCTTGGGTTGTTTTACAGTATTATGTCTACACAATGTCATGTACCTTCTTCACTTGATGAGCCTGACGAGTGGGGGTCTCCCCCTAGCCCACCCATCATGACGGCGTTGACGTTCCACATGCCCTGCTCATACTGTGTCTTTTTCCTGTACCTCTCCTCACGTCTCGCATGCTTTGCCCTGGATGAATGTGGTGTCACGTGTGCAGACAGTGCAGTCAAAACACCACAGAGAGTGCAGTGCATCTACATAGATACTGTAAGTGGAAACATATGCACTGTTATATACACCTTATAGGCTCACTCTAAAGCAATCAGTCTGAAATTTGTGGGGGAAACCCTTTTTATTCAAATGAGGACAAGCAAGACACCCTTACTTATGTACGTACATGCTCACAAAATGAAGTATATATGTATTGTGCTATTCAGTACGTATAGTATACTGACTGGAGTTTGGAGTGGAGCCTGACAAGTCTCTCTCTCCTCTCCCTCTCCTCCTCTCCCTCCGACTCACTACCCTCTGAGTCATACAGGTGGTAGAGATGGTGCAGGTAGTCTGTCTCCTGTGATGTACATACACACATCTAGCTATATAGTGCACAGCCCCTGCTTTGCTGTAGGACACACGGGTCAAACAAGGTCCAAAAGCCAACTTTTTTTGCCATCTTTCGTGTAAATCTAGGTCTCAGAGGCTTCAGTTTCATGTTCAGTGTGAGTGTCTCTATTATCATGTGTGAAACGCAAGGCAAGGTAGCAAAGTCACAGTGAGTGCGTAGATTTGCAGTGTACTGCTACCGGTGGGGGTTTTGGTCACCTTCTGGGCCACAAACTTGAGGTAGTCATCACAAGAGATGGTGGATCTCCACCATTTGAGCCAGTTCTGATACTGCTGCCTCAGTCTGGCCTGGGCTGGGGTCAGGGTGCTCCCCTTGGGAGCCATCTATAACACACGCAGTCAGAGAGTTTACATGGACAAGGAAGAGTGGATGGATAGAGTTTGATGGCTCACCAGTTCCTTTGGATCTGGCCCAGTGTAGAGGTTGCTGTCAACAATAAAACGAAACAGCATTAGGCACGATTACATACGTAACTGCTTTTTGGTGTACAATAGTACACTGTCTTTTGGTTTAAGAAATTCCGACAGTGGGTTTATCTAGCAGGTCCTTTAACACAATACGGCATAAAGGCGCTATACTTTTTCACGAAAGAATAGTAAGTTAATGGCCTCTGATTTCATGATAGGTCCGAACTGATGGTGACTAGACCTGTTTTTCCACTGGTCTCTCTTGGTCTTGTCGCCCCAGGGAGGTTCCAGGGTGGAGACAGGGCGGAGGTCAGGGTTCGCCACCCTGCGAGACGCTCTGTGGGGTAGCGAGCTGGAGGCCAGGACTCTGGACAGGTCCACAGACTCTGGCAGAGCTGGGACCAGTGAGGGCTCCTGTGTGACGTGGTGGGAGATTCCGTGACAGAGTCTGGCAACCGTAGCTAGACACATGCATGTGTTTTGTACGCGGATCAGGTGAGATTCGACCAGTGCCATCCCTATCGTCTACCGGCACTCTAATGTCAGTGTAAGTATAGTGCACCCAGCACGTTCAGTAAAAATACACAGACAGTAAAACATCTGTAAAAGGGATCCTCTCTAAATAAAGGACACCAGTGCCCCGAAGAACGCAAGAGTTTTAAAATGGGAAAACAGGAGCAGTCAAGACACCTGTGGTAATACATTTGAGAAACGATGAGCAGCTTTAAGATGTGCAGCAAAGCCTACTCTAGCATCATAGCTTTTCCATACCACACTTGTCACAAGGTCTCAGGCATGGATAACATGACGCTTCTTGACTGCTCCTGTGCCGTCATTGCCCATAAACGGTGTATAGTAAATAAACGGCAAACTACAACTGATGCAGAATTACAAAAGATGTACTGCATTACGTGACTGTCAAAAAGAACAGACATGTATCGATTAGAGAGTTCAGAGGTACTCAGATAATCCTTTGGCTTCAATCTCTGAAGCCATTTTCTCCTGGCACGAAGCAATCACAGCGGAGCTCTCGCTAAACTTGCTGAACAAGAACTCCAACGTGCAAGAAACGGACTGCTTTGGATGATCGTTTGTCACACAGTAATTGACGTCGTCCATCACAGTCGTCAGTAGCTCTAGCTTTGTCTCAAGGGCGGAAATGAGCACTAGTGTGTGGCTCCCAGTAGCCCACATGGACCGAAAGGTAGCTGCCAGTCCGGAAAACTTCTTCTCTGTAGCTTTGAAATCGGACGCCAGTACGTGAGTAGCAACGGCGGCCCCTCCTGCGACAGCTGTTCCGGTCGCTGCAGAGGCAGCTGCAGTGATACCCAGACCAACCGCCGTCCCTACACCGAATGTGAAGAACCCGGCGACAATAGAGACAGCAACCCCGGACAGAGCAACTGCAGCCCCTGCGCCACCAGCCAAGGCCGTAGCTGCTGTTGCACCGCCAAGAACTCGAGTGGCTATCTTCTTGCTTCTCGCTTTCCTTGAATTGTGCACGCATTTCGTGGCTGCTGTTGTACAGTTCTGGTTGGCTATTTCACACGTTTCCTTGAACTCTGCAAAGTGATGTTTGGCCTGGGCCAGAGAGCGTTGGAGAAGACCGAGAAAGTCTCTGAGAGGCTGCCAGTTATCATGCTCAAGTCCATCCATCACACTCTCTTTCTGTCCCTCGTCCTGGCCGTAACGAAGAACTTTGCCTGTGCTGCTGATGCACAGCATGGCACGTCGATATATGTTTGGTAGGCTCTCTTCAAACGTAGCCCTAGCATCGTAGTTTATCTCTGCGTGCTTCAGGTAATCAATCTTCTTGGTAGCATCCTCCACCAGGGTGCATATATCGGTGCCAAATTTCCGCAATGAGTCAACTAGATTTGTAGAATCGTCCACAAATTCTTTCAACACTTTTGGTAAGTGTCTCAGTTCCTGGACAATGTCCTTGTTGCCCATTGCACCAGTAAGTGCTTCAAGTCTGAACATTTCCAGGAGCTTTATAGCTACCACGTGAACTGCTCAGGGCCAGTGAAAATGACGGTACTCCCACAGGGGAATACCCAGGGACAGAGATAATGGCCAGATGTGGTATGTAGTTATGCAAACATAGATACAAGCTACTGTACTGCAATTGAACATCTGTAAACACTAAGTATGTTGATTCTTAGTGACTATATACAAGTTGGGAGAGCATAGCAGTCATCTGGGGTTTTCCCATTATATCCATAACTACGTCACTGAGCAATCCCTGTGTCGTTGAAACCATGTTCACCTATGATCACCCTATTGTACATGTACAGCGCAAGTCACTAGAGCTGCAATACCCCCGAACTAGCTGGCGTATGACTACAACAGTAGCAATACAGCCCTACAAGACGTGTGTTAGACGTTACGGTATAAAGCCAGGTTGAACACAAAATATAGACATAGGGACTCTTTATGCCTTCAACTCATCACATGCAAAATGATGTGTGCGATAAGGGCAAGGCTTTGTAGTGAACATGTGCGGAACACCACATAATTTATCATCCACAACACCTGCTTGAAAAGTGCAAACCACCTTCAGACTGGTTGGGGGATTTCCCCCAGTACAAGTAATCTGCTATTCAACGTACACTCTCCATGTCGAGGTAGTTCTGTGGAATTGTCTTAATGAGCTCGTGGTAGAGGATTTCCATCTCCTGTCCCTCCGTCAGGTTACTGTCCATCTCATCCACTGTCTTCCTGTCCAACTGAAACAATGACATGTCCATTTGACATAATATACTTGCGAAAAAAGGGACCATTTTTAGTGAAAAGTGTCTTCTTATAGGCCAGAACCTCCTCTAAACGGTAATATAAACACTTTAGATTGCATATGTACTGTTGAGGAGCAAAAGAGTGTTGGTACCTTATTTCGTAAAAACCCTTACTTAACCCAACGCATTACTATTGGCCATAGCTTACACACCACGAATGGGCCCCTTTCCCACGGAAGATCACATTTACTGGTCACATGTGGTCAAATGTTGTCGAGAGAAGCAAAGCCCACCTAATTGTCTGAACTGTGCACATTTCTGTATAACAATGTTCACGTGTCAACAAGGTCTGGAGCATGGATGACAGGTGGAAGAAAACACTGTATGTACTTGAAACAATGTGTATACATACCTCTCCTGTGAGCTCATTCCAGATGGGTCTGTATGGTTTGAGTCTGAGTGTAGTGAGGGGTGCTCTCTCTGACACACACATGTCACTGCTGCGGACCACCTGACAAAGACACACACAGAAAATACAACATGCCTGGAAATATGTATATACGAGCGCTGCGTTTAACTAATGTACAATGAGCACACTTGTCTCCATTTGCGACAGTGTCATTGTTGAACTAATGTACTGTACATTCAGCACTCTATTGTGTAATGGAGTATGGTGTACCTGGTCATTGATGATGGAGGTGATGACAGCAGGCTGAGGCTGGGGTCCCTGGTTCTCCGGCTCCCTTCTCTGGCGTCTCTCTCTCCTCTTCCTGACTACCCAGGTCACTGCACACACAACATAAAACAACAGCTGTATGGAACACTAGCTAAGGAGAAACCCTAATGGGTTCACCCATTTATATGTCCCCCTCCTCATAAGAGTGGACACATGAATGAGAGCTAGATACCAGATGTCCATGAGGGCGACACGTAATCATGTAAGTGAAACCAATGTGTGGATAAAAGCACCATGTATCATAGTAAAACATCCACATGTAGCTACTCAGATACCTGAATGAGGTCCCAGCAAACGACTTCACGTCTGAGAACGACTGGCCATCCCCAAGAGCCCCATTCTCCCATCCAGCACTGCTATCACCTCCCTCACAACTTGTGTCCTCCCCTCCCATACTCCCCTCGTCTCCCTTCATCCCACGAGACCCAGGGAGGAACACACCACTACTCACCACCTCCTCCCCTCCTCCATCCACCATCCTGTTTCCACTAGCCCCAGCTGTTAGTACAGACCCTACAGCTGGCAGACTATTTCCTCCACTTAGCCTAGACGTGAGAGACAGTTTACTGCTCTGAAGGAGCTGCTGCTGGATTTGAGACGTGGTACTAGTGTTGCTGGTGTCCTGGGCTGAAGGTTGGGGATAAAGAGTTTCAGGTCTTCTTCCCAACGCTTGGGAGCTTCTAGCCTCCTGTGGTGCTGGGTTGCGAGTGGCTCGTGTAGCAGAGGAGACAGTGCTTTGATGTGAGGGGATGCTGATACCTGAGCCCAGACTTCGGGGAGTGTCAGGTAGAAGGGGGTGGCTAGTGACCGTTCCTTGACACGAAACAATGTCCTCATTCAGTCTGTTGCAGATTGGTCTGCTTTGAGAAGTTGTCTCTATGTTGTCGGTGCTCATTGATCCATGACGCGAAGGTGTGTTTCTGGCTGAGTCATGCTGCGAAAGAGTCTCTATATTAGTAGCTGATGTAGTGTATGAAGAGAACCCCACATTGCTAGCTGCTGGTGACCGTACGACACTTTCCCTCTCCCTGGACGAACCGTGTCTTGATCCCCGCCATGAAGTTGTATCTATACTCCTAGCTCCTCCATGCCTTGAATAAATGAGTGTATCACTAGCTGATCCATCCATGTTGCTGGCTGAAGTGGACCGTGAAGAAGTTTCCATCTCTGTGGCTGAGCCATGCTGTGAGGCAATGTCTATAGCTGAGCCATGCTGTGAGGCAATGTCTACAGTGCTGGCTAATCCAAGCTGTGAAGGACTGCACCATGTTCCACCATGTGAAGAGCCACTCTCGTGGCTAACAGACGAGTACTCCATTCTGCTGGATGTCTCATGTTGTAAGGCAGTGTCTAGATGCGTGGTTGATCCCTCCTGTGACTGAGATAAAGGTTCCGTCGCTGATACAGACTGTGAACCAGCCTCAATTTTGCTGACTGAGCCGTGCTGCGAGGCAGTCTCTATAGAGCTAGTTGAACCCTTCTGTGAGTCAATGTCTCTAGTCCTGGCAGACCCCTTCCGCGAGACAGTTCTTACAGTGCTGGCAGATGATCCTCTTTGTGAGACGGTCTTGCCAGCAGATGAAGATTCCCTTCGTGAATCAGAGCCTAGAGTGCTAGCAGACCCTGGCCTTGAAGCTGATGAACCATCTACATTGCTAGCTGACGCATGCTGTGACACAGTCTCCAGGTTGTTAGCTGATCCGTGCTGTGAGGTCTTGCCAGAAGTAAAAGTTGAACCATGTTGTGAGGTGGTGTCGGAAGTACTAGGTGACCCGTGCTGTGAACGAGTCAGTACATTGCCGGCTGATCCACCACACGTAAACATGATGGCTGATGTGGACTGGGATATATTGCCAGTTGAGCCATTCAGTGAGTGAGTCTCTGTACTCCGAACTGACCCACTGCGTGTTACAGTGTCCATCGTGTTAGCTGATGTAGAGGGTGAACCAGTTTCCATCCTTATAGCTGACCCACGGAAGGAGGCAGAATCGATAGAGCTTGCTGATCTACTCTGTGAAGGAGTACTGCTAACTGATTCACCGTGGGAAGAAGCATTTGTGTGACCAGCAGGTGTATACGGGGAAGACTTATACTGTGAGATAGTACTATTGGAGCTAGCTGATCCATGCCGTGAGACAGTACTATTGGAGCTAGCTGATACATGCCGTGAGACAGTACTATTGGAGCTAGCTGATACATGCTGTGAGACAGTGCTGTTAGAGCTAGTAGCTGATCCATGCTGTGAGACAGTACTATTGGAGCCAGCTGACACATGCCGTGAGACGGTGCTGTTAGAGCTAGTAGCTGATCCATGCCGTGAGACAGTACTATTGGAGCTAGCTGATATAAGCCGTGAAGAAGCATTGCTAGATGACCCACCAGGTGATTGCACGTCCATGTTGCTAGCTGGTCTAGTCTGTGACGGAGGTTCCATTTTACTGGCCGAGTTCTGAAACAAAGTTGAGTCTATAGAGCTAGCTGATCCATGCTGCGAAGGAACAAGTGTACTGATAGATGAGCCACTGCATGAAGAACTGTCCATACTAGGCGGCCTCTGAAAAGTAGGTTCCATATTGCCGGCAGACTGATACTGAGAACCATTGTCAGCTGACCCAGCATGTCGGGAAGCTGTGATTGTAGTCCTAGCTGATCCAGGGTGTGAAGCAGTCTCTAAAGAGCTGCTCGATCCACGCCAAGAAGCAGTGTCAACATCACTGGCCCCTCCAAGCCTTGGGGTGGTCTCCGTTTCTAGTTGACTACCGAGTGATCCATGCTGCAAAAAACTACTGACTGAGCCATGCTGTGAAGTAGTGGTCTTCATGTCCGGCTGACTACTCACTGAGCGACACTGGGAGATAGAAAGACAACTACTCACTGGTCCATGATGGGAGGCAGTCTTGTCACTTTTGACAGATCCATGCCGCGACACATGTGTCATATCCAGGCGACTTATTGATCCATGGTAGGGCATTGGACCTGTAGCAAGACCACTTGCTGCATAGTGTAGGCTGCTGTGATGGCTGGCGATGTGTGACTCTCCACCATCATCAGTGGGGAGATGATGAAGACTCTGTCTCTCCACTGGTCCACTCTGACTGAAGCTGAGTTCTGAGACTCCTCCTCCAGCTGATGAGAGGAGAGAGCCACTCAGAGAGGGAGCTCCTCCTCCCTCTGACCACTGGTCAACCACAACACTTCCCTCTCCCTGTTGAGTGAGGCAAACTGTCAAATGTACACCATGATGCCATAAACAATAATGTTTGTCTGCTTAAATTTCTCCTTCAAAGGTTTGTCAAATGGTCAATTAGTAATCGGGTCACAAAAAACGATGGTTGGCCTAGAACACTGACCATTGATTCAACTCTGTATCATACATACCATGGAGTGCAGGTCCAGGAGGTAGTGGTGGCTGCTGGGATGTTGGCTGGTGGACTGGCAGTCTGAGGCATTGGACCTCACGTGCAGTGAGGCATGGGAGCGAGAGAGACTCTGAGGAGCTCTGTATATTGTTGAAAATTAAAGAGAATGCGGCAGTATAAGGGCTAAATTTAGGAAGTCAGTCACATTTGAGGCTTTGAAGTCTTATTGCCTTGGTCACATACCTATACATGTATGTACATGATGAGACGTACCGCGATCTGAAGTATTGCATCTTTTCCATGTCCTCGAGAGTTGGCAAAGCCTCAGCCTCTCTCCTGTTCCTCTGTTCCTCCTCCCTCCTCCTCTCCTCCTCCTCCCTCCTCCTCCTCCTCTCCTGGTCGTGGGCTGCCAGTCTACTCTTCTGTCTATCACTGAGACCATGCTCAGCAGCCTGGATACACATGTAGGGAGGTTGTATAAGGCAGTGTGCACATGAGAGGTATCATTTTTAGCTAACAAGAAAAACCATGAACAGATATACAGACACACACACACACACGTGCAGGCGAGGGTTAAAGTGAATGGCAGTTGATGCAAAAGGTGCCGGGAGTTCAACATCTCACACACGATGAAGTAAAACGCTATCATTGCCTACTTACTAAGGCACAGGCTAAATTTATAACTGTTATCCATTCAGACCTACACATGTATTTGCCTACTATGTCATGTATTGTGCACACCTGTAGTAGAGGGTGGATGTCGTCCTGTGCTACAGAGTGGACAAAGGCAGGCTCCACCTCACTCAGGTGGCGGAGGTCAGAGTTCAGATCCTCTCGCGTGTAGTCCCCCAATCTGAGATGCCAAGGAGAGCATGTAGTGATTGATCTCTGTCCATATGGCCTCTATAGTACATGGCTACAGTTCATGAGCTAAAAGAGGCTAACTTTGTCTTGATTTTTGGTGGCTCAGACGTCCACTTTATTCCCTGAAAAATAAAAGTGCATGTTGAAAATGCTGTTCTTGACAAACAAAGCCATCAGGTAGCTTGTCCTAAAACACTATATTGTAATAATTGCTTATGCAGGTAGCTTTTGACTGCCGAGGGGAGGTTGATGGAGTGGCACTGCTTTTGAGACAAAAAAAATCACAAATTGCTATGAGCAGGTTTTTGCTTTGCAAATGTGGTCTGTCAGCGACCACAGACACCCTCCGCGGAAAGTTTTTTAGTTACACGGCAGTTTAACCATACTGTATGCAAATGTGCGTAAGTTGATGTGGGAGTATGCTGGTCAAGCTAGTTGCAAAAAATTCCAATGTGCTAGCCAGTACAGTAGGCGATGCGCGTTGTTGTGCATGAGCAATCGCAGTAGTAATGGGGTGTGTCGTGTACATACATTAGCTAATACTCTATTGGGAATTTTTGGGCGGTCCCGCCCGATACCGGGTAGTGTCAAACAAAGAAGAAAGGCGCTATATATGTAGAACTGTCGTTATGTCTCAACGTGGGTTCTCCAATGTCAATCTAGTGAAATCAGAGAAGAACTCGCTAGGAAATGGCTCGTATGGGGCTGTTTACAGGGCCAAGTGCGACCAACTTGTTTGCGCCGCCAAAGTTCTGCACCCCATCCTCTTCCAGACGAGGGACCCTGGCGCCTACCGCATCGTGGAGCGTTTCCAGCGAGAAATAGAGTTCCTGAGTGGCCTGAGGCACCCCAACATTATCCAGTATCTCGGCTCCTGGCTTGACCCTGAGTCTGGACGGCCTGTCCTCTTCATGGAGCTAATGGATGAAAGCCTGACCAGCTTCCTGGAGCGGTCAGCAGACCCCCCCCCACTCCCTCTCCACGTTCAGGTGGACATTAGCCACGACGTGGCACAGGCTCTCTCCCACCTCCATCGCCACGAGGTGCTGCACCGCGACCTCAGCAGCAACAACGTCCTCCTGATTAGCAATCGCCGAGCCAAGGTGACTGACTTTGGCATGGCCAGGCTTTTGAGTGGTGAGACTTGCCTTCCACCTACCTTCTGCCCAGGAACAAAGGTATACATGTCTCCCGAGGCACTGACAGATCCCCCAGCATACACCAGCAAACTGGACATCTTTTCCTGTGGTGTGCTCTTTATTCAAATCACCACTCGCAAGTTCCCGAACCCAGGCCCTCGTACATACAGCATACAAGTAAACGACCCACGTATCCCATCGGAACAAGTGCTTGTGGTTGTCCCCGAGTTGGAACGTCGCAAGGAGCACCTGAATCTCATCTCCCCCACACACCCCTTACTAGAGATAGCTTTGGACTGCCTCAAAGACAAGGAAAGGCAGCGACCGACGGCCGAGCAGCTGTGCTCCAGCCTGATTGCTCTGAAAGAGAGTGCTGCCTACCGAGACAGCCTCCAGCAGACCCCAGAGACGACAGGTGAGGCAGCTCCTGCCAGAGACCAGGAACTAGAGCAGCAACTAAGAGAGAGCGAATTGAGGGTTGAAGATCTCACCCAGGAAGTACAACAACTGACACTGCAGAAAGAGGAGCAAAGTCGAGACATACAACAAAAAGTTGAAGAAAATCAGCAACTGTGCCAAAGAGTTCAAACACAAAGTGAAAAGCTCGAACAAGGTCAGTCTCTTAGTCAAGAGAATACACGGGCGATGGCTGATTTACAACAGAGTCTGGAAGAGAAAGATGCAGCACTTAGGGCAAAGGATGAGTTGCTGCAGGAAAAGGAGAGAGAGATACAACAATTGCAGCAGAGTGTAAGAGGGAGGGAGGAGGACCACACGGGACCTCTAAAACTGGTTTGGAGGGATGGACCACCGGCTCCATTTGCTACTTTTGGACATTCTGTAGCTGTCAGTGGAAAGAAGGTCTTCTGTGTTGACTTTGTTAGCTATTCTAAAATACTGATGTTTGATGTGGGGACAGGGCAATGGACAATCCTTCAAGAATGTCCCAAAAAGTTCTTCTCTATAGCAGTAGTCAATGAACATTTAACTGCAATCGGAGGGGAAGTTTCAGGTGCACCCACAAATAATCTTCTCAGTGTCACGCTTGACAAAGCTGACATCTCAAAACAAATGTGGATCACTAGGTATCCACCGATGACGTACAGCCGCAATGTTCCAACAGCCACTGCCACCCAAATGTCCCTGATAGTGGCTGGAGGTTGGTTTCCAGAGAGAGAAAAAGCAGCAGTTGAAGTGATGGACATTCAGACCTTACAGTGGTTCGTAGTAGCCAGTCTACCCCGCCCTTTGTGGCAGGCCACAGCTGCCATCCGTGGAGACACACTCTATGTCGGCGGTGGGTTCATTGAAGGGGGAACGAGCACGTCAGTGCTAACGTGTGAGGTTAAATCCCTGCTCCAGTCACAGTCGCAGCCTCAGTCACTCTTCACAAGACTAGGTTTCTCAAAGGGTCCTCAAGTATGGAGAGAAATTGCTTCACTTCCAGTGGTGTTATCATCACTTGTTACCTTCCACGGCGAGCTCCTGGCAGTTGGAGGAGGGACTACATTTAAAGGTGCCCATGCTACTTCTGAAGTAAGGCAATATGATCCAGTTACCAACTCTTGGAATGTTATTAGTCGGATGAGTGTGAGGCGCTGTTATTCATTCACGGCTGGATTCCAGGAAAATACACTGGTGGTTTTTGGGGGAGACACACCAGATGGCAGTACACCCTCCGTTGAAATAGCTTCTATCAAATAAGGAATTTATTCAGTAGTAGCTATGACCACAATAGTCATTACATCATGGATACAATTTCATGCAACTGAGTCAGCACCAGATGCACATGTAAAGTCAATAAAATGTGGATTAATTTGCGTGACGTGCTTGCACAAGAAATTTTTTGTGGAAACATGACGATTACGAAATTGGAATTTTAGAGGTCACCTTACATATGAGTGGATCTAACGTCACACTGTGATGCTTGATGAAAGTGGTAGCATGCATCACATGATAAAAACGTCTAGACCTTACCCCTTTGATTTTACTCCTGATGCATTGTATATACTCCCACAAATGTTTGGAACATGCACACACAGAGGAGGGAGAAGACCTAGGTTGAAACTAGTACCATAGCCCTGGTTTGCTGTACATGAGGGTACGCCTCCTGTGTACACAAGTTACAAGGAGAGTACAAAGGCACAAGTTTCAGATAGTTTTGTGCCAAGATCATCCCAGCCTCAAGAGAGGAAAAGGGTGTGGTCACTATTGAGCGAGTTTTGCAGCCTTTGTTTTTCGAATGAGCACAACCAAGAGAATTATCAGACCCTCTTGAGCTGCTGCAGTATTGTAACATTACATAATAAGTATTGCAGCTACGTACAGTGTGTGCTTGGGGAAATCAAACAAATTTGACGAAAGTGAGCTGTAGAGGGGCTCACATCATGGGCAGTATTACTGCCAATACTGGTTCTCCTGGCTGTCCTGAGTGCCCTGTGTCTGTCCTCCCGACACTGGTGGGAGGAGGGAAGAGCAATGTGGTAGGGAGTCCTCGTCAGGAGCTTCCAGTCACACAGCAGGAAGTTGCCATACAACTCTGGCATCGAGGGAGCTCTGGTCAACTGTGTGGGCAGTGAGGTGTGTGTGTGTGGAGGGTGTAACAAATGTGAAGGGGGTGACGAGTATGTTGTATAGCTACAGTGACTTATAGTTGTAAACTTATACATAGATACTAGAGAGTGATGGACTGGACCTATTAGGCTGCTGTACACATACGTACGTATACATAGGTTGTCCTACACATTGTTATAGTATGCGAGTATGAGTGTATAATAGATTGTGGGTGAACCTTCGACGTAGGCTCTGTGCTGGAGGGTCTTGTCACAGACTGCTCCACAGCATCACTGACATCATCAGTCTCAGAATGATTGCCAAAACCTATGGCAGCATCGTTTATGTACTGTAAACACACACATCTGCCTGCCATTAAAGGGGCAAACCGCTATTGAGCCAATAGTAGCATAGTGGCATAATGCATGCAGGTGAGATGTGGTAGGCACACAGAACTTGCCGACGTTAGAGGAGCATAATCTCTATTGAAGCAAGAGCTTACGACATAATGCATTAGTCCCTAATGATCTGCAAGAGGCAAGAGCTTACGACATAATGCATTAGTCCCTAATGATCTGTATAGCACGCAGGCGGGACAACTCATAAACGTTGCAAACACGACTCAGTCAAAAGGGAAGCAAGTCTCAATGTACTGTGCTTGCCCAACCATTTAGCTGTCAGGCTACGTATGTATGTATATACGTATGCACACAAGTAATAGGCGCCGCACGTAACGTCCGGTGTAAAATAGTGGCGAATTCATAGAGCAATGCGCATGCGTACAATCACGTGACGCCAACCGAAACTTAACCCGTTAGGCTAAGGCGGTGTGAAATTGGAAGCTAGCTATAATATTAATATAGCACGAACAGAACTGCTGTAAAAAAAGGAAAACTCTGCCGTCATCACGGGATCCAAGGCGCGAAAGCTAGGTGATTGATCCGCTCGCTTGCTTGTTAAAATGGCGTGTGGCTAGCTTGCACGCACGCCACGCGCGCGCCTAACCTCGCGGAGCCACGCCTTCTCTACCCCGTGAAGGCGTGGCTCTAATAAACGCCGCGCCCTAGAATAATTATATAATAGGCGCCGCGGGTTAGGTGGCGCTGAAAAAATAGTAGCCGCGGCTGGAATTGTATTAGTGCAGTTAGAGTGTGAGTGTGGAGTTTCCTAAACTAGGCTTGGCTATTAATAGGCAGCGAAGTGTGCAGTGACAGGCAAGTAGACCACCTACAGCCACTATGAGTTTCCCACTACAAGTCCTGCTGCTATTTCTGATGAGCCCCAACACACTACCAGCTCTGCCTTCTCCACGAGGCCAGGTAGCAGTGACCCAACTCATCCCAGACGGCTTCTCCTGCACCCAGGAAATGCCCCGTCAGATGGACATCTACAGCATGCCCCCCAATTCAAACCTAATCAAGGTGGACCTCATCCACGTGCTCTGTGGTCAGATCTACAGCAGTGGGAGCTCCAGTAGAATCAGAGTCGGTGGGTTCCACGCAAGACCGGGGAACCAGGACCCGCAATCAGCAACAACTGCCAACTCCACACTCCAAAGACCAGCTCCCAATGAATACGGGTATTCAGTGTACAAGTACCCGTATGTGTACGACTCCCGACGAGATATGTTTATCGCCAAGAACACTGGTACCATTAGCAGTATGTGGCCCACTGTACTCAGTATGGAGGAGATCACTGAGATCATCACCAGACTCGTCTACCTCTGCAGGTAATGCTCTTCTGTTGTTACCATTAGAATGATGTCTATAGCACACTGTTTTTTTCTGGCATACAAGTCGCAGCTTTAATAACGAAATTCGCTTCAGAGAACAAGGCTGTTTTTGTCATGCATGTCCGTATTACCCACAGGCCGTCACGTACGCTGAACCTGTGTGTGTCAGATTTCACTCTCCTCCCGGGAGACGGGAGGGCGGAGCTGTTTGATGTGGTGGTGGTTGTCACCAGCAACGGACAGGTAGCCCGCAGTGCCTACCCTGTAGCCAGAGGCACTTGCAACCAAAGGTCATCCTCTTACTTCCACAAGTGCTGCTACAACTATACCTCATCACTATCCATGATTGCATAGTGCACACCATTTTTACTTTTTACTTGTGACACTGCACTCATATTGATTACACTTTTGGTGAAATGAATTGGATAGAGAGGGCTAGGGCTGTGGCATGCTCTTCGCAAAAAAGTGTTGTGCGAAAAAGTGTCAAGTGTTGTGAAAATTTTAGTAACTTGCAGCAAACAGATTCACATGGTTCGGTGGAGTGACTGACCAGCAGTGAGTGTTGTAGACGTGGGTCCAGTCATAGGAGCCATGGCAGCCACCAGTTTCTGGACCCTCCTCCTCCTCATCACCGCACTGTCCTGTGCACTCAGAGAGAACACTCCCTTCTTGGACAGTGGAGCTCCCTGAGAGGGGGGGAGGGGAAGGTGAGGGTGACAAGAATAAAACGCAATCCCATATGACATTAATTGGGACTATGGATTTATGATGTGTGAATCGACAGGCACCATTGTGTCGGCAAACTGTTTGCAGGGCTCACAATGACGCATTGATTGCGGGCGCACATCTGCACACATTTATAAAATATTGTACATCAGAGCTATATAAATGGAGAGCAGTAGCTCCGTGTTTATCACATTGCCTGATCAATGATTATGAGCTATAGTAGGTGAGATTGACTGGATGAGACAGTGTGTACACCTAGTACGTACGTACGAGGTTGAGGGAGTCAAGGTTGGTTTTCCCCCGGGGTCTTGAGGGAGGTGTCCAGTGAGGGACACGAGGATGGCGAGAACCCCTCCTGGTGGTAGGGAGAGGACCACGCAACTGGTCCAGCACCCGGCGTCTGATGACGGCCAGGTTGATACTGTGTGGTGCAATCGTGGCAGTCGGCAACTTACGTTTGAAAAGTACGAGCATGTACGATGACGTGATGAACCCACCTCCTATTGGCCTGGACAGCCAGCTGCGCTCTGAGTCTAGTCATGTGAGCTGCCACACTGAGACTTCCGTCATCTGACAATCCTGACACGGACACACATACATACAGTACCATGTCATGTACATTGTGAAGTACAATGTTGTGTGCATTGAAAGCACAAAATGGTGTTTCTTCAGATTTCTAAGTCTCCTTACGTGCTGCCTTTGCTGTGTACCGGCTGTACAAGTCCTCTAGAATCCTGCACACCTGAACAGCAACTAGTCTGGAATACAACAGGGTGACTCTTAGCTCCTAACACTATAAGATTAGCCCACCTGTGCAGGGTTTTGTTTTCCTGTGGAGTCTGTAAAACAGCTATGTACATCAAACACACACACACATAATGCTACAGTATCATTACCAGGAAGGGGTCATCAATCTGGTTTTTCAGGTCGGAAAACTGACTGGAAAGCTCTCCTACTAAAATAGACACCTGTGGAATATCCAACGACATGAAGAGATGTACAGACTGGAGTAGTAAGACTGACAAAGCTCTGCTGGTCTTCCAGTGAGACTCCTTTGAGCCCAGACCTCTGCTGGAGTCGTGGTACCATCACATCCAGTAGCGATGACAGGGAACCGGGGACACCTCTTATTACCTCCTAATATGTGCACCAAACCAAATACTGTAGCAACAGTACGGTACCGGACATAAGACAGTACCATGAGGGGAGCACTGTACAGTATTCCCCTACACCAGAGATTTACTACAATATACAGGTCTGGTCAGCTTGCTTTCAGCAATTAAAGTCACACAGTAGTTGCAACATGCAGTGTACATAGGTATAAAGTGGGGATCTTAACAACGAAAGTTGCGTGAGCTGGCCAGATCCTTTGCCACTTTATAGAACTCTTGGGGCATATTCGTTGAACCATTTTTCTCTAGTAGCTGGAGGTGTGTGGTGCTGACATTGAGAGGAAGGAGAGAGGGTCTGTTGTCCTCCATGTCACTGGCCTCATCGCTGGAGGGCTCCTCCTCAGAGTCAGCTGCCAGCAGACTCGGCCCTTCATTCTGCAGAGAGAGATGGGGGAATTACAATATTATACAGACGGGAACTAAGGATAAAGGTCTAACGCACTAAACCCTGCATGAAAAGGGTCCGCTACCTACTAAGTGCCACTACTCTTTCACAGTCGCCTCGGACTCTCACGAGAGAGACAGGCTAATCGCGAGAACGTCCAATAAGCACATAAGGTTAGCCTAATCTGTCGATTACCTTCCTGGCTGTCTTATATTGTAGTGCTTTCTGTATTTTCGCTGCGCTCATGGCCGGCCACTGCACAAAAGTCCTCCCTTCTGCTTACCGGTTGCCACGACAACGTCGATATTTTGCATTCGAAATTACTGTGTTCGTATAATTAGAACTCGCTCCTCTTTGCGTTGCCAGGTTAACCTCTTTGTCCTTTGCCGCTCACCTGCTTTTTGGTTTCTATTTCATCCCTGAGCCTTAGCATATCTTAGGACTCTGAGTAGCGAATATGCGAACTAGCTACTGAAGTTTCATATCAACCACAGAAACTACCAACAGCAACAGGCTTGATAGGGGACGTTTTGTTAGTTATACTTACATCGATCCTACAGATAAAAGGGTGAGCAGCCAAAATATAACAGGTTCAACATGCAGCTCCCAAGTCTGGCGATCGCGATCGCTTGACAACAAAACGGACCGCGTCGTGGCTACGCGTATTGCGCATGCGCGCAGTGTTTCCATAATTACGCGTGCGTCGACGCTCACGCATACACGCAAGCTGTTGCAAAGCTGCATTCACTGTGTTTGACTGTTCGTTGTCTTTCGGAAATTGTTCCTTATGGGTCGATCCAGGTACATATCACTGTCTCAGACCTAAGGAACTAATGATTGTGATTCTCTTTCTCCATACAGGTGCCGTAAAATCCGTCGAGGTGCGCGTCGCCTAGTGCGTCTTCTGTGCTGCTGCACAACAGGAGCGATCAATGACCAGTGAGCCTCATATCAACCTAATATCTATGTTATGTTGATATCTCTGCTCTATAGGGGGCAAAGAAACGATACTATGGGACAGAGCAACATTTGCCAATGTCCACGGTACGAGCAGATACGTAGCTATAAGCTGCGAAGCAGAATTCATTTTGAGTTCTCTCATCAGTAGGGAGATGGAGGAAGTCTCAGCGAGAGGAGAGTTTACAACCAATGGTTTGACTGCTGCTTCGTCTGATTCTCAGACGTATGTGCAGCAACATGCACACGGCCAATTAGCATTATTATTCTTACACAAGCAGGGATATTGATGACGTTGAGATCGTTGGTCGTCTAGCAGCAGGAGAGGAGTCAGATGACATGACATGTGATGGAGATGAGACAGCAACTGCTGCAAACTGTGACCAAGACTGTGGAGATACTGCCAGTGACTCCGACAAGTTAGTCACTCACCCCTCACCCTCTGCCAACATTACACTAAATCTTTAACCCATAGATCTGAGGACATAAAGGTTGCTCAGTTCATAATATGTGAGGAGAAGAGTGAGGGAGGCTCCAGTGAGAGTGACTGAGACTGTCTGTGATTATGATGCTCAAAGGTCAGCCAACAACCCTACTCAGTACTGTAAATTCAGTGACGGGCCTTAAAAATTAAATCTGCTTGTTTGGTTATAGTGCAAAGGATGTCGATTGTGGAAAGTTTGAGTCATGTGAAGACTCCTCCCATGGTGTTAGTGCTACATCACCTGCCACTCCCACTCACGACTGTCAGAGTAAAACTGTGGCTCTGACAAATCATACTCTTTCAGAGCTTGAAGACGATAACTGCAGCCTCAGTGGTTCAGAGGAGACTCTAAATGAGTCAGAGAAGTAAGTCGTAAAGTTTGACTCTTGTTAAGTGGACTTGTATGCTTCTCCTTCACAGAGTGCAGACTGATGAGAATGAAACGGCCTCAGTGTGTGAGACCGATGACTCTCTGGTAGAACTTTTTGTCGCCAACCTCATGGAGAGGTAAGCAGCGCATGTACATACTAGACGCAGTGTGTTCAACAAAGGGTGATTTGTGTGACAGAGTTGTGAGTGAGCTGTCTGAGGAAGGACAGGAGGTTGAGAGGAGCTATACTCAAGAGGTCTCCTCAGAAGACAAGTATGAGGTGACAAGTGAGGCCAAAGTGGCTGTGGAGAAAAAGATGAAGTTTGAACTACATGAGTTGGAGCTGGTGACTTCTGACATGTAAGACCCTCTTATATAGCCCTGAATGATTATTATATCGAAAATTACTGTTAGTTGGCCTACTACTGGGCTCTCTTCTGGCGCTTGTGAGGCCAAGAAGTCTGATGATGACTACAAATCCGCTGATGTGAGAAGTATTTCAAGCCCAGATTCTAAGTCTGAGAAACAGCAACTTGGGAAGTGAGTTAAAAAGTAAGTATTGAGGCCTTTTCAGACTGCTACCTGTACACAGAGTGCCTAAGACTGATGAAGATGAGGACATGCTGGAAAACTGTGTAAAGGTGTACATTGCCAACCTGCTGGAGAGGTAATTTCAAGATGGCTACATATTAAGTGGCTAATAATCGAGACTGTGTGTATGGTACCACAGGGTTGTGGGGCAGATAGCTGAAGAATCGACTCGGCCAAATATCCTCACAGACGACCATGAAGCCACCGTCAGTGATGGTGATGATGATGATGAGGATGAAGAAGACACTGGAGTCACTGGTGAAGGTGCTCAGGCCAGTGGGAAACCAGACTCTGAGGTCTCCCAGCAGAGGGGCCAGCGGTGTGGGATATTTGAGGTGAAGTTGGTGAACGGACCACTGGGGCTGGGGCTCAGCCTTGGTCTGGGCCACTTCGGAGAGGTGCTGGTCAAGAACATCAGGAGATTTAGCAGAGCTGCGAGTCAGGGAGATCTCCGGTAATTCAATCAGCTGCATTTCAACCCACAGCCCCTCTCGTTGATTGTGATTTGTACCATTGCACAGGATTGGTGATCGTATTCTGGAGATCAATGGCAGCTTTGTTACAGGAGAGAGTCTGAGCACGGCTCAAAAGTTGCTGTCAAGGGCGAAGGGAGAGGTCCGGCTCTTGGCCATGAGGAGTCAAGAGACTCCACCACCGCCAGAGCCTCCAGCTCAGGAGACTGTCCTGTTCAGAGTCTCTCCCACTGCCAACGCTGGGGTGATCCTCATGAAGGTATGTAGTTACACACTATCTCCATGAATACATTCACCATACCTCCACACAGTACCATGCTGGAGTAGACTTTAGTTGACAAAACCTTGACGGTTTTAGCTAAATGCACATGGCACATGTCAAGACTCTCACTTTAGTAAATATTATAGCTACACTGATGAAGCACTATCTTCATGAGTACACTAACCATACCCCCACACGGTACCATGCTGGAGTAGCCCTAAATGTTTAAGCTAAATGCACATGGCACATGTAAAGACTCTCACTCTCCATCCAACTTTAATGCACTATCCCTCTCACACTCTGCACCTATCTCTTACTCCCCCCTCCCCCTCCCCCCTCTGCCCCTCACAACCCAGTTGAACACATCACGGGACAGACCTCTCGGAGTGGAGATAGAGGGAGGCTCTTGACACAGAGTCTCTGTATGTAAGATAGCAGCATGGCTCCCGGCTCGGGTAGCAGAGAGGTGTGGGATGCTGGCAAGTGGGTGACGACTGGTGGAGGTGACGAGGTGTGGTCCCAATAGTAGGGGCCACTCACAGCCAGGCCCTGGACATTATTCAGGGGGTCTCCCGCCCCTGTCACAGTTACCGTGCAGAGGAGAGAGGACTTTGACCTTGAGGCCAGGATAAGACCCCCTCGATAATCAAGCTGCACTGCTTTGCTATACAGTAGATAGTGCTATAACTACATAATGAGCTGCATAATAACTACATATCATACCATTTTCTTATATTAGCTATATCACTGTTCTCTGTGTGAAATAACTAATACTACTCTGTTTGCTGCTGGCTATTAACACGTAACAACAGTTATAGTCTCAGTTGTAGCTGCATATCATGTACCGTAGGGATCTTGACGAATCTTATGATGCTTCTCCTTGTAATGTAGCAGACAGGCGGCATAACAGGCATCCTTCTTTGACACCACTCCACTAGAGCATTCCTCTTTGCACTCGTGGGAACACTCATACTCTTTAGCATTGGAACATATTGGCTCGGGTAGAGTGGCATTGTAGCAGTAGCCTTGCCTCTGGACTAGTCCAGGAGGACACTCGTCCACACACGTGAGATCATCGGCAATGCGGAACTGAAGACACGAGTCGCAGTACTCTGGACCTGCACGTGCACAGCCTCGGGCACACACTGGGTCGCAAGTCGCTGGTATGTTTTGAATTGCCTGTGGTACTTCAGCAGTGCCATAGGTTGTGAAGTGGATATCATCGACTGCGACACTACCTACGGCTCCACGGTACCTGACAGTCAGAGTCCAATTTCCGTATGGGTCTTCACCCCAGAAATGCACAGACATGAATGGCCACTTGTAGTACAGTCCAGGTCCAATGTCTAGTAAGCGATATGACAGGAGTATCGACACAGTGCCAGCTGGTGATGTTAGCTCCAATTGAACGTCTCCTCTGTTACCCAGAAACACTGCAACTGTTGCTTGCACTACCACATGTTCCAGAAAGCCTACTTTCTCGTCATGGACTAAGATATCGATTGATTCTTCAGAAGAAGGTCCAACAAAGCTATACAAAATGACAAAGATAGTTACTATGGTTATGCTAGTGGGGTGTGAGTGCATAATGATTATGAGTCTATGTATACGATGCTTACGACTTTACACACTTCCATTTAAAATCAAACGTAGATGTAAGGGTGCTTATCCAACGGGAATATAACTGAAGCAATAACCACGCACATAAAGATCTAATGTACCTTCACTCTGAACATTTGTGTGCTAGAAGAACAGCAGAACACCGAGGGACAATAATCAATACATGTGAGAAGCTTTCTTACATGGTGTCGTCGACGTAGATTGTGCACATCTGTTGCTGAGGTACGTTGATCCAGTGTCTGGCTCTCGTCACTAGTGCCTCCGCATCAATGGCTCCAAATCCAAAGTGGTGGCTGAATTTCAGGCCAGCTCCATTTGTGCCAAGTCACTCACAATGAGTATGTCAGGATTTAGAGGTTGTAGGCTATCAGATACTGGACATCTCTCCACGTCAGATAAGGACTGTATGAAAAGATGGCAGGTCACTGGTATATGTGTGTGTGTGTGTGTGTGCGTGTGTGTTGGGGTGTGTGGATGGGTTTGTGTCTTACTTTGGGTCCAAGGCCAGAGCAATAGCACCAGATGCCTGAGGAGCTGCAGCACTGGTACCATCAAAGCTATTCACCACACCCAGCCATTATCTCAGTAGCTATTGTGCGCTCGTGGTAGGGATTGAATCTGCTCAAAGCCATTTCACTTTACATATTATTTAAAATAGGGACCTCTTTCCATTGTTGTAACATCAATCGTGCCAAAAGAATCCAGAAAAATATTCAAAAAATTTGCAACTCACACAATGTGCTCACAAAGACCATAACTGCTACAGATAAGCAACAAGCGCATTTTTGTTAATGAGCAAAGTGACTTGTATGTGCATTGTTGTGGCGGAGAATCGGTCATTTCAAACTGCATGATTCAGACGACTAGGTGGGCTCACTTTACTCGCCAATGAAGGCAGTGCATCACTAGGGTGCACTCGACGCTAAATATCATTGCCGTAAGGCGATGCATCCAATCTCATACGGCTGCACTCCTTGCAAAGCTCTGAGAGATTGTAGCTACGTTCTACTGACTGTGGAATTGTTGATCTACTCACTCCCAGTGCCATGATTTCCAGGCAGATGCACACAAAGCTGAGAGTTTACTTGCACACACCTTGCATTTATGGTTGGGGGCTCACTGAAGTGCAACGGCAACAACTACTACATAGTTATTGCGGAATGTCAAAGGAATGAACAGGTACATTTCCGTATCAGTTTGTGCCTGTCCACCAAATATTTATAGGGCTCTACTTGTTTTGCATAATTATATTATTATTATGAAATAGCACAATCACACTAAAGGGCAACCCTCGGTGCACTGGGCATGCGCGGTACCGCTAATTGATGGGTTGGGCCAAGAGATGCGTTTACTCGTGGTCTCCACGCTAGTAGCTCGCGGAGAGTCTGACACGGACTAGTAGATAGCATGCGGGAGTCGATATAATATGCTCTTAGTTGTGACTTCCTGAGGCTACACAGAGCGAGCCCAGTTGGCTTTTTCGCCTGTTTTTCGCGGCATATCTCTCGAACGCAGTCGACGTTTCAGGAAAATCTCTTTAGTAAAATACACACCGGCAGAGGGCATATTTTCACTGTCAACTTTGTTACAATGAAATATGAACTGCAAACTCCCTTGGCACAATAATATTAAGGCCAACTCATTATTCCACTTTCAGCACCACACAAGTGCTAAATGAAAAGCACTAAAGTGCAAACCCTCGGCGAAGTAGCTCGCAGAGAGTCTGACACGGGCTAGCTACAGTAGTAGATAGCACGCGAGAGTCGATACACGCCATTCGTTGTGACTTCTTGTGCCTTCAAGATAGGCAGAGCAAGCGGACCCGGTGTCACAGTATATTTTACCCCCCGTATATTTTATCCGGGGGATAGTATATTCTATCCGGCCGGATAGAATACTCTTAGTGTGGAATATCCGGAGTCCGGATATTTTATCCCTCTAATAAGAAAAGTTTCTGCGCATACGGTTGCGCATCTAAACGCGCGGGACCATTTTGTTGGCGCCGTCGCTGCTCATACAGAGTTGAATCTGCACGACTGCACTCTGTTTCTCTTCGAGACACAGCGGTTGCGCGGGTCTGCTCGCCTTCACCTGCGAACCTGAGCTCCACGCTCGCTGGGATATCCGGTAGTGTTCTACAGTCCGCTGGTGTAACTCCAAACAAGGCTATCATCGCATTCTGTAACGTTCAAATCCCCACAGAACCTCAAAATAACACCCCGCCTGCGTTTCGAAACTCCTAATAACGCACAGCACGGGGTATAAAATATCCCGGGTGCGGATAGAATATCCTAGGAAATTTTATCCGGGGGGGGATAGAATATCCTATCCGCCCGGATAAAAATTCGGGGGGATGAAATGTACCGCGACACCGGTCGGGTAAGCCTGTGCTAAATATAAGCGCATGCGCATTATCCGCCAGCGATAAAATGGCGACTACCGGCAATAGCCGTACAATGGTGGAAGCGCTCTAGCTCTGCAACGGATCATTTTCAGAGAAAACCGCCTTTATTTTCTGACCTTCGTCGCCCGTTGGGTAGATGGTATCGTTTCTGGGACGAACAGACATTCGAGAGGTGAGATTGAGAGTAACAGACAGACAGACAGACAAACCCAACTACAGTAACCCTCGCTGCGCATGCGCGCCGAGGGTTAACAACACACAGCTCCACACAAAAATGTGCTGCCAATTGTAACTGAGATAATACTAAAGTAAGCCACCCAGAGTCAACCATTGTACCCACAGAAACAGTACTTCATTGCTGTTGATTATGGTTTAAAATCCCAAATTCTTACTATGGCAGGATTTGAAGCTAAATTGACAAACGTGGAGGCCATCTTGGCGGAGCATCTCTCATCATAGTCGGTAGGTCTCCCATCACTTAATAGTGCTCCAATGCCAATGGTGTAGATGCTCTGAACATAGCCGTTTGCAGCACAGTCGTCATCGTTTCTTCCTCCATTTCCTGACGAGAAGACAAATATGGACCCCTTCCCATGTCGACCCTGTGTTGATAACACCAATATTCCTTAGATATTCAGTTATGTCTTGGACACACATCTTTTGCTACTACTCTCACAAACACCATAACTATCACACATTTTAAGCAGCAGTAAACTGCACACATACTTTAAACATAGCCTCTACTACCACGTCTAGAGCAAGGAAGCCGTCTCCTCACGTTGCAGAACTACAAATTCGTAGCCTTTAGGGTGGTCCATCTTCATGTGTGTTTAATGCATGTCTGTGAGACTGCAGCTACGGCGAAACTGTTGAAATACCCACATGTCCTAGTAGATCCCCTTGTGAAGCTCAGAGGAATGAGGTGCAGACAGACACCTTACAGTGCATCTCATGATTTATGATTGTGAACACACTAAAGTTCCAGTGACAACAACTGCGTACGGTAGACAACATGTAAATGTCAAAGGAATGTGCAGGAATCTGTATCAGGTTGTGCCTGTCTTCAAAACTGTTATAAGGCTCTACTTGATTTGATTTCATTTCGGTGGTATCATAAACATGAGAAACCAAAATTCAATTTCAGTCACCATTACACATAGCGTTAACAGTGTATATATTGGCACTTGGCAAGTAATGCTCAATGTATTTGAGTGATGGTAATAGTCAAGAATTATGGACAAGCAATGCTCAACTGTACAATGTTAATTTTAATTCTGGACAGGTAATGCCCAATGCACGTGAATGGAGAATCTAATACTTGGCTAACCAACTTGGCTTTACTGAATCATTTCCTGTGGGCCCTTCCCTGTTGACTGACAAAATTGTACCACAAACAATTCGTCCAACTGACAGTTTGACAAGCAAGTTAAGTTGTGTGTACTATTTTGTTACCTGCTGAGCTCCCTGCTCAAGAGCCATGGTTGCCATCAAAGCAGGCCCAAGCACGGAACGGCCAGAGTCGATCGGACCCCAACTGTTGGAGTATATGTCTATCTTGTTATTCTGATGAAGGAACGCCTTTGCCTCGCTTATATCTATCTGAAATCCCGAAAGCAGCAAAATACCTGCATGGCAGAGAAGATTGTTTGTTTCACCACAGTAACCATTAAGGTGTCAGTTGGTCATAGTTCGGTAACTATTCCAAATTTCCAACCAGTGATAAGGGAGTTGTAAGCCACACCCACACCACACACGCCGTTGCTCTTCTCCATGCCGATGACTCCAGCAACGTATGTTCCGTGAGTGTCTCCGAAATTAGGAAATGCACTATCAGTGCAAGTCAAGGCATTCAAATCCAGACCCAGGAGCTATACATAGGGTACAACAATGCAAGGATCAACATACTCTGTTAAATGACCACTTCTGATTGGCTTACTCACATAGTTTCTGATGAGATCTGGATGCTTGAAATCCACACCTACACAAGTGTGCATATGCAGAGACTAATCAAAACAACGTTTTCTCAAGCTGAACCACTGCATGTGAAAAACAGGTCTTTGTAGCTATTATACTGTTAAGTTTTTTTACTCATGATCAGTTTAGATATGCACATTTGTAATTACCTACACTCTGCCACTAGCCATTTCAATTACCATCATCAACTATAGCTAGAACCACTCCACATCCAGTAAATCCCTGGATCCATGCAGGCTCCACTTTAAGATGAAGGTTGTTATTATCGTTCGACTAAAGGGAAGAGATCAGGTAAAGAATCTTGGTTGAAAATTTTATGGTTATTGCTAATTTGTCAACGCACGAGGTAAAACTGCTCAGGCCAGCGTGGATCAGTAGGCACTGTGTACTGCGTCGTAGCAACGTCACGCACAACTTCCTGTTCTGCTGTGATAACCTATTGGGGAAGATTCATTTTATGATCTGTTTTTCACTCTGAGTCACTGCTTATAATACCGAATCTTCCTGTAGCAGAGCCGCAGTAATTTGTGGGTAAGGAGCCATGGCGGCGATATGGTAGTGCTTATCAAGTGGCAGCAGGAACCAGTACATATCTTCCAGAGTACCAACCTGCAGGAACATTGCTAATATGCGGTCCATTTTGTAGCGAGAATAGCTTTCCTTTGCTGCTACTACAGTAGAACAGAGTGAGTGTGTGCAGGGCTCACCTGTCCCATGTTGGTGAGGCCCTGCCTCATGGCGACACTGTTAGCTACCCCCAGACCTCCAACAACCTTCACTCCCCATGCATTGGTATAGACTGGAGACTGGGCTGCACCAGGTACTGGAGTGTATACTGCAGCCACACTAGCAGTCAAGATGAATGCTATTGCAGCGTTCATCCTTCCACTGAAGTCAACCTTTGCCAGACTGTGCTGCAGCGACCAAAGTTGCTCGTTTTATTCTGTCGCTGTACATATTATGCACACACGCAGGCAGGAATGCTATGTGAGAGCTTCTCTGCTGTGTCAGGCAGGCACAACACCTTCATTCCTAGCTTCACTTGAAGCTCAAAGGAATGAACCCAGAACCATTAATAAGGGAATGCTTGGTAATAACTGGGACTCCTTGGGTTTTTGGCGTTGTTTGTGTGCTTTGTGAGCTGGGTTCGGTTTTGTGGCTTTTGTTTGGGTGTGGGAATTGGCGGTGGGCGCGTGTTCTTGTTTGTTTTTGTTGGCGGTCTTTTTTCTTTTTTTTGTTTTTGTTTTTTGGTGTGTGGTTTTGGGTTTTGTGCTGGGGTGTTGCTGCTGAGTCACAATGTCTCACTATACAGTATAACAGTAATAGTCCAGGCAAACATGTCCAGGCAAGTACTGGATCTAGCATATGCAACTCTCAAATTAGCTACCTCTTTAAGTAAAAGCTTTGACTGTCATAGGTCCATCCACCACATCCTTCCATTTGGTGCTCCCCAGCATTACAGTGATTACTCATGGTTAAGAGCTGTGGACTGTTGTAATCTCCTTGAGCCAACACATACTATTGATTTACAAGCTAGCTATACTCTGTGTCGTGTGGTTACATGCTGTGGAACCTCTGAATAAGGAACACCTTGAGGACATGGAAAGTGGCCTGTATTCAGATAATCAGAGACGTCGAAGTGCAGCACTGGTTTAGTATGAAATTTATCAAGGATGGAGAAATAATGATCATGACTACAATATCCACAAAATAACATAGTATGGTAGCTTTTCAAGGATGCATGTACACAAAGTTCAGGTCTCTATAGTGCCTGAGTCTTTAAGTGCTCCAGAATTACTCAGTATACACGTGCACTTGTGCTCTAGGACTTCCAACTGCTGTGCCGGTTTGAATAATATGCAGATTGCGGTGGTATGGAGGTGCTGTTAATAATTATGTAGGCTGTGGTAGCTAGATATGTAGGTTGCTGTTGATATGCAGGCTGTGCAGGTTGCTGCCAATGCAGGTTGCTGGCAGCATTCAGTGTAAGCATGCAGGAGTTGAATGCAAGTATGTAGAATGCTGTTGTTGTATGAAGGTTGTGGGGATAACACATGAAGGTTGTTGTACTCTAAGTAAACAAGAAATTCTGCAAGATTTCTCAAGATTTTACTCTCAGCCTCTCCAGAGACAGACATTTCTTGAGACGAGGGTCTAGTCCAGAGAATGACTGTAGAACTGCAGTGTCTGGAGCAGTAAATGAGGTAAGAGAGAATAACTTCTTTCCCTGCTGTTTCCTCTGGGAAAATAGCTTCTTGAAATCAGCAGCTGTTTTTACTCGCTCATCAAAAAAAAACAATCCTTTAAACTGTCTGTCCCAGCAGAGGAGAGTCTGGGGTTGAGTCAGGTCTGATGATGAGAATGATCTCCTGAGATTAGGAGACATGCCACTACGGACAGCCCCCACATTGAACTGTTGAAAAGGTCCAAGTCCTGTCCACTGACGATACTCAGCAGAGAATAAACCGGACTGAATCCTTATCTCTTCCAGAGTATTATTGTCCTTGAGAATGTTGTTAAGTTCCAGAAGACACTCGGTGCAGGTAGTCTTACTTGCCAGAGGAACTCTCTCCATGGTTGTGAAAGCGGAGAAATCAATTTGCCGTCTCTCACCACCTTTATGTGGGATTTCATCATCATGAATAAAGAGGCGCGTTAACTTTGCATTTTTGCTTAGCGGGCTACATATGTATAGGATTCCATCATAGCCCAGTCTGGTTCTCTTCAGCTCCAATGTGGTAAGACTGGGGCAGTGTAATAAGATGCTACGAACACCAACCATGGTCTCACGGGATATGTTGGACAACACCACTTTTGTAATTTGAGTTGATATCAAAACTGACTTTAGAACAGACTTAATCAGTACATCTGTTGAACTGTTAATCTTATATAATGAGTTGCAGTGGAATTTGATATCAAATACAACTTCTGTTAATTTATTCCCTCCGATCAGCCCGTATTCTTCTGACCAGTTGCAAACTTCAGGTGGGGGAAGACTGCATTCCTTACTTGTAAAGACACGCAATACTCTTAAGTCTCTGAGGTTATTTAGAGCACCAATCCACCTTAAGGAATCGATGTGTATCTCAAGTGATTGAAGTTTGACAACTGATTTTAAAAACTCCTCATCATCACTGCTGTTGTCATGGAACTCAAGGTAAATTTCTTTGATATCAGGGGAAAACTTTGCTTTCTTGAACCAATATAACACAATACTTGAACCCTTGGCAGACAAATTAAGAAGGCACATGCGAACATTTCTTACTCTTAGCATGGTTAATTGGCTGCAGTGGTCTTCAAGACCTTTGACAAATGTTTCCACCAGTGTAACCTCGTGGATAACACCACTAGTGCCCGGCATGTAAAACAGGCTGAACTCTTCTGAGGAATGTGCTAGACAATACGAAATAGCATAGGTATCATATGGTGTTCGAGTAACTGAAGAATTAGGATAATATGGTGCATTAATGCTCACTTCCCTCCTAGAAACAATGCTCTTTTCAGCTGCAAAATAGTGAGATATAATATTGGGGTTTTCATATTCGTTGAACCATCTTTCTCTATTAGTGTAGAGTTGTGTGCCTAGTGCTGACATTGAGAGGAAGTAGAGATGGTCTGTTGTCCTCCATGTCACTGGCCTCATCGCTGGACGGCTCCTCCTCAGAGTCAGCTGCCAGCAGACTCGGCCCTTCATTCTGCAGAGAGAGCTGGGAGAATTACAATATACAGACGCGGGAACTAGTCTAACTGCAGGATAAAGATCCAACGCACTAAACCCTGCACGAAAAGGGTCCGCTACTTACTAGCTAGTTACTAAGTGCCACTACTCTTTCAAAGTCGCCTCGGACCCTCACGGGAGAGTCGGGCTAATCGCGAGAACCGTCCAATAAGCACATAAGGATAGCCTAATTTGTCGATTACCTTCCTGGCTGTCTTATATTGTAGTGTTTTCTGTATTTCGCTGCGCTCATGGCCGGCCACTGCACAAAAGTCCTCCCTTCTTCTTCGGTCTTGCCTCGACAACGTGTTACTGTGTTCGTATAATTAGAACTCGCTCCTCTTTGACGCTCACCTGCTTTGTGGTCATCCCTGAGCCTTAACATAATATCTTAACAACTCTGAGTAGCGAATGCGAACTAGCTACTGAAGTTTCATGTCAACCACAGAAACTACCAACAGCAACAGGCTTGATAGGGGACGTTTTTTGTTAGAATTATACTTACATCGATCCCACGGATAAAAGGGTGAGCAGCCGAAATATAACAGGTTCAACATGCAGCTCGCAAGTCTGGCGATCGCGATCGCTTGACTGGTCACAAAACGAACCGCGTCGTGGCTACGCGCGCGTATCCATAATTACGCGTGCGTCGACGCTCACGCATACACGCACGCTGTTGCAAAGCCGCATTCACTCAGTGTTTGACTGTTCGTTGTCTTTTTCGGAAATTGTTCCTTATGGGTCGATCCAGGGACATATCACTGCCCTAGACCTAAGGAACTAATGATTGTGATTCTCTTTCTCCACACAGGTGCCGTAAAATCCGTCGAGGTGCGGGCGTCGCCTAGTGCGTCTTCTGTGCTGCTGCACAACAGGAGCGATCAATGACCAGTGAGCACAAATCCTCTGATGTGAAGAGTATTATCTCAAGCCCTGATTCGAAGTCTGCAAAACAACTGCAACTTGGGCTTCCAGAGAAGTGAGTTAAAAAGTAAGTATTGAGGCCTTTTCAGACTGCTACCTGTACACAGAGTGCCTAAGGCTGATGAAGATGAGGACATGCTGGAAAACTGTGTAAAGGTGTACATTGTCAACCTGCTGGAGAGGTAATTTCAAGATGGCTACATATTAAGTGGCTAATAATCGAGACTGTGTATGGTGCCACAGGGTTGTGGGGCAGATAGCCGAAGAATCGACTCGGCCAAATATCCTCACAGACGACCATGAAGCCACCGTCAGTGATGGTGATGATGATGATGAGGATGAAGAAGACACTGGAGTCACTGGTGAAGGTGCTCAGGCTAGTGGGAAACCAGACTCTGAGGTCTCCCAGCAGAGGCGCCAGCGGTGTGGGATATTTGAGGTGAAGTTGGTGAACGGACCACTGGGGCTGGGGCTCAGCCTTGGTCTTGGCCACTTCGGAGAGGGTGCTGGTCAAGAACATCAGGAGATTTAGCCGAGCTGCAAGTCAGGGAGATCTCCGGTAATTCAATCAGCTGTATTTCAACCCATCAGCCCCTCTCGTTGATTGTGATTTGTACCATTGCACAGGATTGGTGATCGTATTCTGGAGATCAATGGCAGCTTTGTTACAGGAGAGAGTCTGAGCACGGCTCAAAGTTGCTGTCAAGGGCGAAGGGAGAGGTCCGGCTCTTGGCCATGAGGGGTCAAGAGACTCCACCACTGCCAGAGCCTCCAGCTCAGGAGACTGTGCTGTTCAGAGTCTTTCCCACCGCCAACGCTGGGGTGATCCTCATGAAGGTATGTAGCTACACTGATTGATGAGAATCTCAGACAAAAAGGTGGGCAACCAGATAACGTTTATAGTTTTCATTGAAAGAGTTGCAAGCCTTTCTGAGCCAGATGAGTTAATGACTTATGGTGATGCGACAGATATTAAGGCAATGCGACGTGAGGTGAAACACTGTACTGAGCATGTGTCTAATCTGGGGTATCAGAAGCACTATCTTCATGAGTACGCTCACCTACCCCCAAACGGTACCATGCTTGTCATGCTGGAGTAGATTTTAGTTGACAAAACCCTGAAGGTTTTAGCTAAATGCACATGGCACATGTCAAGACTCTCCATCCAATTTTTAATGCACTATCCTTCTCACACTCTGCACCTATCTCTTACTCCCCCCCTCCCCCCTCTGCCCCTCACAACCCAGTTGAACACATCACAGGACAGACCTCTCGGAGTGGAGATGAGGGAGGCTCTGACACAGAGTCTCCATATGTAAAGATAGCAGCCATTGCTCCCGGCTCGGTAGCAGAGAGGTGTGGGATGCTGCGAGTGGGTGACGAACTGGTGGAGGTGGACGAGGTCCCAATAGTAGGGGCCACTCACAGCCAGGCCCTGGACATTATTCAGGGCGTCTCCCGCCCCGTCACAGTTACCGTGCAGAGGAGGGAGGACTTTGACCTTGAGGCCAGGATAAGGCCCCCTCGATAATCAAGCTGCACTGCTTTGCAAACTATGCTATACAGTAGATACTGCTATAACTACATAATGAGCTGCATAATATACATATCATACTAAATAAAATGATGTTAAGTTATATCATTTATTTACTGTTCTCTGTGTGAAATAACTAATACTACTCTGTTTGCTGCTGGCTATTAACACGTAACAACAGTTATAGTCTCAGTTGTAGCTGCATATCATGCACCCTAGGGATCCTGACGAATCTTATGATGCTTATGCTTGTAATGTAGCAGACAGGCGGCATAACAGGCATCCTTCTTTGACACCACTCCACTAGAGCATTCCTCTTTGCACTCGTGGGAACACTCATACTCTTTAGCATTGGAACATATTGGCTCGGGTAGAGTGGCATTGTAGCAGTAGCCTTGCCTCTGGACTAGTCCAGGAGGACACTCGTCCACACACGTGAGATCATCGGCAATGCGGAACTGAAGACACGAGTCGCAGTACTCTGGACCTGCACGTGCACAGCCTCGGGCACACACTGGGTCGCAAGTCGCTGGTATGTTTTGAATTGCCTGTGGTACTTCAGCAGTGCCATAGGTTGTGAAGTGGATATCATCGACTGCGACACTACCAACGGCTCCACGGTACCTGACAGTCAGAGTCCAATTTCCGTATGGGTCTTCACCCCAGAAATGCACAGACATGAAAGGCCACTTGTAGTACAGTCCAGGTCCAATGTCTAGCGACCGATATGGCAGGAGAATCGACACAGTGCCAGCTGGTGATGTTAGCTCCAATTGAACATCTCCTCTGTTACCCAGAAACACTGCAACTGTTGCTTGCACTACCACATGTTCCAGAAAGCCTACTTTCTCGTCATGGACTAAGATATCGATTGATTCTTCAGAAGAAGGTCCAACAAAGCTATACAAAATGACAAAGATAGTTACTATGGTTATGCTAGTGGGGTGTGAGTGTATAATGATTATGAGTCTATGTATACGATGCTTACGACTTTTACCACTTCCCATTTAACTATAAAAAATGAAACGTAGATGTAAGGGTGCTTTATCCAAGGGAATATAACTGAGCAATAACCACCCCACATAAAGCATCTATGTACCTTCACTCTGAACACTTGTGTGCTTAGAAGAACAGCAAGAACACCGAGGGACAATAATCAATACCTGTGAGAACTTTTCTTACATGATGTCATCGAGGTAGATTGTGCACATCTGTTGTTGAGGAACGTTGATCCAGTGTCTGGCTCTCGTCACTAGTGCCTCAGCATCAATGGCTCCAAATCCAATGTGGTGGCTGAATTTGAGGCCAGCTCCATTGGTAGCCAAGTCACTCACAATGAGTATGTCAGGATTTGAGGTGTAGGCTATCAGATACTGGACATCTCTCCACGTCAGATAAGGACTGTATGAAAAGATGGCAGGTCACTGGTATATGTGTGTGTGTTAGGTATGGATGGTATCAAAAGCCAGGGAGGGAATTTGAGAAGTGGAACAGGGGATGATTTTGGGAAGGCTTTTGTCGGTGTCACACAACATACAGTCCCCCATGCATCAGATATTGATGTTTACCCACCCCCGCACAGCCAGGCCAGCACAACCCCACACACCCCACCAGCATACGTCATTATATTTACTCATGAATACACACAAGTATTAACCACTGGCTTATTTGTACGGGCGCCTAAGTTATGGACGTAACAGGGAACGTCGAGAGCAAAGTATATACCAATGTTAAAGCGGAACAGTATGTGTACACATACAAGCACAAGAGTAAGACATGGATGCCCAGCCTTGAGAACTGGGGACGGTGGGTTAAAGATCTTTTGTGGCTAGCCAACTCTCCCCACACATCCAATGTCACAGACTCTCGTGTAAAATCTACAGCTTACAGTACTGTATTTACAATCACATAGGCTCTCTGGGAGATTTGCAATCCTATGGTTCTACTAACGCAAAGTGGGGTATTTAGAGGAGAGTTATGATGTCATAGGTATGGAATTTCCTAGGGAGAGGCAAAACTGGATTTAGATAGACAACTAGGGTATTTAGGCAAACAGTAATGAGGAGACCAGGGTGTCTAGTAACAATTTTCCAGAGCCAAGCAGAGCAGCTGCAAAACCAGGACAGGTATGGAATTTTCTAAGGGGGAAGGGGTTTGTTACTCTAGGATCCTGGGTGATGTATTTCACTTTAGTGATAATCACATGTGTAAAACATGATGCTCTGTGTGCGTGTTTGCATGGGGGAAGAAAGGAAGAAAGAGCGCCAGGGACTGAGAGGCCCTCCTCCGCGGCCACATGCATTGGCTTTCTGAATGTCTGTACACGTAGTCCCGCCCCCACCCCATGCCCATGAACCGGAAGGCCCTACGTATAGGTCACGCGATGTTCTAGTGTCACGTGTAGTTTAGCCTACGTTCATGCACAAGTCATCAGGGGAGCTCCTCGCAGATCATCGTGCAGGGACACCGGTTTCGGTCCCTTTAGTCTCCTGACCTGTGCCCTGCTACCAGAGAGGCGGGACACTCCTTTAACGGAGTCTGGTAGGCTTAGTTTGTGTGTCTTGTATAATCAGTCTATGTCTATTTGTACTCTACTGCTGCACAGTTCATGGTCAGTTAAAATACCAGGTTTACTTTGTACAGCAGTGTATATACACTAGGTACTACTAACTTGAGTAGGGGGATTACACAGGATGTATATACTAGGTATACTAACATGCGTAACTATACCTGCGGTATCTTGGTTGCCAGCACTCTGGAGCCCGCGCTGGTACTACACGTGGTTGGGGTTCACCGGAGGGTCATTAATAGTTTCACGCAATGAGGTGTATTTTTTAGAGCAGGTTACTTTAGTTTGTGGGATCCCTGTGTAGTTGCTTAACTGGTTTCCTTGTGTGTGTGTGTGTGTGTGTGTGTTGGGGGAGGGGAGGGAGGTGTGGATGGGTGTGTGTACGAGTCTTACTTTGCGTCCAAGGCCAGAGCAATAGCACCAGATGCCTGAGGAGCTGCAGCACTGGTACCATCAAAGGTATTCACACACCCAGCCATTATCTCAGTAGCTATTGTGGCCTATGGTAGGGGATTTGAATCTGCTCAAAGCCATTTCACTTTACATATTATTTAAAAATAGGGCCTCTTTCCATTGTTGTAACATCAATCGTGCCAAAAGATCCAGAAAAATATTCAAAAAATTTGCAACTCACACAATGTGGTCACAAAGACCATAACTGCTACAGATAAGCAACAAGCGCATTTTTGTTAATGAGCAAAGTGACTTGTATGTGCATTGTTGTGGCGGAGAATCGGTCATTTCAAATTGCATGATTCAGACGACTAGGTGGGCTCACTTTACTCGCCATTGAAGGCAGTGCATCACTAGGGTGCACTCGACGCTAAATATCATTGCCGTAAGGCTATGCATCCAATCTCATACGGCTGCACTCCTTGCAAAGCTCTGAGAGATAGCTACGTTCTACTGACTGTGGAATTGTTGATCTACTCACTCCCATGCCATGATTTCCAGGCAGATGCCCACAAAGCTGAGAGTTTATTCGCACACACCTTGCATTTATGGTTGGGGGCCCACTGAAGTGCAACGGCAACAACTACTACATAGTTATTGCAACACTAGTAAACCCTGTAACTCCCTCAAAGGAATGAGCAGGTACATTCCTGTATCAGTTTGTGCCTGTCCACCAAATGTTTATAGGGCTCTACTTGTTTTGCATATTCATAGGCAGTACAATCATACATGGAAAACAACTGAAGTGCAATCCTCAGCGCACTGCGCATGCGCGGTACCGCTAATTGATGAGTTGGGGCAAAAGATGCATTTACTCGTGGTCTCCACGCTAGTACCTCACGGAGAGTCTGACACGTACTAGCTACACAAGTAGATAGCATGCGGGAGTCGATATATGCTCTTGAGGCTCCAAGGTACACAGAGCGAGCAGATCAGGTCACGGTAAGCCCAGTGCGATTACGCATACATAATGAGGGTAACTCCGGACGCGGAGGTAACTCCGGACATGGGGCGTTGCACCGGCCTCGAAATTATTCGCTGCGAAGAAAATGCGAGGAAGATTTGTTAGCACTTTGGTAGCTAGTAATATATCCGAATCTTTCTTTCTCTTGTTTCTGAATAGCGAGTTATGTCCGTGTATTACCCCGTGTCTGAAGTTACCCCCATTTACCTTATAATCATTACTCATATCAGTAAAATGAAAAATGAACTGCAAACTCCCTTGGCACAATAATTATTAAGGCCAACTCATTATTCCACTTTCACCACACAAGTGCTAAAAAACACACAGCTTTAGAAAGTTTGAAGAGGGGCTAAATAGCAAAGTAAAGCTGTTGTTGTATAAGTCATTTTAACAACGTGGTAGAGTTCAAAAAGTACTTGCATGGGAAAAGTGATGCTGGGTCTAGATTAATGTTTAAGTTCAGGTCAGGCACGCATGGGCTAAATGAGGAACTGGGTAGGCATAGGGGGAGGGAGGGGATGAAGGAGTGCCTGTTGTGTGATGATGAGTGTGAAAGTGTGAGTCATGTGTTGTGGGAGTGTCCAGCATATAGTAGTCTTAGGAGCAATTTCTTAGTTGCCCTGCAGGGGAAGCTTGGGGATGATGGGTTTGAGCATTTCCAGTCGCTTGATAGTTTCAGGAAAGCATCCTTTATATTGGGTAGTGAGCTGTGGGAGGATAAATTTGGTTCTTTGCTTGGCCTTGTTAAAGGTTTTATTTTGGATGTTTGGGAGCTAAGGAAGGTTAGGTTATACGGCGATAATCCCCGCGTACAACAGACCCAGTCTCGGATTGCGTCTGGGGAGCTGCAGGGTGTCGCTGGTGGAAGAGGTGAGTTGAGGTGTCTGGGAGGTGAGACAGACACCGCATGTTCATATGGTGTATGTTCGTTTGTTAACGGTTCCGCCCATTGCTCTGGGTGCGTGGTCTATGGCCCTAGTGCTATGGCAGCCACCTGAGTATTATTATTATTACTAAGTAAACCACCCAGAGTCAAGCCCACAGAAACAGTATTACTTCATTGCTGTTGATTATGGTTTAACATCCCAAATTCTTACTATGGCAGGATTTGGAGCATAATTGACAAACGTGGAGGCCATCTTGGCGGAGCACCTCTCATCATAGTCGGTAGGTCTCCCATCACTTAATAGTGCTCCAATGGCAATGGTGTAGATGCTCTGAATATAGCCGTCTGCAGCACAGGTGTCATCGTTTCTTCCTCCATTTCCTGACGCGAACACAAATATGGACCCCTTCCCATGTCGACCCTGTATTGATAACACCAACATTCTGTAGATATTACACAATATCCAGTTATATGTCTTGGACACATATATTTTGCTACTATAATTATACTCTCACAAACACCATAACTATCACACCTTTTAAGCAACAGTAAACTACTACCAAGTGTAGAGCAAGGAAAGCCGTCTCCTCACACTGCCACACTTGCAGAACTATAAATTCATAGCCTTTAGGGTGGTCCATCTTCATGTGTGTTTAATGCATGCCTGTGAGACTGCAGCTACGGTGAAACTGTTGAAATACCCATGTGTCCTAGTAGATCCCCTTGTGAAGCTCAGAGGAATGAGGTGCAGACGACACCTTACAGTGCATCTCATGATTTATGATTGTGAACACACTAAGGTTCCAGTGACAACAACTACTGCGTACGGTATACTACATTTACATAGCAATCCTGTTGAATGTCAAAGGAATGTGCAGGAATCTGTATCAGGTTGTGCCTGTCTTCAAAACTGTTATAGGGCTCTACTTAATTTGATTTCATTTTGGTGTAACATACACATGAGAAATGATTTTTTAACCATTCGAATCACCATTACACACAGTTTTAACAGGGCACATTGTGGCGGTTTTCCCGAAACGACTGCATTCCAGAGATATGGCGTGAAAACAGCCAACGCGCGGTCGATCGCGCACGCGCCCTCTCATCCTGCAGGCTATATAGCTATTATATATAGCGCGCACGCGTCATGTCAATTAATCGCCGGAGCATGCGCTACGCCACGTTGGTTGTATATATACAATTGGAAAAATCATTTCTTCAAAATGAAAGGGGGATATAGGGATGGCTTGAAGCACCAAAAAGGAAGAAACAAGGGGTCATTACACAGCAAAGTTGCACAAAGCTACATGACACCATCCCTATATCTTTGTTCGATATTAAACTTTGCTTATAACTTATAAACAATAAAACAAAGATATAGGGATGGTGTCATGTAGCTTTGTGCAACTTTGCTGTGTAATGACCCCTTGTTTCTTCCTTTTTGGTGCTTCAAGCCATCCCTATATCCCCCTTTCATTTTGAAGAAATGATTTTTCCACTTGTTTCCACTATTTTTAACAGCTTATGACAACACTGCATTTATTGGTAGAGTGACGCTGATGTTCATGGGCATGCTGTATATGGATAGGCTATACCATAGACAAATTGTAACTGTTGAAAGTAGTAGCTAATGGGGCGAAATTGGAGACCTTCAGTGAAAAAATCAGCGCTCGAACTGGTACTGGTAAGGAGATAGCGGGTTTAAAGAAGAAGAAGAAGAATATGATGACACGAAAATCGTGATATCGCGTATGAGCGAATTCTCCCGTGGACGACTGAAGGTGCGTATGAGGTCTTGGGGGACATGTATAGGTAGATATGGGCCCGTTGACTATTGCTAGTATGTTTTGAAGGCCTAGGAGTGATTCTCACCGAGTTTTTAGTCGTTTTGTACGCGGATCACGTGAGATTTCACCCGTGTCTACCGACTCTCTAATACGATCCACGGCCTCCTGTAAGTTTTGATCTCTGTTCCCTATGGATAAACGATAAACATGCTGAGCAAGGTATGTTCGCAAAATAGTTCAGGTGGCGAGCAGTTTGTGGTTGCGGCCTTGCCTTCCCATCTATAAAACGTCTGGCGAGAGCATTGAAACACAGAAGAGCGGATAGATTTAATAAAGCAAATATGAGAGCCTCTGAAACACCTGAGCTATTGCTCTAACCGCTAATGCAACTACCCTGTGTTCCGGTGAGACTCGTATTACTGGCTCCGTCGATGACGCACGGCCCAGCATACAGCGATGCTACAACTCGCTAGTTTACCGCCGAGGGTTTGCACTTCAGTGCTTTTCATAATAGACAAGTAATGCTCAATACTTTAAGTCACTGTACAATGTTTATAATTCTGGACAGGTGTGGGAATGTAGAATGGGAATGGAGTTCACAAGCTCACCCACTTGGCTTTACATTACATTGAATCATTTCCTGTCGGCCCTTCCCTGTTGACTGACAAAATTTTACCACAAACAATTTGTCCAACTGACAGTTGACAAGCAAGTTAAGTTGTATTATTTTTTTACCTGCTGAGCTCCCTGCTCAAGAGCCATGGTTGCCATCAAATCAGGCCCAAGCACTAAACTGCCAGAGTCGAACGGACCCCAACTGTTGGAGTATATGTCTATCTTGTTATTCTGATGAAGTAACGCCTTTGCCTCGCTTACATCTGTCTCAAATCCCGAAAGCAGCAAAATACCTGCATGGCAGAGAAGATTGTTTGTTTCACCACAGTAACCATTAAGGTGTCAGTTGGTCATAGCTCAGTGACTACTAAAATTTCCCACCAGTGATAAGGGAGTTGTAAGCCCAACACCCACACCACACACGCTGTTGCTCTTCTCCATGCCGATGACTCCAGCAACGTATGTTCCGTGAGTGTCTCCGAAATTAGGAAATGCACTATCAGTGCAAGTCACGGCATTCAAATCCAGACCCAAGAGCTATACATAGGGTACAACAATGCAAGGATCAACATACTCTGTTAATTGACTACTTCTGATTGGCTTACGTACATAGTTTCTGACAAGATCTGGATGCTTGAAATCCACACCTACACAAGTGTGCATATGCAGAGACTAATCAAAACAACGTTATCTCAAGCTGAACCACTGCATGCTCTGAAAAACAGGTCTTTGTAGCTATTATAATTTTACTCATGATCATTTTAAATATGCATATTTGTAATTACCTACACTCTGCCACTAGCCATTTCAATTACCATCATCAACTATAGCTAGAATCACTCCACATCCAGTAAATCCCTGGATCCATGCCGGTTCCACTTTAGATGACGGTTGTTATTATCATTCGACCTAAAGGGAAGAGATCAGGTAAAGATCTTGGTTGAAATTTTATGGTTATTGCTAATTTGTCAACGCACACGAGGTAAAAACTGCGCAGGCCAGCGTGGATCAGTAGGCACTGTGTACTGCGTACTGGCGTAGCAACGTCCACGACACAACTTCCTGTTCTGCAATGATAACCTATTGGGGCAGATTCATTTTATGATCTGTTTTCACTCTGAGTCACTGCTTATAATACCGAATTTCCTGTAGCAGAGCCGCAGTAATTGTGGGTAAGGAGCCATGGCGGCGATATGGTAGCTCGTATCAAGTGGCAGCAGGAACCAGTACATATCTTCCAGAGTACCAACCTGCAGGAACATTGCTATTATGCGGTCCATTTTGTAAGAGCTTTCCTTTGCTGCTACTATAGTTAACAACAGTAGAACAGAGTGAGTGTGTGCAGGGCTCACCTGTCCCATGTTGGTGAGGCCCTGCTCATGGCGACACTGTTAGCTACCCCCAGACCTCCAACAACCTCACTCCCCATGCATTGGTATAGACTGGAGACTGGGCTGCACTGGGTACTGGAGTGTATACTGCAGCCACACTAGCAGTCAAGATGAATGCTATTGCAGCGTTCATCCTTCCACTGAAGCTTCCACTGAAGTCAACCTTTGCCAGACTGTCTGCAGCGACCAAAGTTGCTCGTTTTATTCTGTCGTGTACATATTATGCACACACGCAGGCAGGAATGCTATGTAGAGCTTCTCTGCTGTGTCAGGCAGGCACAACACCTTCATTCCTAGCTTCACTTGAAGCTCAAAGAATGAACCCAGAACCATTAATAAGGGAATGCTTGTTACATAACTGGGACTCTGTTTGCTGCTGAGTCACAATGTCTCACTATACAGTATAACAGTAATAGTCCAGGCAAACATGTCCAGGCAAGTATTAGATCTAGCATATGCAACTCTCAAATTAGCTACCTCTTTAAGTAAAAGCTTTGACTGTCATAGGTCCATCCACCACATCCTTCCATTTGGTGCTCCCCAGCATTACAGTGATTAAGAGCTGTGCACTGTTGTAATCTCTTTGAGCCAACACAATACTATTGATTTACAAGCTAGCTATACTCTGTGTCGTGTGGTTACATGCTGTGGAACCTCTGAATAAGGAACACCTTGAGGACATGGAAAGTGGCCTGTATTCAGATATTCAGAGACGTCGAAGTGCAGCATTGGTTTAGTATGAAATTTATCAAGGATGGAGAAATAATGATCATGACTACAATATCCACAAAATAACATAGTATGGTAGCTTTGCAAGGATGCATGTACACAAAGTTCAGGTCTCTATATATAGTGCCTGAGTCTTTAAGTGCTCCAGAATTACTCAGTATACACGTGCACTTGTGCTCTAGGACTTCCAACTGCTGTGCCGGTTTGAATAGTATGCAGATTGCGGTGGTATGGAGGTGCTGTTAATATGTAGGCTGTGGTAGCTAGATATGTAGGTTGCTGTTGATATGCAGGCTGTGTAGGTTGCTGCCAATGCAGGTTGCTGGCAGCATTCAGCGTAAGCATGCAGGAGTTGAATGCAAGTATGTAGAATGCTGTTGTTGTATGAAGGTTGTGGGGATAACACATGAAGGTTGTTGTACTCTAAGTAAACAAGAAATTCTGCAAGATTTCTCAAGATTTTACTCTCAGCCTCTCCAGAGACAGACATTTCTTGAGACGAGGGTCTAGTCCAGAGAATGACTGTAGAACTGCAGTGTCTGGAGCAGTAAATGAGGTAAGAGAGAATAACTTCTTTCCCTGCTGTTTCCTCTGGGAAAATAGCTTCTTGAAATCAGCAGCTGTTTTTACTCGCTCATCAAAAAAAACAATCCTTTAAACTGTCTGTCCCAGCAGAGGAGAGTCTGGGGTTGAGTCAGGTCTGATGATGAGAATGATCTCCTGAGATTAGGAGACATGCCACTACGGACAGCCCCCACATTGAAACTGTTGAAAGGTCCAAGTCCTGTCCACTGACGATACTCAGCAGAGAATAAACCGGACTGAATCCTTATCTCTTCCAGAGTATTATTGTCCTTGAGAATGTTGTTAAGTTCCAGAAGACACTCGGTGCAGGTAGTCTTACTTGCCAGAGGAACTCTCTCCATGGTTGTGAAAGCGGAGAAATCAATTTGCCGTCTCTCACCACCTTTATGTGGGATTTCATCATCATGAATAAAGAGGCGCGTTAACTTTGCATTTTTGCTTAGCGGGCTACATATGTATAGGATTCCATCATAGCCCAGTCTGGTTCTCTTCAGCTCCAATGTGGTAAGACTGGGGCAGTGTAATAAGATGCTACGAACACCAACCATGGTCTCACGGGATATGTTGGACAACACCACTTTTGTATTTGAGTTGATATCAAACTGACTTTAGAACAGACTAATCAGTACATCTGTTGACTGTTAATCTTATATAATGAGTTGCAGTGGAATTTGATATCAAATACAACTTCTGTTAATTTATTCCCTCCGATCAGCCCGTATTCTTCTGACCAGTTGCAAACTTCAGGTGGGGGAAGATTGCATTCCTTGCTTGTAAAGACACGCAATACTCTTAATTCTGTGAGGTTATTTAGAGCACCAATCCACCTTAAGGAATCGATGTGTATCTCAAGTGATTGAAGTTTGACAATTGATTTTAAAAACTCCTCCTCATCATCACTGGTGTTGTCATGGAACTCAAGGTAAATTTCTTTGATTTCAGGGGAAAACTTTGCTTTCTTGAACCAATATAACACAATACTTGAACCCTTGGCAGACAAATAAAGAAGGCACATGCGAACATTTCTTACTCTTGGCATGCTTGATTGGCTGCAGTGGTCTTCAAGACCTTTGACAAATGTTTCCACCAGTGTAACCTCGTGGATAACACCACTATTGCCAGGCATGTAAAACAGGCTGAACTCTTCTGAGGAATGTGCTAGACAATACGAAATTGCATAGGTATCATATGGTGTTCGAGTAACTGAAGAATTAGGATAATATGGTGCATTAATGCTCACTTCCCTCCTAGAAACAATGCTCTTTTCAGCTGCAAAATAGTGAGATATAATATTGGGGTTTTGAGCCTCATAAAGGGAGCGTATCAACACACTGAGATCTTTAACATTCGCAGTGTCATGACTGACATAAATTTTCCAGTGGTTCCTGTCATCCTCTGACTGGCATCTCAAGCCAGTGATACCAGCCAGGAATATGGCTGGTTCTACTAGTGACTGCCCTAGTCGCTCTAGTGATGATAGGAGAGTCTCTTCCTCTTTGTTATCACCTTTGTACTCCACAGAAGCTCTTTTATCTACAGCCAGCCCATGATAAGCGACCTGAAACTCAATGCTGTAGCTTTTAGCCAAGTGCCAAGCTGCCAAGTACTCCTGTAGGCTGAGGTGGAGAAATGAGAATGTTTGCTCCACTCCTTTGCTAGCATACATCTCAGTTGATTCATTCATTAAACCAAAATGAACTAATCCCTCAGGGATATCCTCTTTCAAAAATGTAACTTTTCTTGCTTCACCTATGTGATAACTATAAAAAGCAAAGTTAGCTAAAATTCGAAACATTTTCAAATCTGCTTTATTTAGACCTTCTGGAAGCATAGATGTACACTCAAAATTGCTATCCTTCAACTTCATGTGTCTAACAAGAAAGGAATGAGTGAGTGCCTTGTACAGCTGTGTTCTTGTTTTAGGTATTGCAAGGTGGTGGCTACTTTGAGACTCATCATAGACTTGTGCTATAATGGCACAGTTGAGTGGAATGTACATCATTGACTTTATGTGAGGGACAAGAAACATGTACTTCAAGAAGTTCTTCTGAAGCTCTGGTTTTTTGCTAAAGACTTCAGTGATGTACCTCACTCTCTCTTCCTCTGTGAACCCAATGATTTCTACATGTTTATCGACTTGAGGCTGGCAGATACTTTTGAGTGTGTGCATGGCCACTGGTCTAGTAGTGAGAAGGATGGTACATTGTGGTAATAGATGCTTACAAAGAATGCTTTTAATGACAGAGTTTGCATGGAAACTGTGAGAGACTTCATCAAAACCATCTAAAACTAGCAACAGCTTTTGTCCTTGTGATTGCACCAATTCTTCAGCAATACTTTTACTGAAGTCAGGGTGAGATGGGTATCTGAATATATCTGCAAGTGATGTGGCGTTTAAAACCCAATTCTCCCTCAACTTGAGCAGCACCACAACGTGATAGTCTCTGAGGCTTTCTATCTCATCCCATTTCCTACATACCTCCCAAGCAAAGGTACTCTTACCAATTCCTGGAGGACCTTCTACCAGAACAAACCTAACAGGTTTACCACCGTCTTCTAGGGTTAGCAGGTCTTCGATGTTGATAGGTATCTTGCTCTTAAGAATCTGGTCTACACCTCCATGCAGTGTTTGTTTAGTGAATTCGTCTCGTTTTATAAAATCCCTACTGACAATGGCAAGATTAATATAGGGGGCATTGAGAGTGGGAAGGTACTTGTCTGCAGCAGCTAGATTTCTAGCATTGTAACAAGACTGCAAGTACACTTTATACCTTGCCAACGCTGGAATAACACCTGGTTGATGTACAAAGTGACTTACTCCAAAAGGGGATGATATACCGCTAATAGGTGCTGGGCTGACTGTGTCAGACATTTTTATTTCCTGCATCCGAGAGAAGAAAAAGCGGTGAGTGAGCACAACTTTGCATACTTGATATGTCTTACCCAAGACTGATTCCACACCTAGCTGCTCCTGACTCAGTGTTGTTTGACTGCCAAACACAGAGGCTGTTTGCTCAGGACTTTTCTCTAACAAAAAATACACAACTTAAGTAATCTAGAGCATCCAACAAATAATACTACAGTGGGTCCCGGTCATACCCACGGTGCATCCAAAAAATATGATAATATGCGGGATATTCTACAATGTGGGTGTGTATACTGTGTATACCAACGTATACTTTGACCCAGATAGCACACAATGCAGTTTGTTTAGCTAAGCTAAGCTAGCCTAGCTGTTTACATAAGCTAATTGAAGCCAGGTGGAGAATGGAGAGTTACAAACTCCAGCTGAAGGCTGTAGAAAGCATAATTACGCATGCACATAATGACAATGCGGCCAAGAAACCAAAATTGTCTAATTTTTCTATGGTAATAGGCGGGATATGACATGATCTGTATTCTATAAAACGCAGTATAATGTATGGGAAAGCATTGGAAATGGTTTTGGATTTCAGGTTTGATTATAAATGGGATATTCTATTAAACGGTATGGGACCCACTGTAATACTATCCATACCTGCTTCTCTTAACATGTCCCTGCCAACTTTCTGTAGAGCTTCATTCTTCAACAATACTTCAATACACACAAAGAGAGATTCAGGATGACACTTTATTTTCTCATCAAGTGTGTCAACTAAATTAACGGCCTTAACCTGCTTAGATTCAGGAGACTTGAATATATCCTTCATCGCTGACTTTGATATCAGACCTTTGTTCAGCAACTCAGCAGCTATATCTTCAGGGTTTATGATTGCACAGCACAGTTTGCCGTAAAAACGTTCAAAAATATTTGTAGGTTCATTTGCTTTGTCAGCTTGAGATTCGATCATGTCACATGCTGGTGAAGAGTCATCAGTCCCAGAGCAGTTGGGTAAACTTTTTACTTCTTTTCTCCTTTTCCTTTTGTAACTTATTTTCCTCTTTTTCTTCTGCGGGCCAAGTTTTGTTCGATTCTCCTCTTGTGAAGTGGAGGGGGAGGAGCTTACTCTGGCAATGGGGCTCATACTTCTCTCCCTGCGCTTTCGCACTCTCCTTTTCTGTGTTTGACTATCAAGTACCTTCTGATCCCTGCCTCTATCACCGGGATCTGATTGATCATCACCCCCTGGGAAATTTGCGCCCACCACTCTCTCTCTTATTTCACCAATGGGAAGCATACTTTTCTCGTGCTTCTTTACTTCATCTTCACTAGTGGTAGGCTCTGTTTCCTCCTCCTCATTTGATGGCATTTCTTCCGAGTCTCTCTCGCACTCACTGCTAACATCTGAAAAATACGATTCTTCATCTTCTGAGTCGTTCTGACTGCTGTCTGAATCAGATGTGTCTGAAAGCTGAGCTGCAACTTTCTCGACTTTCTTGGACAAGCTTTGTCTTTCTATCCCACTTTCTTTTGGTGGTTTGATTTTTTTTGTGCCCAAGGGGTTTGCTTTATCACTGACTTTGACAGGTCTCTTCCTTTCTTTCTCTTTCATAAGACAAGGGGAAACACATTCATATTTCTTAGCTGACATTTGTGTTTTTTTACCTGATCTCTTTTCCTTCTCAAGATTTAAATCTTTTATGAGAGATATCTTCCGTTCCATGCATGTGATAGACGGCTTAACATGTGTTGCCTTTCCTGTACATTCAAGATGTACGTCTTCACTTACTTCGTCACTATTACAGGCAAAAGACTCGAACTCTATTTCTGATTTTGATTTTGATTTGTGAGCAGGTTTTCCACTTACCTTGTAGCTGAGGCAGCACTTTCATGTCGACGTTTTATACTTTTTTCTTTCCGTGATATTCCACTACCTTTCATTTCTGATTTGCTCTGCGTGTATTGAGCTCTTGTTCCCCTTGTCTTACTGTGAAATGGTGAACTAACCATTTCTTCATTCCCACTTTTAGTAGCGGATGATTCAGTGTCAGATGTTTCTTTTGGGGATTTTTGTTTGCTAGATTTCGTTTTAGTTTTTTCATCATTTGAATCAACTGATTTTTCTTTTGCTTTATGTTTGTATTTAGCCTTCAGTTCATCTCTTTCATACACTTCTGGTTCATCTAAAGATGTGATTATCTTTTCCTTCTCGTAGTCTCCTTTCTTCCCCTTTTTCTCTTGTGGCCATACCCCTGTAGAGGCTTTCCTCTTCACTGACGGTTTTGTTACTTCTTCTCTGAAGCTCCGAGGAGATGCCACCTCTACATTGTGTACCTTTTTTCGGTCCTTCTTTCTTTCTACTCTCTTACGTACCGCCTCATCTGAACCCTCTTTACTCTGTCGGATGCTATCGGCTGTCCTACTCTCACCTACACAGTCTAACCTGAGAGCTGTGTCTATATCACTCCATGTGAGAGGCTCTGCTTTCTTTAGACGAACCGACAGTATTTGAAGCAATCGGTCGCTGTGATCAGCATACTTCCCTTCAATATTGTTGATTTCCCCTATCTTCACCCCGATTTGTATGGCAAAAGATTTGTAGCTGCTTCTTGCTGGATACAGAGCACTGTGTAAAGTCCCTAAATCTTTCTCACCCAAACCTGCCGCCTGGCCACGTCCAGAGGCCATGAATGTGGGCCACCTCGCGATAGAGGAACTCTTCCGCCGGGAAGTAGCTAGCAAATACTGTAACTCACTGACGGCTAACACAGACCTATTCCGCCCTAAGATTTAGCATATTCTCACGATCTCTCTGTAGAGAGCGGTACTGCAGCCTGGCGTCTGACACATACACGACTACAACCCGCACACCAGTGCCACACCCAGTAGTACTACAGCAGTACATACCCTAGACCACCCATAAATAAAAACAGTCCCTCTCCGCGCGCGCGCTCTAAATCGCGTAAACACAGTTAGACGCATTACGCATGCGCGTAGGTTCAAGGTGCATCATTCGTTTTCTGCTACCACGAGCAAGAAATCGGCCAAAGAGCGATAGTAACGGGTTCAGTGCTACACTGGCTTGATTTAAAAAATGCGATTTTCATAAAACTACTGCGTTCTAAAGTTATGGCGTAAAAACCAAGTGAACAAGCTAATGGCTAATTAGCGCGGGCTTACCGCGACCGGGTCCGCTTGCTCTGTGTTATCTTGAAGGCACAAGAAATCAAAACGAAGGGCGTGTATCGACTCCCGCATGCTATCTACTACTGTAGCTAGCCCGTGTCAGACTCTCCGCGAGCTACTAGTAGCGCGCGGGAGAGACCACGACAGACAGCCCAGCGGTACCGCGCATGCGCAGTTCGCGGAGGGTTTGCACACCCCAGTCTTGGAAGTTGTGTAGTGGCTATCCACAATGACATTGTGGAAATTGAACACAGTAATACGTGCAGTGAGAGTGTAATTATTGACACACACATTCACAACTGCAGAAAGTGGTATAGCACAATCACAAAAATAATAAAAACGGAAAAATAAAATACGCAATTATTTGTTTCAATCTGTTACAGTTGAGGAGCCTGCGTGGGGAGACAATTAAATAGTGAACATAAAATAGCAAGTATAAATACACACATAATGACATGCAGAATGAGGGATTTTTATTCAGTATAATTATACAGGCAATGAAGCTCTATCACTCTCTATCAGATTCTCGAAATTCGTAAAAAGCCCGTTTGTAAACTGGATCACACATATATACATTCTCATACAAACGGAAGCTCACCTATCGCACCCCCACTGGGATGGTATGTGTGGTGAAGACGAGTCCCCAGCCCCATCTCCCCCACCAGTGAGAGGAGGCCCACCGGACGGTGCCAGGTCAGCAATGTCCAGGTGACACAAGCGAGGTCTACACATCGGAGGAGAGTTCTTTGGCGATAGTTTGTTGCGAGGCACCATGACTGTTGGTTCTACTGTGACTGCGACCGGTGACTGTCTTGTCTTCCCCAGCTCTTGTCGTAGTTTCTCTATCTCTGCCGCCTTCTCCTCGTTGTCTCTCTGTGTGGGGAGAAAAATGACAATATGGCTCAATAAATAAAGGAATGTAATTAATTTCCCATTCTTTATCCTGCCACATTTTATTTAACCCCAAACAGCTATTATTCCACTGACTTATGGTACAACATTTAACAGGGCAGAAGTTCAGTCTCACCAGAATCTCCTTCAGACTGTCTTTCAGTCTCACAGCACAAGTCAACAGCTGCTGCTGTGCCACACTGTCAACTCCCTCCACCCCTCCTCTCTCCTTCTCAACCTCCCCTTGAATGTCGAGCTGCGGTCAAGGCCCTTCCGTTTCATCTTTGACTTTTGTCCCTTCTTCCCCACCCCTCCGTCGACCTCTGAGCCAGCCAGGAAACCTTCCCGGTCTATTAACAGTTAAACAAGCATTTATGACCTAACTAATAGATGCTTTTGCCACCCTTATGTACAATCCACCTGCCACGAGAAAGAATCATCTTAGCTACCCAGGGAATGGAGTCAGTGAAGGTCCAGGACTGAAAAGTTGTCAGTTTCTCTACTACGGCCAAATCACAATCATATTGCCCCGTGACACGTAAGACTGGAGGAGAGCATTGCCGTAGGTTTGGAGCAAAGTATTTCCTGTTTGCCAAACCCAGCAAGAAAAATATTTTCCTCGGTGTCAACAAAAATCATTAGATTTAAAATATTGTAACATTTCACAGTGAATCCTGCAACAGGTTCTGCTGTGAATTTTAAAGTGCAGAGGTCAGCAATGCCATGGCATCACACAGGCACAACACCTTGATTCCTATATAGCTTCCTTTCAAGCTCAAAGGAATGAACCAAGAACCGTTAAGAAGGCAATGCTTGTTACATAACTGGGACTCTGTTGGAGCATGCCTTTTGCTTCCCAGTCCTGTGTCTATAATATAGAGTGTAACAACAGTGCAGAACACTGTTATTCAACATTATAATGCAGAGATGTATTATAATATTATTATGCCACTCCTAACTCTGTGCCAAGCCTTTAACAGTCATGGTATATACATTGCCCATGATCCACCACATCCCTCTCCATTGGTGTCCCCCAAGTACGTATTACGGTTTTTCATGTTTAAGGGCTGTGGCCATTCCTTTACCTCGGGAGCAAACACAGTACGCACCTTTACTTTTGACGTTGTGTCGTGGCCATTCATAATGACATTGTGGAAATTGAACATTGAACACAGTAAAACGTGCAGTGAGAGTGTAATTATTGACACACACATTCACAACTACACAAAAGTGGTTTAGCACAATGACAAAAATAAACAGAAAAAATAGTTACAAAATAGTACACAATTTTCAATCATAGCTGCTATAGCAGAGGAGCCTGCATGGGGAGACAATCAAACGGTGAACGTTAACAGTTTGGACGCCATATGTATCTCCTTAAATAAGCAGAAATCACCTAGATTCTTATGCACTTATGGAGGCTCTGGCCATATTTATAAATGCCCATCGACTTGCTAAGGGTTAATAGCTATACATATTATTTACTTGCCGAATGAGGGATTTTAAAATCCAGTACAGGCAGATTTTCATGAAACTTTCTCTTTCTATCATCATTAGATCCTAAAAATTCTTACAAAGCCTGTGTGTATGGATCGCACAGACATGCCTCTCGTACATTCAGTCCTCACCTATCGCACCCCCACTGGGATGCTAAGTGCCTGTGTCAGCTGGTATGTGTGGTGAAGACGAGTCCCCAGCCCCATCTCCCCCACCAGTGAGAGGAGGCCCACCTGACGGTGCCAGGTCAGCAATCTCAAGGTGACACGAGTGAGGTCTACACATTGGAGGAGAGTTCTTTGGCGATAGTTTGTTGCGAGGCACCACGACTGTTGGTTTACTGTGACTGCGACCGGTGACTGTCTTGTCTTCTCCAGCTCTTGTCGTAGTCTCTCTATCTCTGCCGCCTTGTCCTCGTTGTCTCTCTGTGTGGGGAGAAGAATGACAATATGGCTCAATAAATAAAGGTTAATTTCCAACAAAGGAATGTAATTAATTTCCAATTCTAGTAACGTTTTATCCTGCAACATTTTGTTTAACCCCAAACAGCTATTATTCCACTGACTTATTGGTACCAATGTATGTATGGGCACATTATTGCACATTTACTGTATTGTTCAGTCTCACCAGAATCTCCTCCAGACTGTCTTTCAGTCTCACAGCACAAGTCAACAGCTGCTGCTGTGCCACACTGTCCACTCCCTCCACCCCTCCTCTCTCCTTCTCCTTCTCCAACCTCCCCTTGAATGTCGAGCTGCGGTCAAGGCCCTTCCGTTTCATCTTTGACTTTTGTCCCTTCTTCCCCGCCCCTCCGTCGACCTCTGAGCCAGCCAGGAAACCGTCCCGGTCTATTACTCCCATGGTGGTACCGCTGTCGACTAGTTTCGACTGGTGGATGGTGTTGTGTTTGTTCTTGGGGCTACGGGCGCCGACGGTCATTGCGGGGGCTCGAGGATGTCTCGGGGAACTCCCCGGCTCAAGAGTGGAGGCCGAGCTGGTGACAAACATGGAGAGGACTCTGCTGGCAGACTCCAGGGTAGCTCGGGCACTGTGGATACGTCTCAATCTGTGCGTGTGTGCGTTGGAGCAACAAAACCGTTATCGTCTATAATGCTTATTACAATGTTCCAAGTCAAATTCAAGCCAAACCACACCCATAGGACAACTATTAAACGTCAGATATCTTACTGTACAAAACCTAAAATAGTGCAAATCACAAAGCACTTGATACTACACAAAGCGGGGTTGGTGACTTACGAGGGGCTCAGAGAACGCTGAGAGGCGGTGGGACTGGAGGCAGACCGCTGGCTCTCGCTTCGTCTGAGTTTCGAAAGAGACGGACTACCAACTCTGCCTTCCTCGCCTTTCCCCTCATCCACCAGACTTGGCTCACTGCCAAAGTACTCTGTGGAGCGAGTGCAGAGCAGAATGGAAACGAAGGAGATATGTCATACATCATACTACATATGACAACTAGCTTGTTACTCTGGCTAGTGGAGTGGAGCCATTAGTCATGGCCGGAACAAGCAGTAAAACAGAGTCCTCTGCTTGATAGTGCGCACATCACTAACTGTACAACTACTGTACGTACCACACTTGATGCCTTTCTCCCTGCACACGTCACCAGCCTTTGTGAGCGTTACCTCCCACCTGTAGTTAACAACACAACGCAATCATATACACATACACATACTATGTATTCCGCACAAGTACGTAGCGAGGGGCGAATGCAGCCCAATTACTTGTTAGCTATTGATTGCCTTTCATCATTGGCCTATTTTCCAGTAAGCCACACCCTCCTGGTGGCATCAAATTAGGTTTCAGTTGCTAGGCAAGGGCTAACATTATTGTTGCATAATCACTGTATACCTACAAATGCTTTGTGTCAATTCCATAAAAGCTCATATTTCCCCCTTGCAATAAAGTATAGATAGGCTCCAGGGAAGATGATGATGCAACTGACAAGTGTGCTGCTACATTCAAACAGAAGGCCTATAGTCTCATGACCACATCACTAAGCATCACTCTGTGTCTACGTGGTGAATAGCTCCATTCAAACCCCCACTCTACCAGCCCACCATACAAGAAGACAGAACAGCAACCACAATTAACACACAGTTCCTTCAAGCCCTTTGATGACCAGTGTGAGAGTGTGTGAGAGTGTGTGAGAGTGTGTGTGTGAGTGTGCAGTCACTCACTCCTTGGCCTCTTTCTTGCTCTTGAACTCAAGTCTGAACATCTCCGGAGCACTACCCTTCTCCAGTAGCAGGAGCTGGATTCCACTCCTGACTGACGCGTTCACACGGACGTGGAGGTCGTAGAGTCTAATGATGGGAGGCTGTGGAGAGACATCAGATTCAGTTACATTTTAGAGTTTAGAAAATGTTACAATATGAAGTAAATAGGGATCGGCACAAAGAATACATTGGTAGGCTCCCCAGTAAAACAGCTTGTTAACCCTCGGCGCGCATGCGCAGCGAGGGTTACAGTGTCCGTCCGTCCGTCTGTTACTCCACATCTCACCTCTCGAATGTCTGTTCGTCCCAGAAACGATACCATCTACCCAACGGGCAACGAAGGTCAGAATATACATATGTGGGGTTTTCTCTGAAAATGCTCCGTTGCAAAGCTAGAGCGCGAAAAAGCTAATATGCAAATATGCAACGGACGGGATGGCTTACCGCGGTTGTGCTCTGCGTACTTCGGAGGCACCAGAAGATGCAACGCAGGGTGTGTATCACATCTCGCATGCTATCTAGTAGTGTAGTTAGCCCGCGTCAGACTCTGCGCGAGCTGGCAAGAGACCACGAGTAACAGCTAAAACTAAACCCAGACCATCAATTAGTGGTACGGCGCATGCGTTTACTTGCGCGTGCGCATCACAGTGCGCCGAGGGTTTGCACTTCAGCGCTTTTCATATATCTAGAAGCCCTTTATCCTCTCTTCGTGATTCTCTTTCTTTGTTAATGTGAAAGAGTGAGCAGTTTAGTCTACATGCACCAAGCAGTACACTACTATTATGTACATATGTATATACAGACACCACTATAAGCTACTAGAGAAGTATTATATACAGAAGCTGGAGTAAAGGCTCAAAGCTGTAGCTGTCATTTCTCAGCAAATACAAACTGGGAGGAAACTATGCACGACTAGCTACTGCTCTGCTACAGTTTTGCCTTATGGTACACGTATCGGTACAGTGAACTGGTGAACTGGTGTACTAACCTTGAGATCAAGGATGGCAGGGAGGTTGTATTTCTGGTCTCTCTCAGTCAGCAGTACCACCAGGTCTGTCATCAGCACTATATGTACCGCTGCACCGACAAAACAAAACACTCAGTCAGCAGTGGACGCATTTATAGTACACTGCGTCTGCTGACTGTTGCTATTGTACCGACACGACTTGCGGGCATGTCACACACACAGTGTTTGGTCAGCTATCAAACAGAAAATAACACTGCCATATGTTTGAATGCTTGCTATTCTGCTAAAACAACGGGATAGAGTGTGTACTTTCATAAGCAAGTATAACAAAGCTGCAGGTTAAGCGGTTGCTAACACACATCTACAAATGGGCATATATGTTCAAAAATTTTTATTATCCACATCGGAAATAGTACACCTCCAGCAGACAGTACACTGTATATACACGTGTATAACCAAACAATCCTATTGTACAGTAGGGAAGCTGCCCGACTGTTCCCAAAACAATGTGTATACAATAGCACTCACAATGGGACTTGTACAACACTAATAACAACCACACACACAAACATGTCACTAACCACACATTTACCTACGCATGTAGCTATAACACAACACTTTCAGAGAGTCAGACTTACGTAGCTGTTTCCCGTGGCCGTGTATTAGCAGGGTGTACCCCCTCTTGGTGAGTCGTCTGTTCTGAGCCACCAGGTTCAGATCTTTCATGGCCCGCAGGACAGGGTTCTTTGCGGCGGTGCGGGGCAGCGAAATCTCCAACTTGTCCTGGATCTGCTCCAGTTCCATCTGGTTCTTCCTCTCGTCGACTCTCTGGTCCACCGCGGCCACCAGACTCTCCAGCGCCTGCCGACACAGTCGCAGTCTCTCGGTGTGATCCAACTTCAGGACGTCTGTCTTCTTCACCAGTCGAGCCACAAACTGGACCATCTTGGTGAGTCTCTGGCTCACAGTGGTGTAGTAGTCAGGGAGGTAGAGCCTCTGGCACTCCTTGATGCGGTACAGTTGCTGCACCAGCCGACCAAACTGCTTCTTCTTCAGTTGCTCCTTGTACATCTCGGTCGCGATGAGGTGGTAGGTGCAAAACTCGCCAAACGTGTTTAGGATTTTCTCGCGCCTGTCGGCCGTGTACTCTTCTAGGAGAATGTCGCTGATGTCTTGGATGATGACGTTGGCACCTTCCCTTCCCCGTCTGTCCTCCAGTCTGTCGAGAAAGCTGCGGCTGATCTCGATGAGGTTGTCGAGCTGGGGAAACATGATTTCGAGCGACTCCTCAGACAAGTGCTTCTCCATTTGTGACTTGAACACCAGCTTGAGGACGTGGAGTGCGCGGTAGTGGTGGCGCTCGGTCTGGATGAGCTCGTGGATGATATTCTGGCGGTCCCTCTCGTTCTTGTTCATCTTGCGGAGGAGTCTCCGATCGATGGTCCTGGTCCAGCTTGTTTCCTCCATCAGCTCTAGCTCGGGGTGGCTCTGAGACATGCTCCGCACCAGCTGCTGCGCGACCTCCTCGCGGTCAGAGTCACTCAGGTTCTCAGGTGGTGCTGGGGAGAGGTTGTTGGGGTCGGGCGACCTTTGCCCTCCCTTCTGGGATTCATCGACGACCGAAAGGGAGTGGTCAAAGCCGGAGTGGGTGGGGGAGATGAGGCTACTGTCAGAGTCCCTCCGGTGCTCTGGACCGAGCTTCCTCGGTGGTTCCCTCTTGCTTTCCTTCTCCTCTTCTTCCTCTTTGTCCTCCTTAGCCTTGTGCTGGGGCGACTTCTTACTCTGTTCCTGATGCGGGAACACGTCGTTGAGTTTCGGTCTCTGTTTCATGCTCTTGGCCCTCACAGCGCCCGTACCTCCAGAGCCCTTCGAATAGCTCTCGGTGATTGCCTTCTCCACATCCGCCCCGCCTCCGAGGATATTGAAGGCCTTCATGCGGGACTTTGAGCGACGGATGAAGTTATCTCTGATGAGCTTCACTTTGCTCGTGTCCTTCTTCCCCGAAGGTTTATTCTCCTCCTCGTCCTCCTCGAGGAATTCTTCAGGGAGCGGCTCAGCTACTGCGTTTCTCATGCTAATGATGTCTTTCATGGCAGGCGAGGTCGGGTCTAGACTCATGCTCTTTGTCTTGTGTTTCTTACCGCTACGAGATGGTGGTGGGTGCGACGAATTTAGCATCTTCTCTGAGCTTGATTTGGGGACAGGTCCCTGGTGGTTCTGTGCTGTGTTGATGGCTGGGGGACTGGAGATCTGTCGGGATGGCGAGGGAGGGGAGAACGGAGGGGAGGAGGGATGGGCAGAGTTTGCAGCCTTAGAGAGAGGGGAGATTTGGCTAGTAAAAGAGGGTTGAGTTGGCGTGGATGTTCCGTTTGTTTTGACGATGGGGGAGCGAGGTACACGGTCGAGGCTAGTGGAACCACCGCCAGGAGAGGTTGCGTCAGGCTCTGGTTCCACCGCTGGTTCGTCATCGTGTGAGTTGAGTATGGACCTCATCTTCCCGATGACCGGAGTCACGTCTTCTTTGGTCAGTCCCCGCAACAACTTCTTCTTTGGTGTAGGAGGCGTTCCCTCTCGCACGGTGTGGTGTCTGCGCCCCAGGAGCGGGGAGCGTTGGAATCTCCTCTTGGTGTCTCGGTGCGCAGGGGACAGAGTGGGAGAATTCTTGCCCTGGGAGAGGCTGTCGTCGCTCTGAACCCTCACATCCACGTCGGACAGGGCCATGTCGTGATAAAAAACAGAGTCATTTGCAACAGACCTCTTTTCCTGGTCTACCTTTCCATCGTCTACTAGAGCCTCGTTACTTGGGTAAGCCCCTCCCGTTACTCCAAGATGTTTCCTCTCATCAATCGACTCACTGTTCAATCTGCGCGATGCAGGGCCAAGATTGGCCTCCAGCGTATCCTTGTAGGCAGTGAGTACATCGGCAGAGTAGCGGAGCTCTTGGGAAACCCTCGGACGACCCTTTCTCCCCCTCAACACTACATCCGTTCGGCCACCGTCTGGCGAGTCGTGCATCTGCAGCCTGAGATACTGCTGTTCAGTCTCGTTCACAAGCGGCGTGGTGTTGGTGACAGCGGGGTCGTCCTGGTCTCCGCCTTCGAGAGAGGCACCCGACATCCCGCTCAGTTCAGGCATCGTGTCGTCTTCTTCACTCATGGTGTCGTCGGATTCGTGCATGCTGCTGGCGTCAGTTAGGAGACTGCTGGCCCGCGACCGATTGTCCTTCATACTGCTGCTGCGAGATGCCGATGCACTCGAGGGCTGGTCAGAGCTCTGGGCACCCTCGGCCAGTGGGGAATGAGTGGGCTTCAGCATGGAAGATTTAGCACTCTTCCGCTTGCTTTTCCTCTCCTCGTCGCTGCCTGTGTCCAGCACAGTCTTCATACCGCCCGTTGGGATACTTAGTTCAACCACCGACATGCTCTGGCTTCGTCGGTGGGACTTTTTCCTGCTGCGACCAGTTGGAGTAGAATCACTTCTGTCCACTGCTGCATGACCATTACCATGGGCCGTGCTGTTCTCATTACCAAACATTACTCTCTTGTTGCTGCCTACTGCAGAGTGATTGCTAGGGGCATCCCTGTGTTGGTTTACTGTTGATTCTTCTTCGCTGTCTGCCATTAGGTGTGGAGCCGATATTGACTGGCACAATTCCTCTTCATCTTCCTCCTCGTCCTCCTTGCCCCTGTCATCATGGTTCATTTCAGACTCCAGTAACGGCAGACACACATCTTCTTCCTCCTCTGTAGTCCCATTGCAATCTCCCCCACTGCTCCTCTCATTATTAGGTGGGAGCACCATATTGTCGAGGAGGTTCTCTGTGCTGTACTGCGTCGTGATCACCTGGGGGACATTAATGGCTGAGAAAGAAGGGACAGGGCTTGGACTCGGGGAGAGGGATGAGCTGGTGGTGGGGCTTTGGCCGCTCTCTGGAGGTGGAGATGGACACCAGTCTCGCTAAGGTCGTCCGGTACCGAGATGGAGGTGGAGAGGGAGGGAGGGGGAGGGAGGTGTGGTGGAGGGGAGGAGTCTGAGGTGTAGTCGGGGCCGGGGCTGGTGCGAGTCGACGTCAGGTGACTGTTGGTACCTGCGAGTGAGTGTCGGAAATAGGATGAAGACTTTCAGGAGTAATGTCTAAAACCAACACATGTTAGAACACAAAATGTCCCCGACCATTGCACCATATGACTGTAAAACCCCTGGTGCACTAGAAATGTTGAACACATAATTTATGCATGTGCAGTACTGCTAATTGATCAGCTGGGCTATTCGTGTTCGATTTACCCGATTTACTCTGTTGCTACTCTAACCCTTGATAAGCACATGTGACGATGCTTTATGAAAGCGTAGGTGAGGGTCAATAAAACATACCCTCTTATGTGGGCTGGCCATGAAAGCTGATGAAAAACGTTCCTCTTATATCAACCATCATATTACATCATTATAAGAAGTGCGCCCCAGACAGGGATCTCACTTCTGATCTCACGATCAAGAATGTGAGTCCTTATCCATCAGACCACACCCAATTGTTGAGCGGGTTAGGGTTCAATACTGCATTATAATTATCACGAGAGTTAGTAATGGCCAGAAGGTGTTCAATGCCAGCATATTAATTGCAGTGCATGCACATTCAAAGAAACCACAGGAGCAGGAAGTTAGCAGGAAGGAAGGCTTTTGTGGACCACCAAGTCCTAGAAGTATACCTACTACGTTTCCTATACAGCTATTATACTGAACCCCTAATTGAATGACAGAGTATGATGTATGCATACATGATGCAACAATCTAGCAATACAGGTGGACTGTAAAAGCAGAGCATTGTATAACACTTTGTTGGATATCCCTAGGCAACCGACATGTATGAAGCTACTAGGTACTAGGGGATTGTATCAGCCTATACAATCCTACATGTGCAAGAAGGGTTCATACATGTCGTTTGCCTAGGGATATCCAACAAATCTGTTGCAGTACCCAGACAGGACAGCATTCGCCCTTACAGGGCTCATACTGTCCTGTCTGGGCACTGCAACATAATTATATACATGACTGACTATATAGTGCGTCTAATACCTTCATTTGTTGTATTTTGCGTGGGCGAATTTAAAGGCACCGCCAGTACTATATTCAACATACAGAACAGTTTTTGAATGAACTGTACTATATCACACCAACTGTACTATATGACTGACTATATAGTACGTCTAATACCTCTAATACCTTCATGTACTATAAATTATAGTCATGGTTTTTGTTATGGTACCCCTATAAAACACACATGTGGCTGAATAAAGGTTACCTGACTCTTCGTCTTCTGTGAGGAGAGGACAAGAAACACTGTAGCAGGAGAGGAGGTTAAGGTGGGTGGGGTCAAGATGATTACTGGCTCCTCCCCCCTGCCCCGTACTCCCTGTCACACACTGCTGGACTCTGTCAGTGGCTGGAGAGTAAGGGGAGGTTGAGGAAGGGAGACGGATGTAAGGAGGAAGAGGAGGGAGGGAGAGAGAGGGGAGACAAAAGAGAGGGATGAGGGGAGTGCATATGTACAAAGGGAGGAGGGAATGGCGAAATAGAGTGCAACAGAGGGTGGGGGAGGGGGAGGGGATGATGTCAATGGGAAACCTGCAAAGTTGTACAGTAACCCATACCACTACTGTTGCTTCATCCATGCTTTGGCAATGAGGCACAGATACTGTCCCTAAACCTCATCAATTAGCACTCATTCTCCCAACCAAAACACATCCTCCCTCCAATTAGGCTGCAGTATAAGCCAATGTTAGGATCTGTTTTCACAGGAAATCACCACACACCTATTGCTGCTCATGTCATCCATCCACACCCTCCTACTCCCCCACAAGGCCATCCATTCATAGTTCTCTACAAGCCTGACATCAACATTACTGAACTACCAAACATGTACACGCTCATTCATTCAAGCAATCCCTAACGATGCACAGAGTACCAAGGTCTTTTTTGGTAGTGGTATGTACAGTAGGACCTGTAACATATTATAATATGCACCATAGCGGCACCTTCGCCACCCTGATCTCCCCTACTAAATAATGCTATATACAACACAATAAGAGCTAGGACAATTGCTACACCAGTACATTATGTCATATTACGGTATGTCTGGGGCAATGAAATGCAAATGTCTGTCTGTTACATGAAGCACACTCCACACTTGCACACACACGCACCGATAAGTCTGTCCAGTTCGTTGAGTCCAGTGTCCACAGAGCGGCAATCTGCTTCCCCCACGACCACGGACCAAGACTGTTTCCTACTCCGGTCACTCCGAGCCAGCTCGGGGTCCTCCGTCCGGAGCTGCAGGCACCCCGATGCCATCAGGTGACGATGCTCCATCACTGCTATCGATTTGCGTCGGTGCGTGACCTTTTTCGACGTCGGGACGGGCCCGGAAAATGGAGGCGTGGACAGTCGGTCTCTCGAACTTGCTGTGGTGGTTTCAGGGTTAAAGTTGGATGATCCCATTGAGCTACAGGAGATTTTGTGGCGCTTGATCTGTAGGTGGAATATGATGAGTGAAAAATAAGTGCAGTCAGGGAATTTAGTCAACATGAAACAAAATGAGTAATGATTGGTTCAACGTATCCCCAAATAATATACCTCGGAGTGGTCGAATTACAGTGTGAAAAACGATCCAAAGTTGAAATTCCATGCGAGCGAGGAACAATTTATCATTTGCATACCACAGTCCCTCTACAAGTACGTACAGTGCTAATGCCAACGAACCAAAGAAAAGGGGCCATGTTACTGGATGAGGTGATATGTGTACCACTTAAGTTCTGTAATGTCAACTGGAGTGTACTAGCTTCTACTAAACAATACAGTGGGCAAGCAGGTAGGATTTCAGGGTAGATGACAACACCACATCCCATTGCAACACTCTACATGACAGTGCAGTAAGTAACGCTACATGCAGTAAAACACTATGCCAAATTGTAATACAAGAATATTTTTCAAGCTGATCATTACCCCCTGCGATTTTTAATACATGTGACAATTGAAGGACTGCAGAGTTGAAAAATTTGCTGCTTTATTTAAATTTTAGAAGGCTCTGCACATTCATATTCATATTCATAGTATTCATATTCATAGTTCAATCCACCACCTTCAGCTAAACAAACTGAATTTATCCATATAGACTGTAACAGGGAGAGAGTGCGCATTGTTGCTGTTCAAATTCTGTAATGAATTTTCCCCAAAGTGTAAAATTACTTACGAAAGAGGAAATCAACACCATAAAGGAAATTCACAGCTGCTAGTGTATTTCCCTGCAACATCCATTACTGTAGTACAGCAACCACAGCCTCCCTTTCTATGCATTAATGCTTTGTGCTCATCTAAGATCTGGCTCATGAGTGCACCACGGTTAACTATTCACATAGTATAAACTGTGTTGTAGCACATGTTCACCCGACACACACTTACACACGCACCTACACACACACACACACACACACAAATACAAAGTCTAAATCCCATGAACACACGTGCATAATCCCTTTGAACACTGATGCCAAGACCAACAGTTGTTGCTCGTTAAACATCTGGTAACATCATGATATTAATCCCATATGTATATCCACACTCACTTTTGAACATGTACAGTACATAAGACAGTTCCACTGTATTAACACAGCCAACTGGTAAAGAGCTTCCGGGTAATAGGAATAGGTAGTAACAAAAGGGAGAATCACTGTATGTGACAACAAGAAGGTATGTAGCAAGGCAAAGGCAAAAACTGCACCCAGGACAGCTCTTTCACTCCTACTTCCATTTATGGTACAAACTGGCACATTGCTCTCTGAGAATGCTCACATACTGACCAGATTTGAGGAAACATACATCTGCCAACTAATTGAGTATAGTGCGTTCTAATGTTACAGGAACGTGCATTATTATGCTGCGGGTGCACAGCGGACCATAGAGGGGGGCAGTTGGTCGGGGGTGGAAATAATGGACCACTGGGAATTGACACACCCAACGCACCCTTTCTACAGGTCATGTGCTGTATCTCCAACACTAATATATGTATAATTATTTGTTGGATATCCCTAGGCAACCGACATGTATGAAGCTAAGGGATTTTATCAGCCTATACAACCCTACATGTACAAGCGGGGTTCATACATGTCGTTTGCCTAGGGATATCCAACAAATCTGTTGCAGTACCAAGACAGGACAGCATTCGCTCTTACAGGGCTCATGCTGTCCTGTCTGGGCACTGTAACATATAATTATGTACATGGCCTAGTAAATAAAGCTTACTAAAGATATTCAGCGTCTGCATTGTATACAATAGCATACACAACAGAAAACCATGTATAAAGCAATAACTAAAGTTGTGGGTTCAGCATGATTTCTAGTATAATAGCTTGAACCAAACAGTCTATATATATATGGGCCAGTTAGGGTTGGAGCGTGCCAGGTGTGGGGAGTAAAGAGTGGGCAGTGTGTGGAGCAAGGAAGTTACCTCAGCACCTTCAGTGGGCCAGAACAGAGGTCATTCTTTCTCACTTGCACCCCACACACACACACACACACGTTATGTACACATAGCTATATACAGACAAACTAGGGTTCCCCAACATCACTGAAACTGTATACAAGCACAGTAGTATGATAGGTATGAGCTTGAAAGAATATTTTCAAGCTGATGACTATCCCCTGCGATTTTTTCTACAATTGTTACAAAGTTCATCCCCACACGCAATCCTCACACCTTCTCAGGAAGCCCCAGTTGAACTGTGGAGCAACTAAAAGATTTACTCTGTTGTTGCTTGACTATGAAAATGTGCTAACAACCCAGCATTCCTGCTGGATAAATATGTGTAATTTGTTCTAGCACTATGGATAGCCCAGTTGAACTGTGGAGCAACTAAAAGATTTACTCTGTTGTTGCTTCACTATGAAAATGTGCTAACAACCCAGCATTCCTGCTGGATAAATATGTGTAATTTGTTCTAGCACTATGGATAGGTAAATTCACAAAACACACATACAGGTTTGGAAACTAGAGCGGAAACAAACGGGGTTTCCACAAAGGCATGCATTTGTACACATGATGCAAACATTTCCAGCTCAGCTTACTATCAGCTACAACACTGTAGCCTGTGCTCCACTTACAATGTGTATTGAAACTGCTCTTTGAGCCACAGACACACGCTACAAAATGTTGTGTCACAACACCAGACTGGCTATTAGTGGGTACATAGGGTCCATACAGGTCCCTTGTAGCTTGCAACAATAGTGTTACCTAACTATTGTCACTGACTCACTGGTGTAAATGCTTGTATGTAGTATCTGTAGCTTCAGCACAAAGGCAATGTATTGCATATTGATTATGCACTCTAAGTTTTACGGAAAACTATGTAAAACCTGAAGCATTGGCTGCGCTGTAGCTAACAAAAAAAAATTTGCCCACACGGTAGCTACACACGCATGTTATAATCATAGGCCTAGTGTCAACTGGTTTACTGGGTCATAGCAGTAACCGCGAGCTGCAGCTAGCACATTACGGCACAACAGTAGCAAGTATAACAATGATTTTGTCGCACTCACCACGCTCTCTCTCATTCCACGGCTCACTAGCAGTCTATCCTTAGTGTCTTCCTTCCAAAACTGTCACTACAAACCGCTAAACTGGGCGCCGTTTACCGGGGGACCGCCGTTATCACGCGTAGCACAACGCAAAAATCCCCGCCCCCAGCACAAACGCACTTCCGCTATTACTACTACAACAACGGCAATGAATATCATTACCAACTCACCTGCCCTCTCCACTCTTCGTTTATTTCTCGGAATCTCAGCAGTTCTATGGGAGGATAGTTAGCAAGTCAATAAAGATGACCTACTGCAGCTAGCACTTATACACCACCCAAACCATTCCCAGGTCTTCTCTTCCTCTTCCAGCATGCAACTAAAAAGCAAACAGCAGGGTAATAGGATTTCTTGCAACTTCATTATACTGTAGGTAGACTCATAGATGAATCATAATTATCTTGAACTTCCTTCCTGACAATCGTAGCCTCATCAAAGTGCACTAAAGAAAGTGAATGTTTGGGTGGTGGAAATCTCCAATGACAGGATGTAGGTGACCACATAGCTATAGTAACAGAGCTGTACCCAGACAGGTCAGGGCAGGTACAGCTTAACCATCTCAGAGCCTACTTCGACCACACAGTGTGTGGAGTTATCATATTATAGTCCCAAGATCCGAACACATATCTCAGAGTACTGCTTCGTTGGAGAATGTTAGTGCATTCATTGCCGACGTCACTTCTGCCACAGGAGGATCAGGGGTGATATGTTACAGCAGAGAGTGCGGACTCCACACACACATGGCATGCACACAGCGACATGACGTTGCACAGAGTTACACCAGGCAATGGTAAGGAACGGAGCTGGAGGCTAATAAGGAAGTGATAGAATGGCCAATTTCGTGTGAGGTCCATCACGTGGAGAGAGACCATAGTATGATGAGACGGTTCCACTTCAACAAACACAGTGTAAAGTCCCATACTTGAAGTAGTAAACTATTTACTGCTGAACTACAGTATATACCGTGTGTGCAGTGCAAATATATACAAGTATGTAGGCGGTTGAGAAAAAGCTGCAGATATCAGCTCAAAGACTGAAAGTTTACCACTGGCATGGAACAGACAGTGTGCGCTAAGCAACGTTACTAGAGCAACAATAACGTGAATATACTGACACTTACTTTTCAATTATCAGTTGTTGTGAATACTGGCTATATAAGGGAGCTACTATTGGCCTGTTAACCAGGTTACGAAAATGTTTAGAGAAAAGGTCACTTAATAAATTGTCAAGAGAGTAAGGAGTCGCCCCACGAAACGAAAGTCTAAAACACCATTACACACATCATCAACTGTGCTAAAAATACACCACACAAGGCGTGTGGTGATACCTGTTTGACCTCTGAGCACCAATGAAGATATATGTCTACATGTACATACACAGGTGTACACAGCCAGTGATGCATGCACAAGGGACAAGGCATGAATCTCACTTTGAGGACTCTCATCAAACAAACTCCACTGCCAACCAACGCCATTAACATCAGTCAAAGCCAACACTGACCTCCTGAGAAATGCCACCGGATCTCTTCTATCAAATAGCCCAGCTGGAGATTTCAGTGCATTACATGTCTAATCTTAGCAGTGTCAGTGTACCCTACAATGTTGTCAGACTGATCCCCCAGCATCTGTAGCTAGAGCAGGAGGGAGGGAGAGTTGTAGGTACCCTCCTTCTTCTCTACTTCCTTTTTTCAACTTTCTCCCCTTACAAGGGTGTGTGGTGAGTGGTGTAAATGTGTCCATAAGTTAAAAAAAGCTGGCAATAATACTTTATACATGATTTTCTGCTTATTTAAGGAGATACCCATGGCGTCCAAAGGGTTTTAAGCCTCCTTCCTTTCTTTCCGGCGAAGGCATGTTTATTCCTTACTATTTGTAAATTCAAATTCATTATAAAGAGAGTGGCTCATTCCAAAACAAGTCATCTCGTCTATGTACTAAACACTAGACTCAAACATGAAATCATTGAAAATCAATTGCAAGAGGTCATGTGTGGTGGAGAAGGAGACTCATTGTCTGACTGAGTAATCTGGTGGAGAAGGAGACTCATTGTCTGACTCTAAGTAATCTGAGCTGCTACGGAGTCATGCATGTGGCTGATCCCCCTGGAATTAGACCAGTCAATTACTTCCTGGTATTAGAACACAGTCAGAAAGGTTAATGGTATATAGATTTTTAACAGAATCTGGGTCACATAGCGCGCCTGATGTGCAGTCACGCAATGAATGCTGGGTATTTGCAGGAAATCATAGGCCACACCTGCCTATGAAATTGAATATCACGGTTGATATATATTCCCCTTTCCCTTCTTTCCAGGTCAGAGGTCACTTGGTACGTATCTCCTGACTCGGCCTATCCTGCTCACCCCCCACCAATAAATTGCTGCAGGTCTGCATGTACACATATTGCAGCCCACAATGACTGTAGCTGCATACATACATACATACATACATACTGTATATGTAACTGTCTGTCCATGTAGGCCGGTTTTCAGAGGAAATTACAGCACCCACTAATTATCTCCCAGACAGTTAGTAGTGTCCTACTGGGTGAAGACGGAAGCTTCTTGCACTACAGACTGCTATACCAGGAGACTACTTACATTAGTGCTTAGATGGTCCCTTTGCTAGTGTTAGGAACTGCTAGGAACTTTGTTCCAAGTATTCACACTTTCTTGAGACTAAGGTCCATGTGATATGAACTTGCAAAAGATTGCACTATGGTTGTATATTCAGGACGTCAGACTTCCTGTGCAAACTTCCTCCGTGTTAAGCTGTCGAACTAGCTTGCAAGTCTACACGTGATAAATAAAAATTAACCCACGGAATGCCCAAGTCATATATACTGAACGGTGAAAATATACACTCGCGCTACATACGTACTGTACCAGACCATTTGCGTAGTAGAGAGTTCATGAGTGGGCAACCCCTTTTAACTTTGACTAGTGAGGTGTCGAATATTTGTGTTACCAGGAACTGCCACAGATGCAGTACATCTTGAAAGGTTCCGACTGCTAATCATTTCCGTGAACTTTTAATGGCCGATACCTTTGATTATGGCAAAAATGTTTGAACAGCTTGCCTTATGACTCATTAAATTACAGCGTTTAGTCCCTCAGATTGAAACCGAGATGGTTCCAAATTCCCATGCCAACAAAGAGTGGAGACACTAAGCTGTATGATAGGGGTATAGCGATGACTCCAGGTTATTGCATTCCTCGCCTCCCCTCTCTGTTTATTCACTGTTTGTCCACTCATTCCTCAGATGAAGGTGAGCAAAATGCACTGAATAGCATGCCTGGCCACACACAATTACATTTTAAAACAGAAACATGTATGTATGTATGTATGTAAGTTGGTACACATGTTCATACAAGACCCGTTGTTCCAGTCCCGTATGTGTAAGCAGATTTTTTACTTTAAATATTTATGGCATGTAAGGACAACATTACATACACACATATCAACACACTACTTTTGACGTGTTTCTTAATATTATAGTGTGCCTTATAGCTGGACGCTATTGAGAGGGAAAATCTTCTTGGATTTACCTGTTTGCAAGTCATCCAAGGAAATAACTTTGTAACAGGCAATTTGTGAAAGTTTTTTTCTCTGCTTTACTAATTAAAAATTCTGCCATGAACACTTTCCACGGTACAGTAAATACTAAAATTAAACTGATAAAATCCTTTTAGACTAAGCTGTGGTACTGTTGCAATTATAAATGCATCTTTCTGAACATTCTTATAGATCCACATATGGACAACACGAAAATTAAAAATCGTGGGAATGTTCAAAACACATTCCTTTACATGTAACATGTACATGTAACATGTTAGGAGAATGAGCACATAAAAGATTCGCAGACTTATTAGGATACGTTCTTACACACACAGGCACGACCAGCTCCAGGTATTCATGTATATACATAATGTACATATACAAGTCTGCCACATACAAGTCGTCTAGATTGGTGCTTCCATACGTATGTTACCAACATGCCTGCCGCTTGAAATTGCACGTGTAAACATCGTGCAGAGTGGTTCAAAGGTCGGACTCTGCATGACTCGCTTGCATTCGCTCCCCATGCGATGCATAAATGTGGTATATAGCAGTTTCATTGCATTGGCAAAAGTTGCGTGTGTCGTCGCGAACTCACCGTCTTGACTGTTTCTCATGCTGGAGGAGGCAGAGCCAACTCCACTACCACTCACTGGTGCCTCGCTAGCCACACTGGAGGACTGCAACCTACATACATATATACCACATTGCACAGAGGTAAACAGACAATTAACCAATTAACAAATATAGTGTCATTGTAGGAGACATGTAAATACGTAGAGGATTAGAGGACATGCGTCACACTGGCACATACAAATAAACATGTCATTAGCAAGTGCATCATCGAAGTGCCACATACATAACAGACAGGTAAATAAATACCTTGAACTAATCAGCAAAAGGGTATATATATAATTATCAATACTGCAGTGCATGTGTCATAATAACATTCATACTGGTCATAGTGCATGTATCTGTGAAGAAACGACAATTTCCAAGTGCCTCATTACATGCTTGTAAGTCCACCTTATGTAACACGTGACTGTAGTGAGTGTGCATTGAGCATGCAGGTCAGGGTGTACTGCAATGGAAGACACACCTGTTCACGCCCAGTACTGAGGAAAAGGTGTGTATTTGCTCACATGCATATCCATTACAGGCACATTTACCGGGTAAGCCACTGCATGGTGGACATGCTCCCCTATAATGTTGGTATGCTTGTTCAGTAATGGTAAGTCCCAAGAACTGACACTTATGAGGTGTGCAATGAGGAAAGAAACACTTTGGTTGGAAACTTACACTCATTAGCATAATATTGGTATTTTAGTGCCACAACCTCTTAATTAGTGGATCCACAAATTGAAAAGCTTAGGGAGGGCTTTGCAAAATGTAATGAAAAGCACTAAAGTGCAAACCCTCGGCGAACTGCGCATGCGCGGTACCGCTAATTGATGGGCTGGGCCTATTATACTAGTATACGTTTACTCCCGCTTAGCTCGCGGAGAGTCTGAAACGGGCTAGCTACAGTAGTAGATAGCATGCGGGAGTCGATACACGCCCTTCGTTGTGACTTCTTGTGCCTCCGAGGTACACAGAGCAAGGATATCAGGTCGAGGTAAGCTAGTTCTAATTAGCATATTGGCTTGTTCACTTGGTTTTCACGCCATAACTTCTGAACGCGGCACTTTTACGAAAATCGCCATTTTAAAAATCAAGCCAGTGTAGCGCTGAACCAGTTGGTGTCGCTATTTTACCTGTTTGTTGCAAGTGGTGGCAGAAAACGTGGTAACAGACGGACAGACAGACAGACAGACAGACGGACAAACCAAGTACTATAACCCTCGCTGGAGCAGCTGACGTCATTGACAGCAGCTGATGACAAGATGCAGACAGTGGTTCTTAATACTTCATAAAAATCACAGACAATGAAGGGGGCGGGGCTAGGGGTTAGACTAGACAATGGAAAGACAATGGAATACGAAAAACATGTACTTTTGTGAGGTAAACTGGGAGTTATGACAAAATAGACACACTCATAAGTACTATACTTACTTACATTGAGAATATACTATGTACCCTTGCAGTGCATATGTACCTCTCATATAGTAGTAGAGTGAAAACTAACTTACAGGGTAGAGGTGAGTATCTTTAGCATCTTCTTGTTCCCGCTGTCCCTAGCAATGTCGACTGGAGTGAGATCTTGCTCGTCGCGGACACAGAGTGACAGAATGGCCTGAGGCAGTGTCACGAGATGCTTTGCCAGACACATGAGGTTGTGGTGTGAGGCTAGGTGGAATAGGGTGAACCGTGGAGCTGTCCAGAGAGAGAGGGGGAGAGGGGAGGGGGTCATGAGGGGCATGATGAAGGGGCAAACCAATAAACAGGTGGGAGGGGGGGAGGAGATGGGGAGAAAGGTGGAAGGTGGTGAAGTGGCATGAGGGGCATGATGAAGGGGCAAACCAATAAACTAGTGGGAGGGAGAGAAAGAGCTAGAGAGAGAGAATTAGGGGCATGGGGTATGCTGGAGGACAATAGGAAGGAAGAGAAGAATACAGGGGAGGGAAGGATGGATAATGTAGGACACACAGGTGTACAGCGATGCAACCAGAGCCTCAAATCAGTCGTAAACCCCCCTGGTCTTTTGGCTCACCACATGACACCACTATACACTCCTCAATACACACACAGTACACTGAGACAGCCACACACACACCAGCAAACTTCCTCCTCATTAGCTCAGACCAGCGGCACAGTAATACTCTCCCACAGATGGTCTAGATACGAGGACATATCGCTACTGGTGGTGCGGGCAAGGCTCTTTCTAAGCTAATCCAACATAACAGAGTGGGGAAGTGTGGCTGAACCTATAATTAAAGAGTCACACATTCCGCTGAGAGTAGGCAAAGGATGCCAGCTGTGATAACTGTGCAGCATTACTCACCACAGCAATTTCACACCATCAGAGGTGACTACACATGCACAAGTCTAGTGGAACAGCGTGCGTAATGCCTCCAACCAGCAAGTGTATGTGGGAAAGTGTTTAACCTTGAACACAGCCACACAGCTACAAACGCAGGAACATTGCAAGTGTATGACCTACGTAACAGGTACAGATGTGCACATTCAATAGTCTATCTCTCCTAGTGTGTATCTGACATGCAATCTAGCTCGACAGAAAACACCGCACACACCCACACAGCATGCATAGCTGCACGATTAAACCTCACACAAGTGCATATAGGGAAAGAAATTGGGGAGTAATAAAGTCAAGTGGATGTGCAACCCCCCAATCTGTCCCAGTTTGTCTTTGCTATTAGCCATGCTGTAACACCGTACAGAGAGAACTTGCAATTGGGGAGCAAACAGGAATTTCGAGAATGTAATGACGTCAATCTCTCCAGGAATCTTCCCACAACACGCAGGGACTCTAATAATACCAATGTCAGCTACACTCTACAAGACGTGGCTACAGATGTTTGCAACACTAATGTACACACTGCAGGGCAGGTTTTACGCACAAGCACAGCCCACAATTATAAAAGTAGTAAATTTACATTGTCGAAAGTTAAGAGATGAGAGATGGAGCTTACCTCTAGGATTCTGGTTGGCTCCTATGGCCGTCTGTAGGTATCTCTCCAGTCCCTGGACTGCCACTGTTAGAACACTGTCCAACTCTGACAGCTCCGCGGGGCTCTCCAGCGAGGGTATCATCTCTGATTGCAGGGGCAACCCCCCTCTGACGTGGGACAGGACCTCTTCCACGACGTGGCTGTGGTCTGCCGTGGTGTAGACAAACTGAGTGGTGGAGACGACCGTCAGAGAGTCAGAGGTGTTCTGGTAGCACAAAGACACCCTCACTGGTCCCGGGGTGGACAGACCTACACACACACACACAGAGAGAGAGAGAGAGAGAGAGAGAGGAGGAGAAATACAAAGTTTGGTCATTATAGAGTTCGATGTGGAAAAGTTTGCTAGTTTACCAAAATAATATGTTGTAGATTAAGTTCAGGATTTTAACATAAGGGGGAAGGGGGGTTTCCCCTTGAACTCCATCTTCACTTGCCCTTCAAATTCACAAACACAACCCCAGCGGTACGCTTTCGCGCTTACAAACACTCAGGATTTGTTCAGTTTGGCTCTACCAAGAGCTGTGCTCAACCATTGAAAAAAAAACTAAACTTTGCTCCATAATTTGCGTAGCATGGAATGTTAATTTTTACATGGTGCAATAGCATTATGTCAGAATGATGACATGGAGAACAGTTATAAGAGGCATCACAGTTCCGGGGAAAATGTGTCTAAAGAATGCGGCCTAACCGAGTTAATTGACATTATACAGTTGACTACAGTTTGTTGATCCCAATACGTGTATCACCAGCAGTCTCTCACAGTGTACCACACACACACGTACGTAAACAATAGAGCATTTGTGACGTGACACAGAAAAGGAAAGAAGGCTCACCACATGAAACAACCCAGGGAGAGAAGATCACCAAAATTATCGCTGTTATGTACAGTTGAAAAAGGGGCATAATTTTTCACATACATATCAGCTGTTTGTTGAACTTCACCAGGCATATCACAACGAGGGAACAAAATTTAGGTTCTCGGAAAATAACAAGTACTGCTACTTGCCACAGTTGAAGAGAAAAGTTACAATATACCATGTGTCCACCACTAAACAAAGCTCCATGTGTGTGTGTGTTGTCATGAGGAGATCACAAGACCACGCCACCAGATGTTTATTACCAGGCACAGTATAAACACTGTCATGTGTGGCATATGACGTGTTCCATAGCTTTAGGGAGTCTGGTATGCCGGGAATGGACAGTGGAATGTTAGGAATTCGAACATGCAGTTGCTACTTAGACGGCATGAGAAATGCCATCCATTACATACATACCAGGTGATCTAATTGAAATCTCACAGTACTGTAACAGAGTATGTAAGCTGTGCATGCATTCATCATGCAAGATTACACAAGCAGTTGTAGTGCACACTATACACACCCCTAAATTGTCATTATAACAATTGTGCTGAAACACACGAAAACACAGCTGAGCAAATGTGTACACATGCTATTGCAGTCAAGGCATCCAATAGCTCACACCTTAATCACTGCTATCCATACATGTATGTAAGTCAATGTACAGTACATCTATATACCTATTTTATACAATGTGTGTATATATATAGGAGAAGGAGAAGGATCAAATTCCATCCACTAGAGTTTAGAAACAACGTGAGTGATATCTCAGGTTAGCTACACACACGAGTCAAGAGATCAGAGTCTGCTGGTGTTCAAACAAGCCATCGTCCAGACACCGACATTCTATACTGACTCATGTTGTACCATGAAACTCAACGCAGCCTCGCCATGGCAACGTGACATTCCAAAAAGAACACAAAACGTGTCTGGCAGTATTTAAACCGCTCCACACCACATGAGCTACAATACTGGACAAACATACAAACTCAACACATTAATGCACATGTTTAACGAGAATGTCATATTGAATTTCACATTACACATTATTGGGAAGTTTAACATTACCATTGAGGCATTATACTATACAATATGTGCAAGATACTTAGTTTCAAGAAAACAGAAGGAAAGATGGCAAGGAGACAACTGATGGATGGATAGCAGTATATACCAAAAAAGGAAAGTCAGCTTTGAGCGTTTGACATATAATTGGTGGACACATAGCACCACACAGCTTCCTGTCCTTAAGAAGTCTGATTAGCCTTGCAACAACATTCCCAGGAGAGGCTAGAGGAAATGAACTACAGATCAGTCAACAAGTGAACTTAACTCAACAAGAAATTCTCCCAGGCCTGAATTTCCTGGGAAATAAGCTACTAAGAGTCGACTTGAACTCCAACAAGAAATTAGTATTGTAAAGTCAAACCGTTCTAAATTTCGTCCACCATTCTAGGTGTTTGATTATGTAAATCAAGGTTTCGTTCAACAGCAGAATGCAATGATGTGTAATACACATGCATGTGCCACAAGGAACTAAGGACATCGGAGGGGAAATTACAAGACTCCTACACTGATTGATAAGGACAGTCATGACCTCAATCACAACTTCGCAACTTCCTATCCTTATAGTTTAAGTTCCCATCTGGTAGTGGTGTGTGTATCCTATGGCCTATATGTTCAGTGCACACCTACGGATGTTCCCCTACTGGAAACTTATGCCTCTGACTGATCACCTTCATGAACATCACAAGGTTTTGTATACCTACAACTATATATGTATATACATACTAGAAACTTATGCCTCTGACATCACAAGGTTTTGTATACCTACAACTATATATGTACATACATACTAGAGAGTGTTTTGTATACCTACAACTATACATGTACATACATACTAGAGAGTGTTTTGTATACCTACAACTATACATGTACATACATACTAGAGAGTGTTTGAAGGAACGCAACTATATATGTACATACATACTAGAGAGTGTTTGTATACCTACAACTATATATGTACATACATACTAGAGAGTGTTTGAAGGAACGCAATCGTGCAAGTGTATAATACATTCCAGATTCAGTTGCACATGGCAGCTGGGCTGAGCAGCAAGGCGCGAGTTCCTACCATGACTCAGCCTCGAGCAGTGCGCATAAAATGAGCCAGAATTGATTCCTGGCAAATGCGACCACTCCTGAGATATTCCTCGGTTGTATACGTACGTAGAAGTCTATAACCCAAAGTAGAGTTCTTCTCTACATCAAGTTGTGGTGCATATACTGTACACGTGCAAATCGCCCTTTCCTAAGGTGCTATTCAGTACATACTATATACAGACCCAACGCGATTACTTAACCTCTTCTACGCATGCATGTGTGGGGGTAGCGAGGACAGTAGAGAGCAGGTACAGTACCTGGTGAAGTGGCATGGTACATGTTGTGTGAGGTCTCGTCTCTGACCAGAGGGACCCTGTGGGCCTGGGAGGTGGTTGGATGGGGGGAGGAGGCTGCGGGGAAGAGGAGGAAGAGAGACGTGGCTTCAGGAGGGAGACTTGGGACCACCACTTCCAGCCTCACTTCACCCTACAGTTACATAGAAATAGAGTTATGTACAATGCCAAACAGTATCTCCTCCCCCCTAAAGAATCTGGGTATGAGGCTATGTATATGTACGTGAGTGTGTCTTTTGCATCCGCACCACCACAATGCAATAGACCAGTTCCTAAAACGTCTTTATGTTATTATACATGTTGTTACGTACTTGTGTATACATGTCTACAGAATATCGAATGCACACCCTTCCAAGTGTTTCTGCATCGCATGTGTGTACGCTATGTACATACATACTGAACAGGTTGAGGTTCGAGGCTTACTGCCCTCACAACATGTGTATGCATGCACACAAGAAAATGAAGCATTGACAAACAACACATGCAGGGTAGTAGAGCAGGGAAATCCTGTTTTACTTTCAAAAAGGAAAGCACTATAGAGTTTTGAATTTCCCAGCATCAAACAGAAAATGCACGGTAAAATTCACAATTCACATGAAGGTATTAGACCATGTGACATGTAACTATAATACATACAGTAATTCTGAGTTTCATGTGCATCATCTAGACCATACGATTCCTGTTGAGAGAAAAAAAGCTCTTTCTATAATAACCAATAAACTCTGTTCTCATGCAATGGCAAGAAGCAGATGACCAAAATCCACTCCTCAATTATGACCCTACATAACAGTACCCCCAGCAACAAAGGAATCTGACCTCATAGCTACAGTGGCCTCGTACTATCAACAGTCTGAAACCTACTAATCATGGCTCCCATAGCTGGTCCATCCAAATGGAGTCTAGTACTTTATCAGGAAGTGCTATCTCCACCAAAAGTCATAAGGTGACGGTAAATGGCACAAAAGTTACACTAACGACAGCGATAAACACGCAGTCTTGAGCATGTCAGTATAGCTCACTACTTTGAAGCATTTTTAACAGTCACCATAGAGCCATTCACTACTTCAAGCCTATGCCCAGTACACCATAACTCAGGCATGCATAGAAAAATCCCTATCCCTGGAAGGTGGTATGAGTAATTACCCCAGCAAAACTGTTGTGCATTCTCCTTCCTCAATGAGCCTGACAATAAGGCTACAGCTCTGCTGGTATGCATTGCAGGTTGTATGTGTAACAGCTGGCTTGTATGTAACTGTCAATGACATCTTGGCACTATAGTACAGCTGATCTGTGGGGAGATACCTTGGTCAACAGAGGTGGCGAGAGAGAGAGAGACACCTGGGGACTAGCTAATGCCAAAGACCATTGCGACCAAGGAATACGTTTCTGAGAAATGGACTACAGTGGTGGATAAGAAGATGTAGCTATTCAGAAACTAATCCTACAACTATATACGGTGGTTTTCGGAGCACCTGGTACACATTTCACATGGATAAGTCACTAGCGCACTAGATATTGCTAGCTAATTGAACGGCCAGGGAAACTACAACTCTAGCACTCGTGTTCTCACAGCAGTATCTGAGATATCAATAGGAAACAGGCTGAGGTGCAAGTGAAGTAAGTACAAATCAGATTATTGGGTTCGACTATCGAGTCTTTCCCCTTCTCGACTAAGAGATATTTTATCTTATATGCAGTTGGAATCACGAACTACTGTATGATGCAGTGGCAGAAAATGTGTTGTTATGTTGTTGCCATTATGCGAGGAGAACTGAGTTAATCAGTTATTCTGTCGTATAAAGGACCTTTATTCTCTTGTGTCTACTCCAGATACACGTGAAACTCATGTACGTAGGAAACTGACCTGAAGTTTGCAGTGGCAGGGCCAGAGTTGCAACCTTCCCTTCTTCACCATGTCTAGACCAAGGAGAGAAAATGAATCATGACGTGGTTACGAACAAAGATTAACTGTTCTAATGTGTGATGCAACGGGAATACGCTAGGCACACTTATGCAGTGTTACATCACCGAGCGGTACCAATTTGTGTTTGCTGTGTTTGTGGGTAAACTTCATTGTGCTGATTGAGAGAGTGCTATGCCTTGGATCACGATCAAACAGTGTCTAACTACGTACACACTAATTGCTGGGGGACTTTGTGAACTAGTATCCAACATTGTATATAATATGGCAAATGGTGATGTATGCACGATTGATCATAACGATATATACAGTTCATGTTCATACCTACATGTGTGTGCTTTTAAAGCCGTTTGCCGTTAGACTAAAAACACAACCATACAGAGTATAAAGCTATACAGTTTCAAAAGCATTGGCCGGACACGCACACATGACAAGGATGTCGAAATTTGTGGCACATGCATGTGTGTAAGCAAGCACAGCTGTACAACTATACGTACAGCTACAGTGAGTACTCAACACTGACAGCCCCGTCTCTATTCCACTCCTAGCAATAACAACACCTTCCCATGGACCACGTGGTGAGACTGTGGCTGACAGACAGAGACGGACACTGCGTGCCAACATCTTCTCCGCACAGGCCATTAGCAGAGGAAGGAAGTGTAGGCACAGAACAGTCTTCAAAGAGAGAACTTTCACCTCATACATTCAGTTTTCGTGCAACAATTATATGTGTACATAGACTTGTGTCTTATAAGTCAAATCACTGCAAAAGTCATTTTTAGGGTTGGATGGAATTTTTGAAGGAAAAAACAGAATCGGCATTAGTGAGTATGCACTGTAGCACTACATTATGGGCAGAGGTTGAAGCTCATGCATCAACCACTGTCCATGCATCGTCCTCATGCATAAATACTTCCTTCACAGTCTATGCAACGGACGGGATCATAGGACAGATGACGACTTATGACACAGGTCTTAGAGCAATGGACGGGATCATAGGGACAGATGATGACTTATGACACAGGTCTTAGAGCAATGCGAAGAACAGCTTCAATCCAGGATCAGCCACACAAACTGGAGACTATAAAACTGAGCTATATACGTACAATCACATGAAGACACTTGTACATGTGTACACATCCCCATGACATCAATTTGTCACCAAGAAAAAATGCATATTATATGTAGGGGCATCTCCAGGTTAATTAACCAATCTCCAAGTCAAATAATCAACTTACTGAAATACATGTTTTGCAGTATAAACTCTCGGTAAAGGCTAGGAGAGACAGTAGGTAGTACAGTAAACTGCGCCGAAAATTTCCGCTCTTACGACATGCAATTCTTCCATGGTCATTACGAATGCAACAATACTCGGTCAAACAAACACTATTCATATGGCCGCGTGAACATGCCAGAGCAGGGCCAGTAGCCCACTCAATGGCCCAGTACAGTCAGACACACTGTCTAAACTAAACCTCTTGTGATCACAGTCTGTTATGTTACAGCTAATCTGGTGCCTTCAAGCCTTCCCCCGGCAATCAGACACCCTGATAAGCCCACTATCAAGAGCCTATACTCACTCTGGTTTCTTTTGTCCCATGCCCCAGTGTGTAACATGTGTGTAGGCTAGAGTTGTAAAAGTACAATGTCTAGGATGTTGAGGAACATGAACTGAACATCTGGCAATTAGCAATACATGTAGTATACCATATTTCACTACCTGTAAAACAAAACAAAACTACTACATATGTACCAGCATCATTAGAAAAAAGGATATACCTAATAGTATATGTGTGTATATGTAATGTGTGGATACTGAAACTACAGCATCTAGAGGGCCACTACACAGGCACTTTGTACAAATCACGTAAAAGGGTCTAACTAGAGAGTGGGGATACCTAGGTATCTACAGGTCAACCACACTAGCCCAGTATGTCTCAGTGATACAACCATTACTGGTGTCAGGCTCTTCTTTCACACTGCCTTCTAGAATTTCACATGTACATCCATGGTATGTCATTGTATATCTACCTCCTCTGTCTACAGCAGACATAGTTTCACTGGGTTCCAGGACAGGGAGCTCTCCTTGATTCAGCCACTCAGGGAGAAGAGGGAGTGAGGAGGGTAAACAACCGGGTCCGAGATTTCCTACTCAGATAACCTCTGGCGAAATGATAACTGAAGCTAAAGTCGACACTACTGTACACAAGACGTCAGTCTACGGCCGGGGAACGCAACCGACGGGTGATACAGATCAATAGCACCTCACAGGAAACTCTCTGTCGGCCTTTGTCGTCTCTCCAGTGACTATCTCAAGTGTCTGCGGACGTTTGGGTCACGGAAACGCATATCACAGCTGGCGTGTGGTCCGTAGGACGCGGCTCTTGGCTTCTCCCGATTGTGGCAGTCTAGTCTAGGATTACTCTGAGTCTGGCGTGATGGTACACTGTTTCTTCGCCATAGCTAGAACTCCAAAATAAACAGCCATGCAGCTTAGGCAGGCCATTCGTGACTTGCGACAGGTCGCATTCGGATCCAAAGTCTCAACATCGAACAGCAATCACGTGACTTGTTATGGTGCGCTTCAATTGGGAATAGTGGCTTGAGCCATGAGTTACGTCTTCAGCCAAGGTTTTCGCCTGGTCATCCCGTACCTGGACACCTGTAGGAACCGTGTGAAGGCTGCATGGGTGGGAAGAAAAATAGAGCAGGTGCGAACCTCGCCTGTATTTATTTGTAGCACTGCTGCATGTGCCATGATAGGGCTGTAGGGGCACTATCCCATTGGGATTTTTCAGGGGTTGGCTAGCTAGGCCGAGGAATAAGTTGGGTTAGTAAGTTGTACTGGTACAGCTGTCCAAACACTGCTTGGCAGACTATTGAGTACACAGTCATCTGTAATGAAGTTACCTCTCCATCATATTATTTCAGCACAGCCCATGCACTGCTAACTAACTGCATTACTCATATGTTCTGCCTAGCAACAGTTAACACACCATATTATGCATTTGTTATAAAGCAAAGGCGATTCTTGGGTCTGTGCCATGCACGTTTCATGTGGGTGTCTGGTGCTACACTGCCAGAACTTATGCCGGAATCTTTGAACGTGTTCCCTGTATTAATGTTGTATAGTGGACTTTGATATGTGCCTGCTGAGCTGCCCTGGTAGCTCAGGTGGTAGACCATTCTGTCTAGAGAGCAGAGCGTCGTGGGTTAAGTCCATCCGAAGGTACATACAAAACTCTTACAAGGAGTTGTAATTGTGTGGTTGAAATGCAGTCGCCTTGCACTGAAACCTCACGATTCATGCGACCAAGCCCACATGTTGTAGTGTATGTTTATCAAGGCCAATTCCTATGCAGGTGGTACTGGAGCATCTCCCGTTTGTCAGCGAGCAGATCTTGGCGTGTGCGTTTGAGACCCGCCGTGTGTTGGTAGACGGGGAGCCAGTGGAGCCTTCTCACTCCCTCTCCCTCGGTCAGACCTGGGAGATGATCTTCCATCGACATGAGACCGAAGTACATTATGTTGTAGTGGAGGACAGAGTGTCGTGGGTTCGAATCCCACCTAGGGCAGCTCTTTATTTTTCCTTGGAAAATAATGAGCTGTCCCAGGTGTAGTTGATCTGTTTTTTGTGCCTTTGCCTTTCTACCTCATAGTTTTCACATGTATGTACAGGGGTCGTAGTTTACTTGAAATACAATGGAACCTCTAAATATGGATGCTATATAGAGTAGAGGCAACTTCTCTATAAAAGACACTTGTTTCGATCACCCACATATAGGTAAAGGAGAAGGAATATCTTAGTAATTTCATGGTCTCACACCATATATCCTGACAACAAAAGTTTAAAAAAGCAGACCTGCGACTAGTACTTTAGTGTCAGTAGACTTGGCGTCAGTCTTTTGTTTGTGCTAGCAAGGACGAAGGTCTCTCTCTATAATATGATGATGCAGGTGTTGGACACCCGGGTGGAGATTCTGCATGTAGACGAGGACCTTGTGGTGGTCAACAAACCTCCCTCCATCCCTGTTCACCCCATCGGCAGGTTTAGAGTGAGTAGTGTATATAGTAATGTAGCCTATCATACTTACTTACCGTGTCACCGTACCATACACATTGACTTGCCACACCCTCATTTGTCATGCATTACCTCATGTGTACCGTGCATGCTCAAGAGGGAATGATTGTTACAGTCCAACGAGAACCTTACAGTAGTAACATGCACCTGCTAATGAAAACGTGTTTTCCCACTGTGCATTTGCAAACGCCTTCATTGTGTTGCAATGTGATGTTCCAATGCCTTACTGTGCTTTGCAGAAAAATTCGGTGGATATGATTCTACGGGAGGAGCACCCTGAGCTACTGGCAGATGGGAAATGTCTAAAACTTGTCCACAGGCAAGCGAGCTTGTGTAGGGAACATGTTATTACCCACTGTTATTACTGATACTAGACTGGACCGCCTTGTGTCAGGTGTACTGGTGATAGCTAGAACCACAGAGAAAGCTGCTCTGTTCCACAAACACCTGCAACAAGACTTCATTGAGAAGGAATACGTCGCTAGAGTCAAGGCAAGAACACTTACCTTTGTCTAGTAGTGTCTCACTCGATGGTGTATAGGGGAAATTTCCTGAGGGACGACTTGAAGTCAGGGAACCAATAGCTAAAGTGCAGGATGATCCTCCTCTCTATTCTGTGGACAGAGGTAGTTAGCAGCATTATCCAACACACAGTTGGTCCAACCAAGCAGTAACTGCAAAACCATACCCATACTTTTACATTCAGGTTAATTGTAACACATTGAGAGACAGAAATCTCGTGTATCTGGTTCTATAGCTCTGTCCAGTGTTCTGGGTGTTGCTACGACTGCTCTCTTTAACTGCACTAAGAGTGTGTGATATTAAGTGAACAGCTAATGTGACATTGATTCTCCTCTCATAAAGGTGGAAAGGCGTGTCACACGGTGTTTGAGAGGGAGAGTGTGTCGGTGAAGTGTGACCAATCTCTGGTCCGCTGCAGACCAGTCACCGGCAGACCACACCAGATCAGAGTCCATCTACAGTGGCTAGGTTGGCTAGTCATATATATTCTTCTGGGAACCATACTCTCCTGTGTTTTATTCTCTCTTTCATCTCAGGTCATCCAATTGTGAATGATTACAAGTATGGAGGAACACTTTTGGAGAATAGGTACGGGTGCAGAGCCTTACCCAGAAGAGTCAGTACTGACAATATTAGGGCTCATTGTGTGTGAATGCGAAGTAATAGAGAGTGATAGAGAGGGCAGGGCAGAGGATAGGATAAGGAGTATCTGTTAGGATTAAAATCTGAGTGGCAATGCTGTTATTTTTTCCACTCACGTTTTACATCTGTGTGTCATTGTACTTGTGTGCACAACACCCCACTGTTGTTCAGTCCTAGAGTCCTTCCTCCAGAGCCTACTGACTACCAGCGAGAGGCCTGGTGTACAGAGTGCCAGCAGGGAGGGAGGGACATTGGCTCTGTGTCACAAGAAGAGCTTACTGCCACCTCCATCTGGCTCCATGCTGTGAAGTACTCCAACACCCACCCTTTCTATGAGTGGACCTTCCAAAGCCCCAGACCTCCTTGGGCTACCAGCTTCTAAACTCACATTGCTCAGCCATGTGTAATAATAATAATCACATGAGTTATGAAAGCTATAAACGTTTGCGAGCAAGAAGAAAAACGAGAGAGAGAGAGAGAGAGAGAGAGAGGCTTCTAAAGGGCTTCACAATAACACACCCACCAAAGCATCACAATGAGCCATTCTCAATCCAGTGTCTTATAAGGTGTTGAATTGATGGTGTACTATATACCATGTAGCAATGAATGTGAAGCTAGTTTCTGCAGCTGATCAAGGCAGTTACAATTGTTGCTGGTCAACCTGAAGCCAACTGGGCATCTTTTAAACCTTGCAATCACAAAGAGTGGGATTTATAGTAGGAGCTCTGGATTCCTCCATTGCCCATAAGACTGCTCTCCAATCATAAAAGTCGTATGTTTTAGTATAGGTGGCCATTTGTAATGTGCTTGCAACATTATCCTGCACAGAATTCAAAGTGTACTTGAGCACATTCGACTCAGGGCAAGAGGCCTTATCTCTGCAGTTACTGCAGGGCTGTTTGTGTGTCAAGAAACTGAGCATACACCGTTCCTTTAGAAGTTCCAATGGTACTGTAAAGGTATGAATTTCAACTGTGTCTCCTGGAAACACAGAGAAAAAACTTGGAAAATCTGAGGCACTCTGGCTTTCCTCTTTCACACGGGCATACTAGAGATGGGGGAGATAAGAGAGAGGTTGTCTTAGCCTATGCTGTGGAAAACTGACATTAGAGATTTCTCTAATCAGTTGGACCCACCACACCATAGATGAAGTCACTGGTATTCTCGGCTGTGTTGTTGAGAAGACGAGATGGACGTCGTTTCCCTTCTCCACTGATATTATAAAGCAGTGGACATGGGGGTGGGTGTGGGATAGTGAGCGAAATGGTCACCATCATTGGAGGGAGTAAAACTCTAATGAATTGAGTAGCTAAACAATCTCTGAGCAAACGTCTGCCTCAGAATATGAAAAAAAGTGCATTAATAGTTGTGCAGCAAGAGGGATCATTATAGACATCATCTTCATGACTGCAGATTTGATCATCAGTGTAAAGTTTTGCTCTGTGTGAAGGAGGCGGGCACTCATTTCATTGTGTGGAGGTATGATGTACTCTATGGGGGTTTGCTGCTTATGCAAGACTGTTATGAAAGCTCACTCTTCAAAACTTTCTCCGGGAAAACAGGGGCAGGTCACGCCACAGGAGTCCACAAATAGTGCAGCTTTTATAACGGACATTTTTTGCTTCGCTGTGCAGATAATCGTTTGTTTAGCTTGGCCTTTCTGTGGCTCTCAGTCTCGCTGTGTATTCATGGGGTGTGCCGGATAGAGCTCAGGGTAACTATGAGCGTTAGAAGGCACGCTGCCGCCGACAGTGATTCCAGTAATCAGTGTCGTCGGCAGAATTCCAATCTGACGTCCAGTGTGGAGGAGTTGCCTCGGGCTCAGGAGAGGGAGGTGGCCCATTGCCAAGAAGATTCGCCAGTTGCCCCACTTCGCGCCCAACTTGCTCTCGAGTACCGCCTGCAGAGCCTCTGCCAGCGCCTGTTGGAGTCGTACAAGGACCAGCAGGACTGGGCAGCCGTGGGACAAGTGGCGCAGAGCCTGGTGACCAACACACAGAGAGTCTCGCTACTCAAGGAGCGCCTGTTGAGCGGGAGCTTCTCTATTTTGGACCACTCACGCCGCGGGTTGAAGAGCATAGCAGAGCTGCCCTGTGCCGATACCCCGGACGGCCGGACGCTTTTGTCTCTTATTTCAGAAGCCGACGGTGACGACGAAGGGACCGAGGAGGCCGTAGACGCCGGTACAGGGAGCGGGAGCGAGAGCAGCAGCGCCGGGAAGGCTTTTGAGACCCCGACCCACGTGTCCTTGCGATCACCCGCAGCAGCTGCGTCTGCTGAGACTACAGAAAGCGACTCTAGCGGAGGTGCGAGTAGCGCCGTAGACTACGAGACAGCCTCCCAGCAGACCTCCACGTCTTCGGAGGTCGAGCCAGACACGAGCACGACCGGCCTCGAGAGCTCTGAGACCAGGTCCAGAGCAGGCTCGGAGCCCTCCCTGATCCAGCTCAGTAGTGGTGCCAGCAACACCCCCTCGCCGGAGCATCTCTCCAGTTGTAGTAGTGGTGGTGATATCGAGTGTTCCACGCCTCCAATAGGCACACCACAAGACCTCCCACCGCTTTTGGAGGAACCTCCCTCTCCCTCAGACACTGACTCTATAGCTGAGGCTGAGCCACAGAGCCAGGGAGAGGAAGGAGAGGGGGATCCAGGGGAAGAAAGAGAGTCCACGTGTGGGGAATCTGTTATGGAAACTCTGAAGCCTAAAGCAGGAGGAGGTGTGGGAAGTGGAGTGGTGGAAGAAACGGTTGCAGCAGAGACTAACTACGTCGAGATGCATCCTGGTGTGAAGACAACGGAGGGGGCGGTGATTGCCGGAGAGGGAGGAGGGGAGGAGGAGAGGAGTGGGACACATGGGGACAGTAGTGACAGTGGCGTGGAGGGAACTGTATTTCATGGTGAGTTGTTTGCTGTTTGTGGGTTACGTACAGTTTCATGTTTCGTGTAAGGATGCATGTGTACATGTTGAGCTACACATGTTCAATGGAATGATGTTCGTATGTAGGTGGGGCTGCCTATTGTGAAGGGCTGTGTTCAATAACGTGACAGATAAGTCTGCTCACTGAGAGAGAAAACTGTATTGTCCTTTAGGACTGCGTGTTTAGTGGAGCGAAAATGGCCTCTTAGAGTAATGTAGTAACATGTCAATTATAATGTGCAAGATGATTTAATGAGGCAGGAGGATGTGGATGAGTGATGTTGGTATGTTGGGGGTGGAGCTGGCAAATAGTGCAGACTGCTGGGAGATTTTCCTGGTGTGTTGTTTGGCAGTCTCTGGACATACCGCATATTTGTAGTCTTGGAAACAAAGTAACCTCTGAGGCAAATCAAGACATATATACTGTGTTTTTGCACATGCTCTCAATGCATGATCCAGTACAGATATTCACAGCCTGCTCTTAAGTTGTATTTCATCAGCTCAAACTATCCTAGCATTATGTTCCCGTGTGTGTGTCGGTCTGGTAAACGTTTCCCATTTGCGGATGGTGTGTACGTGGGTCTGTTTTGATCTGCAGAGTGTCTAAACACGCATATCTTTAGAGCTCTGACTTGTGTTTGTATTTCAATCACACACACACACTGTGTTTCACCATGTACTCGCCTCTTGAGGGTTGCATATCCAGCCACCCGCTGTTGCTGTTGTTAGTTCTACATATACCGTCACATCTCCTCAACTAAATGTGTTCATGTACATATGTACACGTCCTCAAATTAATGTTTTTTCTTTAACTGGTAATGATAACTTTCCCCAACTGTGCTCATGCCATTTCTCAACGATTATGGCTCAAAGGTTACAGGTAGGCTGAGAAATTGTAGTTTCAACTCTTGTGTATAAGTGTACTCTCACTGCTCTGTCACCGGATACATAAGGCAGTGATACACGATCCATTGCAACTTTTCATGCAAGAGAAAAAGTTGGATGCAACTTCAGGTGTATGGGTGTGATAGACCATGCAACCGAGATTGCGTGCAACATGTGTCGTAGACCCATAATACCCATATGTACATTAGAAGTTGCAGGCAACTTTGTCTCACACGCAGCAAAGTTGCATTGTGTTTCATGGTCCGGCCCTCAAGACTAGCTGGTTCCATCATAGGTTCCTTCTCTATAGCACTTGCATACCTTTCATCTTGCATGTATGAGCTTGTGCTATAAATCATATATGTGTACACCCAGGGCAGCTCAGGGCAACTCTTCTTTTCTTTGAAAAGAAAGAGCTGTCCTGGGTGTAGTTGACTTGTTTGCCTTGCCTTGCCTTTCTACCTCGCTACCAAGTAGTTGAGACATGCATTACAAAAAAACTGCATTTTGTCCCTTTCTAAAGCATGACTGTGTTTGCTTCTGAAGACTGGGGAAATGAGCTAGGTTGAAAGACGGTCCCTTCCCAAAGTTCACCATCCCTCACTATGAAAACTGTTATCATGAAAGTAGCTTGCTGGCAACCCTAACTGTTGTTCATGGTCTGATAGTCTCTCACAACTTGATGGTCCCAGCTTACTATATATGACCAGATTACTACTGTATGACCTGATCTTGGGGTTAACAATAGGCTCTTCCATCTTAGTCTGTATATTATACAAATTCACATGAGATGTCATTTGTTCTGGGTAAGTTGTGTTGAGGTGGGCAAGTGCTGTGTGCTGCACTTCCTTTTGTGTGTCACATCCACACTGACTGTATCCACACTCACATGGTGTCATTTCTTACACCACCAAGCCAGCAGCCCTGTGCTATGCTCTAAACTTAGGTTTCCATCTGTTCTATGTATGCATGCTATGCGGGTTTTTTTTTCCTACTATCCACATGCTGACCTGTTCACCAGAGGTCAATGATACGGGTAGCATGCTGATATATACAGGTATAGCTGTACACGTGGTGCTGATTGACTTCCCTGCACATGGTTCACTAGTTCAGTATCCTGCCCATGAACAGAGGCCCCCCTCTGTCATGTCGTCATGCTACATGTCATCTTCCAAGTATTTCACGCTTCCTTCCTGGAAGCTCACCAGAGGGATTATAGTAGTCCTAGAAATGATGAGGAAAAGTAGCTGTCAGGGTGTGCAGTTCCCTTAGCACATGAGAAAGCATCTTATGTGTGGCATTATAAGGGAATCGATTTTGACAGGGAAGACTCTGACTTCTATTCTTACTGTCGACTCCAGTATTTGGAGAGTGTAGCACACAAAACATGACGTGTGTGTATGGTCAAAGCAACTACAGTAATACCCAGGAAAACTCTTTCTTTCAAAAAAGCTGGCCTTTAAACTCACAACACGACAGCAGGTAAGAGCCTGATACGGCAGTCAAAAGACTTTTAGGTTATGTACGGTTACCTGCTTGACGCAGGTAGTGCCATGTCTTCCGGAGTTCTCTTCTCCTATCTGTATGTACTTAACCCGTGAATGCGTATAAACTCTATGAATACATTTGAGTTGGAGGCTCTTGTGTATTGGATGAATGTCAATATGTGTGGGTTTAGTGTAGCTTCCCTACATGGAATAAGTGATGTTGGCCGATGTTACGAAAGATGACATGATCATCCCTTGGTAGTTGTATACTTTTGTTGCCTGATGTAGAGAAAACGTGAGTTGCTGCAGATAGCGTGCATGATGTTCTCAGTGCTGCTTTTAGCAGCTATTGAGACAGTGTATGTGTTCCTTTGCCACTCTAATAGGTTCTGTGGTTGAAAAAACTGTGTTCTTTATGGCAGTAACTCATTGCATGTGTGCCTGTATATACAAACGATCCTTGCTGCGGTGGGAAAAACTTTCCCCGAAAGCTCAAAAGCCACACCATTCACACACAGTATTCTCCCTTTGAAAACTTTCTTCATGCTATATACGTATGTAAGCGCCAATGTGATGTGTTTGTTGTGGGATGTCCCCTTTGGTTCATTCTTGGGAAAGTGGGTCCCTGTAGGTATTTCTGTTTGCCTACAAGTCGAATAGACTCGGTTCAACACAAGCAGAATAATGAAAACACTGAAGCAATCTGCAGCGAAAAAAACGTAAACACGCAGTATAGTATGTACGTAGCTCATACAGTACTTACCCCATGTTGCATAAGAAACAAATGCTCCCAAGAGGTGGATGTGTCTGAAAAACAGTGCGTGATCCGCAGAGTGGCTACTAGGAATTTAGGGGCTGTAATGTAAGTCAGTGTTTCATGGGTCACACTGGTCGAGAAAATTTGTTGTGTGCTGCTGGGTTTGTGCACATGCTCAACTCTTTGGCAGCTGAAAACCATTTCACCCCTTCTCGTCTTTTCTTCCCTCTTCTTTTCCCTGCCCCCCACCCCCCCTTCAGCTGACCTCAGTGCTGACCTAACTCCCTGTGGTGGAAGATCTCACTCTGACAGTTGTCCTCTGGACTCTGGCCTACCTAAAGACCACAGCACACCTCACTCCACCTCCATTCATAGTGACAGGTACACAATACAGTTTAGTACACTGCCTGTGTTTTTAACCCTCGGCCCGCATGTGCAGTGAGGGTTACACTACTTGGTCGGTGTGTCAGTAGGTCTGTCAGTAGGAGGTCTGTCATTAGCTTTTCTGGCACTAAAGCAGTTGTGCACAAACACGTTCATGAAGGGTGGTAGTTTTATGGTGCTACAGTTTTGACATTATTACAAAAGCTGAATGGTATAATTTACATACATAGGTGGGGGCTACTCTCTTATGTTACAAACAGAATTGACTCTATATGTACACACAGAAATACCTGTGTAGGGAAATCCGAATGCCAAACTGTACGCTGTCCTTTGAGATGTGTGTGGGTCAGTGGTAGATTCATGGGTAAGGGGAGGAACCAGAGCTGTTCCCAGCCAATGCTCTGGACCACCTGTCAGTTTCAGTGCGGGTCCGGGATTCGAACCGGGCACCTTATGTGACAGTCCCCATGTCTCTAACCACTTAGCCACTTGGGCTGGCCACGAGAGCTGATGAAAAAACGGTCCTCTTGTATCAACACTCATATTACATCATTATAAAAAGAGCGCCACAGACCGGGATCGAACCACTGACATCACGAATTTAGGTGTGAGTCCTTATCACATCCAATACTTGTGGGTGATTGGTGTATTTGTTAACCCTTGCTGCATGCATGCTTTTTAGAAAAGGTGAACATGTGCAGAAATACTTTAAGAAAATAAACAAATGAAAAAGAATAAAAACATACTTGGTCTGTGTGTGTGTGTGTGTGTGTGTGTGTGTGTGTGTGTGTGTGTGTGTGTGTGTGTGGGTGTGGTGTGTGTGTGTGTGTGTGGTGTGGGTGTGTGTGTGTGTGTGTGTGTGTGTGTGTGTGTGTGGTGTGTGTGGGTGGGTGTGTCGTCTTTTCTCAGTAACTGTGCCCAGCTCTAACATGGAGAGGAAGGAGAGGGTCAGACTGTGTGCCAAACACTTTTTGCTGCTATATCTGAATGCATGTATAGTAAGAATAAAATGGCAAGGCTTATGCACCCCTTCAAGTGTTTTTCATTGACTGATTGGTTGCTTTGTAGTGAAAGAAGGGCTGTTGTTGAGGGGTGAGTTCTTGGAGTACATTTTTGTCTTCCTTTAAGTCCCACTGTATATAGCCACACCAGCACCTTCATCCACTTACCCCAAGTGCCCCGTAACTTCACCTGAATTGATTATGATCATTTATGTGACTTCTTACCCCAGAAAGCCATACATATGTTGTGCGCTTAACCACTAGTGTGTTGCACTAGTAAAATTTCCAGACTTTGATGCCATGTGTCTGTAAAATATATACTGGTATTATAGTATAGAAACTAGAGCTCTGGAGAGCATGTATATACCCCCTGCAGTATTGCATGTGCATTTGCACAGTTTTGATAGATGTGGCCAATGTTTGTATATACAGCTGGATATCTAGCCATCTGTTGCCCTCTAGTATATATATATATACATCCTCATTGAATAAAGGGCATATTTTCATCGTTCATTGACCACCAGCTGAGCTTGTGAACATACACAGTGAATTATGGTGCATGTAGTTCAATGAATAGTGTGGTCTTGACTGTGATAAAGTGTGATTTAGGTCGGCAAGCAAGCATACTTGATTACCTGCATGTGCTAGTCTAACTCTAGTGACTTGACCTGGCCATTTATGTTTCCATGAAAATTTTCACCATGTACAGTGAGGTCATTATATCGCTGCCCTTGCTTGCCAGCAGGTAATTGGTGAGCAAAGCAAGTCTATTTTCATGTAGGCCATACACTAGGCATAATTTGCTTGGACGGAGCACGTTGCTCCATGCTAGCAACAGATTGAGATGCAATGTTTTGCTCTCAGCAAAATGTTGAATCCTATTCTTGTTGCATGCATGCAAAAAGATGGATGATGGATGACCTTCGTAGTATAGGGTTCAGACTTTTTCTGCTATCACGGATTTGTGTGCCAACTTCCCATAATGCATATTATTCCCCCCAATGATATATAAATTTTAAGCTACATAGCTACTCTCTCTTTCTCTCTTCTTCTTCCTTCCTCCCTACAGCCTGAGTCCCCCACCACGGCTCATGTCTCTCTCTGGGAGCGACTCCAAACTGAACGTCAGCTACTCCAGTGTCGGCTACCATTTCCACAGTGACCATGAGACAGTGGAAGAGTCTGTACGAGGTGGCCGTGCCATCGCGATGGAACACTCCTCCTCCACAGACAATATCGACGTCTCCCTCCCCGTCAGCTCCTCCGCCAACCGCAGGAGGCAGGCCTCCATCCCAAACTTTGTCTCGCGACAGACAAAAGGACTCCGCAAGTCCACACGGAAGCTGGTGAAGAGGATGGGGAGCATCACGATTCGTCGCGGTCCCCGGGGCTCGCTGGATACGGCGGGGGTGCCGGTTACCATCCCGTCTCCCATCCGTGGGCAGGACTGGGACCCCACTTGTCTCCTGGAGGAACTATACGCAGACTTTCGCCGCGTTGCCCGCTCCTCGTCCAGTAGCGTAGATAATGCCCGCCACAGTGGGTACATGGAGAAGCTCCCCGTCGCCCAGACCAAGAAGACACTCCTGAAGGGGTACAAGCGACGCTACTTCCGTGCCATCGAAGGCAACCTGTACTACTACGAGGACCGGCTCTCCGAGAGGGCTCTGGGGTTCCTGAAGCTGGAGGACTGCAAGCTGGTGCTCATCCCGGAGAAGCTGCATCTGTGTATGACTCAGAGCAATGGAACCACACTCGTCATGAAGGCTCCGAACCACGTGGAGCTCTCAGATTGGCACCGGGCGCTCCAGCTAGAGTCCGTTCACCCTACTGCCCTCACAGTTGGCTCAATGATGGAGGAGAACCCCCTCATTATAGTGGATATCGGGGCATGCTCAGTGCGGGTTGGGCTGGCTGGAGAGGACACCTACCCAGAGCTGTTTTTGCCATCAGTAAGCAGTGTGGATACCACTACTGGGGAATGCAATGACTGCGGAATGGCGGCATTACTACCAGAGAACAGAATTGGAGCCAAGCTGGTCTACCCGCGACGAGGGACGCTCCAGATGTCTCGCAACAGCACGGCAGCCAACCAGGCGATAGTGGACATTGTGGACACTGTACTGAACCACTATAACCTCGAGTCGCACCAGTGTGGCATCCTCATGACAGTCCCTCCCACCATCCCCGAGCAGGAGCGATCGGAGCTGGCCGAGGCTCTCATGGGCACCGTATTTCAGTTCCAGAGCGTCCTCTTCCAAGAACAAGCCCTCCTCTCCCTCTACTCCTACAATACCACTACCGGCATAGTGGTGGATATAGGAGACCACATCGATATAGTCCCCGTGATTGACGGCTATGCCATTGAGGGTGGGATACATCGACTCCCGTTTGGAGGCAACGCCATCACAGAGTACCTCACAAAACTACTCACGGCAAAGGGTATCCGATATTTCTCTGAGACTGAGACCTACATCAACAGATTCGTCAAGGAAGATGCGTGCTTCGTGTCGCTCGACTACGTGAAGGACTGCGAGGCATGCGAGAGCAGCCCGGCACTCTTCTCTCATCAGATCAACGTCGATCGATTCCAGCTGCCCGACCATCGGAAGGCCATCGTGATAGACGACGCTCGGTTCAAGGCCACGGAGGGTCTCTTTACCCCGGGACTGTGGGGGAAGGATGTGACAGGGCTCCACGACCTGGTCTGGAAAGCCATCCAGGCCTGTCCCATCGACCAACGGAGACTCCTCTCTCAGAAACATCTATCTCAGCGGCGGCACTTCCCTCCTCCCCGGACTCAAGGAGAGGTTAAAAGCAGAGATTTCGGCTCTCGCTCCGAGCGGGAACACGGTCGAGATCCACGCTAGTGAAAACTGTCAGCATGCCGCATTCCTCGGTGGCGCAGTGCTCGCTGGGCTGTCTTCTTTCTCTGACTCTGTTGTCACGCAGGACGAGTGGAACTCAAAGGGTGCCGATGCCCTAACAAAATGGTGTAGCTAACACACTGTGTTCTTGTTATGTTGTTGTATACAATTTTGTGTGCTGCTCTGTTTGTGCTGTACAATAACCGCCCCCTTACTCTGATAATACGCGCGATGTGGACTATTTATTTTGCCGCTTGTCTGACCTTGGATGGAACTGATGATCGTAGCTAGTCGGTCGTGTGTAAGTAGGGCTAGCGTGGCAGGAGTTCTCTCTCTATAGCTCTACCGTGGGCGACGCCGGAAGTGAATTCATAGCGTGTCCTCGTTGGGAAGTCGCTCAGCCGTACAGGAAGAGCTGCGCGCGGCACTTCGCAGCTAGCTAGAACTGTACTTACATAGGTGTAGGATTTATAATCCTCCGTTGTGCAAATTAGACTCGGTGGCTCAGAGCTCATAAATGGCTCTCTTCAGACCGATCCGGCGAATGCTGTCTCCCCGAGAGGGCCGCGGCCACGAGGAAACGGCGCCGGATACCCCCGTCGCCTCCTCCCGTGCTAGACTCAGCACCGGAGACTCGGAAAGTGTCGTGGAGAACGCTATCTACAGCGAGCCGACCCCGCTAGACCGCGTGGAGCCCCAGCGCCACAGCCATCATCGAATCAGCGGCGGTGAGGATCCTCCTCTACCCCCCAGACCTCTGTCCGGTGGCGGCGCAGGCGGCGCTCAGCAGAATTCGGAGGAACACGAGACGTACTACCAGGCCCCCGTGGACACCCTGGGCCGCGGTGTGGGTCTGGATCCACAGGCGGCGATGCAGCAGCAAAGAATGACTTCTATTCGCGAGAGAGAGCGTGCAGCAGCGGAGCGAGAGAGGAGGCGGATGAACATGCACGAGAGGACCTTGAACCAGATCCAGGGAGCCGGTGGCTACCCAGTACACCTCCAAGGTAGGGTGGGAGGACTGGGACATCGCAGAACTCGCTCAGGAGGTCACATCATTGACAATGAAGAGTACAGCACGCCGTGGGACGTACAGGGGGAACAGCGACGACGTGCCTCGGGGCACAATCCACCCAAACCAGCCCGCAACAGGAGACCAATCCCCGCCACCCCTAACGATGGGAGCGATAACGTAATTCCCCATCTCACCCACCTCCATTCTCTCTGCTCACGAGCGGTCCCAGTCTGTTTCGCCCGTCCCACCCCGTAGCCCCGTCCAGGTGTCAGGAGATGCCGAATACGACGACCCGTGGGACGTGAGGAATCGGAACATCAGTCAGGTCATCCCAAGCCAGCGTCACCACACCCACTCCTCCCTCCACGAACGCCGCTCCCCGCCCTCTGCCGGAGACCACCGCCCGCCCATGCGACAGTCTGTCGGCTCCAGGACCACAGAACACTCGAGACCCCACCTCGAAGAAGTCCGACCGTCCCGCTCCCTCTCGGACTGGAATCACCCCCGCGGTGTTCCGACGGAGCCCCCGGAACAGTTCCGACCGCGAACCATCACCGACGTCCACCCGCCGCACTCCCTGAGCCACTCCAACCCCAGCTCCCCGAGGACGAGCTCAATGTGTGCACCGACGCACCCCATCCAACGAAGACCCCTGCCCGAGGAGCCCCCGGGGGGAGGCACTGGAGCTGCGACGACACCCACCTCGTGTCTGCACCTCCCTCGGTCTCCAACTCTACCCGCGCCGAACCCTCCGTCCTCTTTGACAGCCAGCTGGCTCTCGAGGAACAACTGTAAGTCAGACCTCATCCTAACCCCATTTCCTTTGTCTTGTTCCTTCCTCTCTACAATGACGAGAGCCTGTTGTAATTATCAGGCTTGTGGTTAAAATCTGTATGGTGTGGGTGTACAGTACAGAGAGCAGGGCCGGTGGCCTAAAGTCTGAATGGTGTGGGTGTACAGTACAGAGAGCAGGGCCGGTGGCCTAAAGTCTGTATGGTGTGGGTGTACAGTACAGAGAGCAGGGCCTGTGGCCTAAAGTCTGTATGGTGTAGTATGTTGTTGTATGGGTGTACTGAATCTCTGCAAGGTGTCAGGTGGAGATTGCTGCCTGGTAAAAAGCCTCCCTGACCCAACATCCTCCCTCCATTCACTTTGAGTCTAGCACACCCTGTCCTCACACCTCCCCTCCTGAAAACACACACTGTAAAACTGAATGGACATTGTTGTATCAGCCCTTGCCTTATTCGATGCTGCCAATGCCAATGTGTGAGTGCATTCTTTACTAGGCGTCCCTGGCTGGTTCACACCCTTTTTGGGCGAAAAATTTCCTCCTGTGTGTTTATTGTAGCATTCAGGTCGCGATGACCAGTTTCTTGCATTAGTAGTTGGTGTAATTAGTACTGTAAAGAACTGGCTGGCTTATTGCCACGCAAGACAAAGGCCCAATCAGTTGTCACTGACTGTCACACTTCAGGCAGTCCTCATTCATTCCAAACAGCTTTACTCCTAGCCACAATAGTACTTGTGCTTTTCTTCGCATCATGTTGATTGATTGCGTGTATGGTGTAACCTTAACCACGTTACGTGTGGTGAATCCCGGGTAAAGTCAAGGCAGGACACGACAGCGTAACGACAGCACTTTTAGCAGTTCTGAGGCTCCCTGAATTCTTTCCTCTTACAGAGAGTATGAGGGTGAATGGATAGATAGGTGATGGCACTTGGTCAAAACGCAACAGTCTGCGTGCATGTTTTAAGCCAGGTGCATGCATTATGTACACACACATGCAAAAGCCCAGACGTCCATCCTCTTGAATTATTGTTTACTAATCTCAGTGTGACTTGGGTAAGAGGTAAGGGGAAGAACAGAGTGTTTAATTTCCTCTCTGTACTGTATACACCCATGTGGAGCCACCAACTGTTGATTCTGCTGTGTGTGTGAGGTAGCACTGTGTGATGTGGCTGCAGCTTCCTTGAGCATCGTTGGTATGAGTGGCAGCCCCTATCTCCTCATTCCAACCCCTATGTCATTGACCGTGCTTGTAAACAGCAGTGTCAGTGGAATGCTAGGAAGGAAAATGCTCGCTGTGCGATGAAGGTGGATGGCACGGTACGGTGTACTATGGTGTACAATTGTTAGAAGTCTCTGTGTACGTAGTGGGAGTTGGCCTTGTGACTGGGAGGGCTTGTTGCCGTTGCCAATCATGTTACACATGTGTAGCCCTACACACTGGTCAATGTGTGCAGTACATACACTTTGCTCGGCACTCGGCTAATTGAATTGTACTGTTGCTAGCATGTTAATGATCATACCAAGGTCAAGCCAGAAGGTTCTATTTTTAAAGAGCGTGCACACGGGTGGAGCAAGTTCATGGGCGGTGTATGTGTGTGTTTTTTCAGCGGTGTGGAATGTACCCTGTTGGGGTAGATTAGGGTCATATAAGGGAAGCGCGGGCACTGAAAATGTTGTCAGACTCAGCTCACCAGGTGACCCTGTTGTGTACACTCAAATTCCAGATGCAGCCTTCTCACAGCGCACACAGCTCCATCACATGCTTGTTTGCCACATGCACAGACCCCCACCCTTTGAAGTAGACCACAGATTGTGGTGTATCAGCAGCTGATGTCTTACATCATGCCTTCTGATCTCATCATCACTTGCGCCACAACAACTGCCTATTTGTAAACAGTGCCCACATCCAGACACACACATACCACCACCACTGTATAATTATAGTGTGTGCTCTGTAGTAATAGTGCTGACAGTGAGAATGACACAAACTCTCTCCAGATGAGGTTTTGCATGCCCATTGCCTCATATGTGACCTAGAGTTTAAGCTCCAGTCAACCTCTCCTGATTCAGCACTTTCTCAATAGCTGCAGCCTGGGTTTGCTGAGGCTAAGAGTATTCTGCATGTGGTGCACTCCCGGGACATACTTACACAATAGTAAGGAATAGTAAGTTGGCTCACCTGCACATCAGCTAGAACCTCTTCACCTTGTGCAGCTTGATTACATTATAACTGTAAGCGCGAACAGCTTAGGAATGTTTATTGCGCGCAGCCTCCTCTTAAACTGCGTCTCTCCCTCCCTCCCTCCTCCCTCTCTCTCTCACTCCATTTCGTCCTCCTTATCCTCCCGCTCTTGACTGCTGGAGTGATAGTGTTGCCAACATCCCCATACCGTGGTTCCTGCTGTAGAGGGACTCTCTGTTAGCGTACTGTATACCACCTCCAGTATTGCCTTTGTCTACAGTGCTGTGGTTGGTGGTGACAGCCTTTGTTTGTGGATGCTGATTGGACAGGGACTATTTGGAATGCTGTACCGACTCGCGTTTCTTTACATGGCTATAGATTGTATACAGTATACACAATGTATAGACGTGCACGTGCTTGACCTATAACAACCTCCGTTCTTCCTACCCACCTTCCCCTCCCCTATCCTCTATTCTCTACATCTATGCTGCTATAACAGTCTGTGTGCTACAATGCAGGTGTACATGAAGTAATACTCATGGGACACGCAATTACATGTGTGTATTTCTTTGAGTGATTCACCTTGTGGTGTGTGTTGTATTTGTAGACGTGCTGCTGTTTTCGGTATGTGGCCAGTCCCAAGTACACGCTGCTTTCACATTCTTTTACATGGGATACGATTGTTTCCATATAAGTCCACCACGTGGAGTGCGGTGGGCCAACCAGTGTTGTCAGCACCCAAGAGAGAGAGACCCTCTCTACTATACTGGAATAAGACACTGTGTTTTGCTGCTGGTTGTCTGCCGTGTAAGGTTTTGGTGTGCATGTTTTTTGCTGGACGGGGTATGATATGTATAGTTGGTACGTGATTTGACTTTCTGCTTTAGTGGATGGAATGTTGCTTGCTGATCAGTGGTGTGCTCCATTTAGCAAGCTGTAATTGGCGAGTGAACCAAGGTCACCTACATCTCTAAATTGTTTCGGCACTGTCCATGCTGTGATGCTCTACGTAATCTTAATTACCTGTAAAACGGGTATTTTGCACTTGCGTCGTCTCACCAATAAACCTTTGTAGTTGCACGTGCAGGGAGTGTACTACCTGCTTGTCTGTGTGTCGTCAAGTGGTCATTCATTCCATTTGGTTAGGGCGATATGCAGAAGTCGTTTATAAGCAAAGTAGGCCGACCTTGTCGAAATTATGCATTTTGCCGCCGTTGGCTAACGCACACATACACGTGATGAAAATCATGTACATAATGTGCAAACGTTGTGTTCTTGCATTTGCTTTGCCCTTGCTCTCTCCTTGTATGATGAGCTCTTGATGTCATCGCCTCATACTGCCACAAATGGAAGTCTCATTGTGGAGTCATTGTGGCATGCTATCCTTTTGAGCAATGGCCATTGTGTTTATCTAGTGGATGTGCAGGCATGTGCAAATGTGGGATTAATGTACTTACACATGGTCTTTGAGCCGGCTGCTGATTATTCGAGTGTGTGGTAATTAGTGTTGAATATCAGGGGATGTCCCTCGTCACTTGCTTTCCTCTTGTGACCATCCAAAATACTTTGATGTTCTTTGACACACACTGTGGTGACTGGCTGGTCTCTATGTAGTCTTACTCAGTCTTGTGCAGTCTGAACATAAGATATGGAAACACTGACTGAACTGGCAAGACCCATTACGACGACCCATTAGACCACGCAATTCTGGGTCTTTGAAATAGAAACGTAGTCTATTCCCCAGACCGCTGCAGACTGCACAAGACTGAGTAAGACTATATGGAGACCGGTCTTTACAATCTCATATGAACACAAATTCATGATACTGACTCTATTTTCTCTACACACACACACACACTGCAGGTGGTACCATGGGGCCATCACCAGAGCAGAGGCAGAGGCAGTTCTGGCCAGCAAACGAGACTTTAGTTTCCTGGTCAGGAACAGCGAGAGTTGTCGCACAGACTACTCTCTCTCTATCAGGTCAGGCCACCCCCTTCTCCCCTTACTACTCCTCCACCATTGTCATGTGTCTGTGAATACACGCGTGTCGTTTCTTATGTGGAACCCTTCTCATTAAAATGGGACAGAAGAACGAGTCCATAGTGTTAGTGAGGAATCCATGAATTGTTCCTTGAGAATGTGTTATGGTGTCCTGAGAGAGAGGGTTCCATTGTTCATTACTCAAGGATGGTGGGTGATAGTCTGCGTACAACGCACATGTTAAGGCGATATATCTTGGCCTTGTGGCAATCTTATGTACTCTGTTGCCATCAAAATGTACTTTGCTGTTTCGTCCATTAGCGTGCCTGGCAAGTGTGCGTACCATATTAGGCAGACTGGGTATTATAGCCCCAACTAGAGCCCACTCGTTTGGAGCCATTCTGACTGCCAGCCCATTTCCACATGTAATGTACTATCGTACTCTGACCTGTAAGTGCATGTAGGGTATATACACATGTAGACCTCTCCTCTAGTACAGCAAAAGGCAGTGTTCTGTCGTGTTTGTCCTTCACCGCTGATGAGCCTAGCCCAGTCCTGCCAAAGGAGTTGGCCCAACCACAAACTACATGTGTACTGTGCGTATGTATGTGTACCTATAGCATGGTACAGCATGCAGTTTATAGACCATGTGATGTGATGCGATTTAGATTTCCATGGGGTGCAGAATAAGACCTAGTCCGTGGCCGTGTGGATTCCACTGCCCTGATGGCATTGAGTTTACCATTTGTACACTTATTCCATCAGGGGAATGTCCAAAACTAGGTCCAAAAATCTGGGAAGATATATCTTAGTCCTGGTACATAGGGTGTGATGGTCTCTAATGTGTACGTGTACGCTGCATTCAGTTTATATGATTACACTGCCTCTGTCATTATGGACCAGTATAGCAGCAGCTCGTTTCTGTATGAAAGATTTATTGTGTAAAACCTCTGTTTACATGTACGTAGACCTAAGGTCTTAGGAGGAACATTACCAAACTCAACAAACGTAGATGTAAATGTATAACTGCCAATATTGTAGGGTGTGCATCACTTGTGAAAGCTCAAGCTGTAGCTTTGTTTCTTCTTTAGCCAGGAAGTGGAGGCATCACTCAAACAGTCTCTCAGTACTTTCACATCATTGTAGAGTCACTTGGTCACCCAGTCAAATCTCTGCGGGAGTGCTCAGCCTCAACTAGTTGGTAGGGACCACTTGGAGTGCGTACTAGCTCTCCAGGTACAACGCTACTTTGCTCCTCTCTCCCAAGCATTTCCACTAGTAATACAACTTTGCTCAATACTTCTTGTAAGGCAGAGGGAAAGTACAGCACACTCCTTATCATGTGCTAGTGTCATTGTAAGGAGGCCATTTTATCCATGTTGCTACACTGAGGGGACTCTGAGACTGTGTTGATATGACTACACACTAGTAGTGGAGGTCTATATCGTTGTAGTGGGTCTGTCCCATTGTGGACTCATTTCCTTCTCTTCCAGTGGTGGCTGGGAGAGAACCAGGGCTTAACCTCACTGGTTACTATTTTTAGCAACTACTCTGCCATTTTCGGCTTTATGACATAATCATAAATTTAGCAACAAGGATTATGATCAGGCAGTACTGTCTTGGTGTACATGTAACTCGTATCCTTCTTCTCATCAGTAGTGGCTGCTCTTTGAGTTGTCTGTCCTAAAGCCTCTGCTGCTATTTACAAAGACAAGCATTTCTTTGTATGCAGCTTGCACAAGAGCATTCTGCAAACCCCGACCCAAATGTAAAGTGTATGCTACATTTAGTCACGAGCACACTTTTGTAGTTCAGTTTCAAAATCTGTCACTTCAATGCCATTACTACTCCTGTGGGTTCTCATCCATTGTCTAGTATTACAAGGTTTAGATTGTCCCTTCTTTGTGTAGTGTCTAGAGAATGTATGACGTAATGATGATGTGATGAGTAATGACGAAAAAGTTTAATACAGCACTGCTATTGTTCAGTCTAGCCTGATATGGGGATAAGCTCATGCCATAGTTCACACACTTGCCAACTGTTTGCTGACGTTGCAGCATGCATACCGTCTCTCTCTCTCGCCAGAACAAAGGTATCTACTTGCATTCCCGTGCCTTATATGGACAAGAACTGAGTTTGCCTGCAATTAGTTTTTCGAGGGAGGTGAAATGAAGTGTGTAGTTGTGAGAGGACACATACCACATGCTATCTGAGCATCGATGGATGGATATATATATACAGTATTAAGAGTTAAAGGGTAGAGCAGCAGCCATACAGTGCTAATTATTTGCATCTTGCTTGTTTTCGCGCCATAACTTTCACACGTCACTTTTAACGAAAATTGTAAACTTGAAATCAACCTAGTGCAGCACTTAACTGTTGGTGGTGTCGTTTTTTGCCCTGGTGTCATGCACGTGGCGGCAGAAAACGTGGTAACTGACAGACAGATGGACTGAAGGACAGACATACAGACACACCAAATGCTAGTAACCCATGTTGTGCATGTCTCCGAGGGTTTGCAGAATGGTAGGTAGACCGACATTGTGCACAAGGTGACAGAATAGCAATTCAACACTATAGAAGTTTGTTTTGTCGGCCAGAAAGGCTCCAGCCATTGTAGAAATCCAACACACATAAGTAGCTAGTTCTGATCCAAACATTGTGGCTTGTGCATTGAGATGAGGCACACTGCTCATGATTTCGTTACGTAACACATTTTGCAACAGTGCAAGGTCTGTCAACCCTACCCCCTAATTCTCCATAACTTGCATCTCGACCAGAAGTTGAAGGCTATTGGATAACGCTATCGGAAAAACTCTATTAGAAAACTCTTAGAGCCCTTAGACACAGAGTTTATCAGTAAAGAAGTTTGTAGTCCTAATACATAATTATACCACATTTCAACCCTTGCTCTTATCATACCTCTCCCTTCTCTCACTCCCTCCTCCACAGAGATCGCTCCAGTGGATTCATTCACCTGAGAATAGTCTACGAGAGGAGTGGCTACGTGTTGGGCCAGTTCAGCAGCCACTTTCAGACTGTGCCCGAGTGCATCTTCTTCTACACTCAGCAGAGGCTCAACATTAGGGGAACTGACCACAAAAAACTGCGATACCCAGTGCCCAGGGATCACTATAAACCGTGACATGCGGTGGCTCCTGGAGCTACACAACGTCATAGTGTGCATTATTTGAGAATTGTTCTGTACCTTATCTACTACAGTATATACTGTACATGAATCACCCTCCGTGTATTGCAAATGATGTGTGTGTGTGTGTCTGTCTGTGTGTGTGTAGGTATGGTACATGGAGTACATAGCCTTGATACTGTGTACTATGTATGTGTACATCTCACCTGTATGTATGTCTAGAACATTGTGTGTGAAACCAATATTGTCTACCACCCTCAATTATGCAGGTTAATGAAATATGAATAACATCAGTGAAAAATTATTCAAATAGCAATGAAAATCGGTCTGTGAATCCTACCGATGTATCTGGCTAATGTGTGTAGTCAGTTGAGGCGAACCATTGTACTATTTATGTATAGTGGCAGTGTGATGTCATTGTCCAGGGCCAAATGGATTAGTTTTCAGAGGGTCTCATTGAGCCCAGGGTATGGTTCACCTCTCTGTGGTGACCCTCATCAGCTCTAATGGCCAGGAGCACATCCCTCATCATTGCATCAGCCTACATTATAGAGACAGCAACACTGTTGTGACATTTGATCCTAATGCAATAGTGTGTCTATTTCTGTTGACAGGAACAGGAAGTGGACTCCGACCTCCACTTCCAGGTCATGTCAAGTCAGTGTGGAGTCATGTGTACAAGGCTTACAGGCAGTCCCTCCAGTAGCAGACAGCAATCCGAGGAGCTTCTGTATTCTCCCACACGCTTCAGCTCTTGTCAAGACTCTGCAGTGTGCACCAGTACACTCTAGTGGGCTGCTTGCTCACTAACAGAGCTGGCTATCAATCAAGTGTCATGTAGAATGGGTATGTACTACCGCATATGCAGTGAGTGTGACTACGTCGGTGTAGTGACAAAATTGCAACTCTTCACTTGTCAGAAAAGTAGCCAAATCAACTTGGGCAAAATCTGGACTGACGCTGGAAAGACGCTATCCAGAACAGTACTCACAAACACATGGTGGGCAGGGAGGGAGAGTAGGACTCAAGGTAGGTTGTGATAATGACAATGATAGACTAAATGTGACAAAGGTTAGTAAGGTTAGTAAAAGGCCCTTGGTAAGGTACCACTTCATGGAATCTCGTAAGCACTTTCGTTCAGTGCCGACTCACCTGTTGTTCCACTGCACGGCAATCTTAGAAGATGAGTCCAAAGTCTCCTCAAGCGCCATTGACGTGTGAGGAGGTGCATCCTCTCATTCTCGGCCTCCTCCACGCAGGTGCGGTGGATCCAGCCACTGGTCCGAGTCCGGCGCGCACAGAGACTTCAAGTGACGCACCCTTGCACTCATATCATACTGGCGACATGTAGAGTGTATGGGGTCTCATATTACAGTCAGATCAACTATTCCTGATCTTTATCACCTTGGTTAATCAGGCCAATGTTCTAAAGATAGATGATTCATGACAGCAAATCTCTACTACCTATTTTATAAGTGCTACAAAATATATAATGTCATTTCTGAGCCACAAAGAGTACCAAGGAAAATAGATCAAACCCGTAATAAGCATTGCAAAGAGTAATAGTGCAGCATGAACGTGGGAAGTAGGTAGAGTAGGGTCAGTAGTTTTGGAAGTAGAGCAGAGAGTTAAGGAAAGTAGGTAGCTAGAGAGTTGTGTAAAGGTTGGTAAAGTCCGTCGTTCTCGTCAAAAGGTTCGAGGGTAGGAGTGTGACGTGATCTGGACATGAGGTCAATCCTCCTCAATCCACACAGGGTGAGGCAGAGGGTATCCCATCCACCATCAATCTCATGATGGCCCGTAGGTCCAGGAGAAGTGAATCTAGGTTTGCGGCAAGTGGTCCAGAGGACATTGGGAGGTAGTCCCGATGCACTCCTGGTCGTTCCCTGTAGCGTAAGTAGTGGTGGAACGGGAGCAGCACGCCAAACAGTGGAAGACCTCAATCTCGTCCTATCACTCTGCGTCATCCTGCAAACTAAAACTACACTAACTGATGTGCACGACCAAATGGGTGTGGCATCACTGAGTAAGACATATCAGGATCTACGGTCTAAACCAGAGATGGTGCGGATTGTTGAAGGTGGAATGGTGAGACTGCAGCTTGACGTGTACTTCCATTTGCAATCCTCCAAACTGCTTCCTTGAGACAGGCAGCAGTCTCATGAGCTGAACTTTAATATTGATTTTCAGCCGTGACTGTATGGAACCAGATTTACTTCAGTAGTGTGAGTGGCGATTTTATACCGGAGCGAGCCGGATCGGATGACTACCTTCGATCGGCAATGTACGACAGATGCGCACTACGTTTGTTTGTATTTATCAAAGGGGCTGAAAAGGCGGACCTTCCACTCCAGCTGCTCCTTCCAAGTATACGTAAGCGAACCGTTGAGTATCGGTTATCGTTCACGAGATCCCTCTCTCTAAAGAGAGGGCGAAAGATCCGAACTGGGTCATCGTATTCAGTGGTAGACGTTGTACACCTTTTCTGCCTTCGGGATTGTGCGGCCTGATTCACTTTTTTATTTGTATTCGGTTTTTTTCTTTCTGAGCCAAGACTTAGGAGGGCATCAACCTCGAAAAAAGCCAGAGTTCCTTTCCTCGCCGTCGTTAACCTTTACGCACGGTATAAAAGCGTTATCGAGGCATATGGTAAAGCGTTATTCTTGTGTTTATATACCTGAGTGAGTTTGTTGGTAGAGTTTGTTAAAATTCGCAGAGAGATCTTAGAACATTTTCTAAGAATTTGCATTTGTTGCTAGCTGACCTGATGATAGCAGTAGAGCAAGAGTTTACAGTACATCACTGTACTGTTACAGTAGTGAAGCAGCAGCTCAGCATGCAGTCACCAGTGGGTTTTTTGACCTCTGTAGCAGGACATGTTAGGAGAAGTAATGGGCTCTATTTTCCAATCCGTCATTATAATGGTCACTTTTAGACTCTTGGAGTCCGAGTGTGAAGTATAGGAAGGCACAAGACACAGTCAGCTGCATTGGTTGGAGTCTGTCATGTTGGGTTGGGCGAAGCGGATTCTTGGGTGCTTTGGAGATATGGAGCTAGATACATTGCAAGGTCAGAGAGATAAGGCTAGTGGTGGTATAAGGTAATGTCAGGTGATAAGTATCCAAAGAAAATCTTTAGCCAGGAGTGGGACTTACAGCGTCGTTGAGGTAGACAGAGGAAGGTTAGAGTACATCTGAAGGGGGAAGTGTTGGATAAGACTGAGTTCTTGAATGAAATTCAAACGAGGGTGCATTTTTTCGAAGTTTTTTTGTGATACACTTTATTCTTATTGGACAGTATTGATCAGAGGGAGGGTGAAAGGGGTTAAATCTTTCACTGTGTGGAGGTATCTGCATGGTTGTAGTGACCCCAGGCAGATGAGGAACTCATGGGTTCAATTAGGAGTGAGATGAAGGGAAGGAGGGAGGAGTGTCTTTTGTGTGATGAGGAGTGAGAAATGTTGTGGGTGTCTTCCTGCTTATGGTGTCTGTAGAATCAATTTCATGGCTCAGTTTTACGTATATGTGCAAAAATTGAACTACTCACACTTGCTCGCCAGAATGCTTTGTATCAAGGTACACACTTTGTCCACAATCATGTATGTTGTTAATAAGTCTGTACTGTTGCTAGCATGTTAATGATTCGGTCAAGCCAGCAGGTTCTATTTTTAAAGAGCGTGCACACGGGTGGAGCAAGTTCATGGGCGGTGTATGTGTGTGTGTTTTTTCAGCGGTGTGGAATGTACCCTGTTGGGGTAGATTAGGGTCATATAAGGGAAGTGCCGGCACTGAAAATGTTGTCAGACTCAGCTCACCAGGTGACCCTGTTGTGTACACTCAAATTCCAGATGCAGCCTTCTCACAGCGCACACAGCTCCATCACATGCTTGTTTGCCACATGCACAGACCCCCACCCTTTGAAGTAGACCACAGATTGTGGTGTATCAGCAGCTGATGTCTTACTCATGCCTTCTGATCTCATCATCACTTGAGCCACAGCAACTGCCTATTTGTAAACAGTGCCCACATCCAGACACACACATACCACCACCACTGTATATTATAGTGTGTGCTCTGTAGGTAATAGTGCTGACAGTGAGAATGACACAAACTCTCTCCAGATGAGGTTTTGCATGCATATTGCCTAGAGTTTAAGCTCCAGTCAGCCTTCTGATTCAGCACTTTCTCAATAGCTGCAGCCTGGGTTTGAGAGTATTCTGCATGTGGTGCACTCCCGGGACATACTTACACAATAAAAGGAATAGTAAGTTGGCTCACCTGCACATCAGCTAGAACCTCTTCACCCTTGTGCAGCTTGATTACATTATAACTGTAAGCGCGAACAGCTTAGGAATGTTTATTGCGCACAGCCTCTTCTTAAACTGCGTCTCTCCCTCCCTCCCTCACTCCCTCACTCCCTCACTCCATTTCGTCCTCCTTATCCTCCTGCTCTTGACTGCTGGAGTGATAGTGTTGCCAACATCCCCATACCGTGGTTCCTGCTGTAGAGGGACTCTCTGTTAGCATACTGTATACCACCTCCAGTATTGCCTGTGTCTACAGTCCTAGCCACACAGTGGCTGGTGGTGACAGCCTTTGTTTGTGGATGCTGATTTGACAGGGACTATTTGGAATGCTGTACCGACTCGCGTTTCTTTACATGGCTATAGATTGTATACAGTATACACAATGTATAGACGTGCACGTGCTTGACCTATAACAACCTCCGTTCTTCCTACCCACCTTCCCCTCCCCTATCCTCTACTCTCTACATCTATGTGTGCCTTATTCTCTGCTATAACAGTCTGTGTGCTACAATGCAGGGTGTACATGAAGTAATACTCATGGGACACGCAATTACATGTGTGTATTTCTTTGAGTGATTCTTACACACACCTTGCGGTGTGTGTGTAGACGTGCTCTGTTTTCGGTATGTGGCCAGTCCCAAGTACACGCTGCTTTCACATTCTTTTACATGGGATACGATTGTTTCCATATAAGTCCACCACGTGGAGTGCGGTGGGCCAACTAGTGTTGTCAGCACCCAAGAGAGAGAGACCCTCTCTATTATACTGGAATAAGACACTGTGTTTTGCTGCTGGTTGTCTGCCGTGTAAGGTTTTGGTGTGCATGTTTTTTGCTGGACGGGGTATGATATGTATAGTTGGTACGTGATTTGAGTTACTGCTTTAGTGGATGGAGTGTTGCTTGCTGATCAGTGGTGTGCTCCATTTAGCAAACTGTAATTGGCGAGTGAACCAAGGTCACCTACATCTCTAAATTGTTTCGGCACTGTCCATGCTGTGATGCTCTACGTAATCTTAATTACCTGTAAAACGGGTATTTTGCACTTGCGTCGTCTCACCAATAAACCTTTGTAGTTGCACGTGCAGGGAGTGTACTACCTGCTGTCTGTGTGTCGTCAAGTGGTCATTCATTCCATTTGGTTAGGGCAATATGCAGAAGTCGTTTGTAAGCAAAGTAGGCCGACCTTGTCGAAATTATGCATTTTGCCGCCGTTGGCTAACGCACACATACACGTGATGAAAATCATGTACATAATGTGCAAACGTTGTGTTCTTGCATTTGCTTTGCCCTTGCTCTCTCCTTGTTGTATGATGAGCTCCTGATGTCATCTCATACTGCCACAAATGGAGGTCTCATTGTGGAGTCATTATGGCATGCTATCCTTTTGAGCAATGGCCGCTGTGTTTATCTAGTGGATGTGCAGGCATGTGCAAATGTGGGATTAATGTACTTACACATGGTCTTTGAGCCGGCTGCTGATTATTCGAGTGTGTGGTAATTAGTGTTGAATATCAGGGGATGTCCCTTGTCACTTGCTTTCCTCTTGTGACCATCCAAAATACTTTGATGTTCTTTGACACACACTGTGGTGACTGGCTGGTCTCTATGTAGTCTTACTCAGTCTTGTGCAGTCTGAACATAAGATATGGAAACACTGACTGAACTGGCAAGACCCATTACGACGACCCATTAGACCACGCAATTCTGGGTCTTTGAAATAGAAACGTAGTCTATTCCCCAGACCGCTGCAGACTGCACAAGACTGAGTAAGACTATATGGAGACCAGTCTTTACAATCTCATATGAACACAAATTCATGATACTGACTCTATTTTCTCTACACACACACACACACACTGCAGGTGGTACCATGGGGCCATCACCAGAGCAGAGGCAGAGGCAGTTCTGGCCAGCAAACGAGACTTTAGTTTCCTGGTCAGGAACAGCGAGAGTTGTCGCACAGACTACTCTCTCTCTATCAGGTCAGGCCACCCCCTTCTCCCCTTACTACTCCTCCACCATTGTCATGTGTCTGTGAATACACGCGTGTCGTTTCTTCCGCGGAACCCTTCTAATTTGGACAAAATGGGACAGAAGAAAGTGTTAGTGAGGAATCCATGAATTGTTCCTTGAGAATGTGTTATGGTGTCCTGAGAGAGGGGTTCCATTGTTCATTACTCAAGGATTGTGGGTGATAGTCTGCGTACAACGCACATGTTAAGGCGATATATCTTGGCCTTGTGGGCAATCTTATGTACTCTGTTGCCATCAAAATGTACTTTGCGTTTTCCTAGCGTCCTGGCAAGTGTGCATACCATATTAGGCAGACGGTATATTATAGCCCCAACTAGAGCCCACTCGTTTGGAGCCATTCTGACTGCCAGCCCATTTCCACATGTAATGTACTATCGTACTCTGACCTGTAAGTGCATGTAGGGTATATACACATGTAGACCTCTCCTCTAGTACAGCAAAAGGCAGTGTTCTGTCGTGTTTGTCCTTCACCGCTGATGAGCCTAGCCCAGTCCTGCCAAAGGAGTTGGCCCAACCACAAACTACATGTGTACTGTGCGTATGTATGTGTACCTATAGCATGGTACAGCATGCAGTTTATAGACCATGTGATGTGATGCGATTTAGATTTCCATGGGGTGCAGAATAAGACCTAGTCCGTGGCCGTGTGGATTCCACTGCCCTGATGGCATTGAGTTTACCATTTGCCATTTGTACCACCAGGGGAATGTCCAAAACTAGGTCCAAAAATCTGGGAAGATATATCTTAGTCCTGGTACATAGGGTGTGATGGTCTCTAATGTGTACGTGTACGCTGCATTCAGTTTATATGATTACACTGCCTCTGTCATTATGGACCAGTATAGCAGCAGCTCGTTTCTGTATGAAAGATTTATTGTGTAAAACCTCTGTTTACATGTACGTAGACCTAAGGTCTTAGGAGGAACATTACCAAACTCAACAAACGTACATGTAAATGTATAACTGCCAATATTGTAGGGTGTGCATCACTTGTGAAAGCTCAAGCTGTAGCTTTGTTTCTTCTTTAGCCAGGAAGTGGAGGCATCGCTCAAACAGTCTCTCAGTACTTTCACATCGTTGTAGAGTCACTTGGTCACCCAGTCAAATCTCTGCGGGAGTGCTCAGCCTCAACTAGTTGGTAGGGACCACTTGGAGTTCGTACTAGCTCTCCAGGTACAACGCTACTTTGCTCCTCTCTCCCAAGCATTTCCACTAGTAATACAACTTTGCTCAATACTTCTTGTAAGGCAGAGGGAAAGTACAGCACACTCCTGATCATGTGCTAGTGTCATTGTAAGGAGGCCATTTTTATCCATGTTGCTACACTGAGGGGACTCTGAGACTGTGTTGATATGACTACACACTAGTAGTGGAGGTCTATATCTTTGTAGTGGGTCTGTCCCATTGTGGACTCATTTCCTTCTCTTCCATGGTGGCTCGGGAGAGAACCAGGGCTTAACCTCACTGGTTACTATTTTTAGCAACTACTCTGCCATTTTCAGCTTTATGACATAATCATAAATTTAGCAACAAAGCGGATTATGATCAGGGTCTTCAAGCAGTACTGTCTTGGTGCTACATGTACTCAGAGGAGGTCGACATCACGGGATTGCGTCATTGTAATGAAATTTATGCTGACACAGCATTTCTTTCCCGTAAAGAATGTGGTTTCAATGCGAATTCTCCGTCTTGTGTGTCAACAAACTCAGCATAGGTCGAGCAGTCGTCGAAGGTCTGCATTCCTCAGCGCTAATTGAATTCTTGTACTATTGCACAGCTGGAACTGTGTCCGACCTCTCTGTATGTAACTTGTATCCTTCTCTCGTCAGTATGGCTGCTCGTTCAGTTGTCTGTCCCTAAATGCCTCATTGCTATTACAAAGACAAGGCATATCTTGTGTGCAGCTGCACAAAAGCACTCTGCACAAACCCTTGACCTAATGTAAAATGTCATACACCCCATGTCAGGGTATCGTATATTTAGTCACGCGAGCACACTTTTGCAGTTCAGTTTGTTCAAAGTCTGTCCACTTCAATGCCATTACTACCTCCTGTGGTTCGTCATCCGTTGTCTAGTATACAGGTTAGATTGTCCCGTCTTTGTGTCGTATCTAGAGAATGTATGATGTAACTGTACAACAGGTATCTACTCGCATTCCCGTGCCTTATATGGACGAACTGAGTTTGCCTGCAATCTGTATTTTCGCGGGCGTGCCCTGCCGTGTGTCGTCGTGCGAGGCCCTTACCTGTCATGACAGCTGTCTGAGCTGCTTCAGCCTGGCGGCTACTACTAAGAGTTTACAGGAAGAGCAAACACATCACACCAAAGAACCAAAAAACAGAAACAGAGCAAAACACAACAAAAGAAAAGCAGCACCGTGCTATTATTTGCATCTTGCTTGTTTTCTCCGCGCCATAACTTTCATTCACACGTCACTTTAACGAAATTGTAGAACTTGAAATCACCTAGTGCAGCACTTAACTGTTGGTGGTGTCGTTTTTTTTGCCCTGGTGTCATGCACGTGGCGGTAGAAAACGTGGTAACTGACAGACAGATGGACTGAAGGACAGACATAGAGACACACCAACTGCTGTAACCCACGTTGTACATGTCTCCTGGGGTTTGCAGAATGGTAGGTAGACCGACATTGTGCACAAGGCGACAGAATAGCAATTATAGAAGTTTGTTTTGTCGGCCAGAAAGGCTCCAGCCATTGTAGAAATCGAGCACACATAAGTAGCTAGTTCTGATCCAAACATTGTGGCTTGTGCATTGAGATGAGGCACACTCCTCATGATTTCGTTACATAACACATTTTGCAACAGTGCAAGGTCTGTCAACCCTACCCCCTAATTCTCCATAACTTTGCATCTCGACCAAAAGTTGAAGGCTTTTGGATAACGCTATCGGAAAAACTCTATTAGAAAACTGAGGGATATAATAATATGTCTTAGAGCTCTCAGTAAAGAGGTATATACCACATTTCAACCCTTGCTCTTATCATACCTCTCCCTTCTCTCACTCCCTCCTCCACAGAGGTCGCTCCAGTGGATTCATTCACCTGAAAATAGTCTACGAGAGGAGTGGCTACGTGTTGGGCCAGTTCAGCAGCCACTTTCAGACTGTGCCCGAGTGCATCTTCTTCTACACTCAGCAGAGGCTCAACATTAGGGGAACTGACCACAAAAAACTGCGATACCCAGTGCCCAGGGATCACTATAAACCATGACATGCGGTGGCTCCTGGAGCTACACAACGTCATAGTGTGCATTATTTGAGAATTGTTCTGTACCTTATCTACTACAGTATATACTGTACATGAATCACCCTCCGTGTATTGCAAATGATGTGTGTGTGTGTCTGTCTGTGTGTGTAGGTATGGTACATGGAGTACATAGCCTTGATACTGTGTACTATGTATGTGTACATCTCACCTGTATGTATGTCTAGAACATTGTGTGTGAAACCAATATTGTCTACCACCCTCAATTATGCAGGTTAATGAAATATGAATAACATCAGTGAAAAATTATTCAAATAGCAATGAAAATCGGTCTGTGAATCCTACTGATGTATCTGGCTAATGTGTGTAGTCAGTTGAGGCGAACCATTGTACTATTTATGTATACTGGCGGTGTGATGTCATTGACCAGGGCCAAATGGATTAGTTTCAGAGGGTCTCATTGAGCCCAGGGTATGGTTCACCTCTCTGTGGTGACCCTCATCAGCTCTAATGGCCAGGAGCACATCCCTCATCATTGCATCACCCTACATCATAGAGACAGCAACACTGTTGTGACATTTGATCCATAATGCAGTCTATTTCTGATTGACACGAACAGGAAGTGGACTCCGACCTCCACTTCCAGGTCATGTCAAGTCATGTGGAGTCATGTATACACAGGCTTACAGGCAGTCTCCAGTAGCAGACAGCAATCTGAGGAGCTTTTGTATTCTCCCACATCTTCAGCTCCCCCTTGTCCAGACTCTGCAGTGTGCACAGTACACTCTAGTGGGCTGCTTGCTCACTAACAGAGCTGGCTATCAATCAAGTGTCATGTAGAATGGAGTATGTACCTCAATGCAGTGAGTGTAGGTCTTGACTGCCTCTTCCTCCAAGTAGCCAACAAACTTGTGGCAAAATCTGGGACTGAGGAAATACGCTATCCAGAACATACTCACAAACACACCTGGGGAGGGAGAGAAGGACCAGTAGGTTTTGAGAATGACAAGATAGACTTAAAATGTGCCAAAAGGTTAGTAAGGTTAGTAAAAAGGCCCTGGTAAGGTACACACTTCATGGAATCTCGTAAGCACTTTCTTTCAGTGGCTCACCCTGTGTTCCAATGACGGCAATCTTGAAGAGAGGTCCAGGTCTCCTCAGCTCCATAGCTGTGAGGAGGTGCATCCTCTCATTCTCTGCCTCCTCCAGCAAGGTGTGTATCCAGCCATGGTCCCGAGTCATGCGCCGCAGAGACTTCAAGTGACGCACCATCGCACCTATCATACCTGGAGACATGTAGAGTGTATTGGGTCACATTACAGTCAAGATCATATTGCTGGATCTTTCTCACCTGGTACTCCGGCCACTGTCTCAAGATAGATGATTCTTGACAGCCACATCTTCTCATCCAGTGTACCAAACCTCTTGCCCCACGAATACCCAGACAACAGATCAAACCCCGTCCTCAGCATCTGCACAGAGTAATAGGCAGCCTGCAGGGGAGTAGGGTCAGTGTTTGGAGTAGTTAGTAAGAGTTGTGTGACTGTGTACCGTGTCAACAGGTTTCTCTGGAGGAGTGTGAGTGATCTGGACAGAGTTCAATTCCTCCTCACTCCACACAGGGTGAGGCAGAGTGTATCCATCACACCATCCATCCTCCTGATGGCCAGTGGTCCCGGCAGCAGGTTGACTAGGTTTGCGGAAGTGGTCCAGAGACATTGGGAGGTCGTCCCGATCACTCCTGGGTCGTCCCTGAGCCCCAGTATTGGCTGGACCTGGAGCACTGCAGTGGAATGACCTCACTCTACTCTGCTCCTCCTGCAAACAACACTTGCACTAACTGATGTTCACGACCAAATGGTGTGGCATCACTGAGTAAGACTATAGCTAGCAGGATCTATGGTCTAACCAGGAGAGGTGACGGATTATTGAAGTGGACTGGTGAGACTGCAGCGTTGATGTACCTCCACGATCTCCTCAACTGCTTCCTTGAGACAGGCAGCAGTCTCCTCACTGCTGAACTTCCACTCATAATTGATTTCAGCCTTCTGCTTTATAGAGTTGAGCGGTGAATTTTTAAGAGCGGACAAGCCTTCTATCCTCACATTCCCACGCATGCGCTCTACGTTTGTTTATCAAAGATGGCTGAAAAGGCGGACCCTCCCTCCAGTTCTCCTCCACTGTCTCCGTCAGCGGACCGTTGGTCTCGTCACGAGATCCCTCTCTCTAGAAGAGAGGGCGAAGAGGTCTTAGCTCGCAGACTTAGGAGGGCACCACCTCGAAAGCCAGCTCCTGTTCCTCGCCGTCTATCCATTTGGATCCGGTAGAGCGTTATTCTTTTGTTTTTATACCTGAGTGTTGGTTGGTAGAGCTTGTAAAATTCGCAGAGAGATCTTAGAAGAGGTTTTCTAAGAATTGGCATTTGTTGTCTAGCTGACCTGATGATAGCAGTAGAGCAAGAGTTTACAGTACATCACTGTACTGTTACAGTAGTGAAGCAGCAGCTCTTAGCATGCAGTCACCAGTGGTTTTTTTACCTCTGTACTGGACTTTAGCAGGACATGTTAGGAGAAGTAATGGGCTCTATTTTCCAAGCTGTCATTAATAATGGTCACGTTTAGACTCTTGGAGTATGAGTGTGAAGTATAGGAAGGCACGAGCCACAGTCAGCGGCATTTGTTGGAGTCTGTCATGTTGGGTTGGGTTAGAGTACTTCATCTGAAGGGGGAAGTGTTGGATAAGACTGAGTTATTGGTCAAACGAGGGAGCATTTTTTCAAAGGTTTTTTTGGACGCACTTTATTTTTATGGGATAGAGGGAGGGAGAAAGAGGGTTAAATAGCAAGGTAAATCTTTCACTGTACGGAGGTATCTTCATGGTGGTAGTGACCCCGGGCAGATGAGGAACTCCTGGGTTCAATTAGGAGTGAGATGAAGGGAAGGAGGGAGGAGTGTCTTTTGTGTGACGAGGAGTGATAAATGTTGTGGGTGTCTTCTTGCTTATGGTGTCTGTAGAATCAGTCTCCGTCGTGTCGTCGTGCTGCATGAGTTTCAGAGTTTTTATATTCTTCTATATGTAATAGTTAATGTACGGAAGTCAGTGCTATGCGCGTAATAATGGTACGAGGGGCGTGGTCGACATAGTCATACAGCACGAGGCGCAGCCGAGTTGCTAGCTGTATGATCTATCGAGACCACGTTCCGAGTACCATTATCACGCGCACAGCGCGTGCTTCCGTACATTAAGTAATTTATTGTATGCGTGGGCGATTCAAAAGGCGGCGGCGACCAGGAAAACCGGCGTTCAGAACGGAAGAGAGGACGAGAAGCTCGCGGAGCGCCCTTCCAGCAGCGGTTTGTGTCACCGTCTGAGTCGAACTCCGTCTACGAAAGGCCGCCGAGGGCGTCATTCCCGCAAAGCGTACGCTAGTCCGCGGATAGAGTTCAAAAGGCGGCGGCCAGGAAAATCTTTTTTTTTGCAAGTTCAGAAGGACTAGAAGCTCGCCGAGCGCCCTTCCAGCAGCTGTTTGTGTCACCGTCTGAGTCAAATGCCCTCTTTTTAACGCACACCCTCTAGTGTACGACTAGCAATCGTTCGGGAGAAAGACAGCTGCAATAAAGCGCTTTAGTTTAGTCAAGCTGTGCGGTTGTGCAGAAGCCATGGTCATTTCTCGAGAGCTCAACGTTACAGGTATATACGTCAAAGCTATACTTTTCGCTGCTAGACTCCACACGAGTTTTGTAGCTGCCGCTCTGGCTCGCTTTCTCTCCCGCTATACCCAGCACTCTCGAATGCAACCTGTTGCAGTAGCAATAAAGCTGAAAGTCACCAAATACTGTTCCAGTCCACGGGAGCCTAAGCGTCGGGAAGCAGCTGTCGCTAGTTTTCAGACCGCGTATAGGGCAGTTTCTAGCCTGAAAACACTCCCTTCTGGTGAAGAAACAGCAGCACACAAAGAGTGTAAAAGCCCCCAATTGCATTCCACGCTGCCAATTTCCTACTATCGTCTAACTCCTGTAGACCCACTGTGGTTTATGCAAATAAGTTGACATACAGATAAAGTAGGGGGAAATTGTATGGCCTCTTTATGTTCCAACTACCCGTAGACTGCCAGCAGGAAGCGCTCACTACGCATCTACGTTGTTTGGACTAGCTGGAATTCCTTTGATCTTACTCTCAGTCATCATACAAAATGAGTTTATTGGTCCTTTGAGGCTTTCTATTTTTCTACCAGCTGTTGTTTTTATCCTGTAGCTGTCGGTTTTTTGTACATGATTTATTTTCTAACTATGTGTAAGGGAGGTTGGGACACTGGGTGTGTAGGGAGAGTTGGGCCCATAAAACACTCTTTAACCTACCGCCCCGGTTATCAAGGCTGGGCACCCAGGGTCCTGCCTCTTTCTTTCTGTTTATATGTTATTGTCTGTGTTTTGTGTGCTTGGGTGGGGGAGGTTCTTTCTTTTCCATTAACCCTCGGCGCGCATGCGCAGCGAGGGTTACAGTAGTCGTTCTGTCTGTCTGTCCGTCTGTCTGTCCGCGCGAGTTCTAGCACTACAGGCTACGAGGCGGCCAATGAGTGGCACCAACGGGTTGTGAACGACGAGAAGATCGATATTAATGTGGCGATTTTCCTGAAACGACTGCGTTCCAGAGATATGGCGTGAAAACAAGCGAAAAAGCTTACGCGAGCGATTCATCGCGCACGGGGTGTATCGTTTTGCCGGAGCATCAGACGCGAGCGATCCATCGCGCACGCGCGTATGTCGTTTGCCGGAGCATGCGCATCTGCTAGATTCCGCGTGGTTATTTTAGTTGACCTTGGACGAGCAAGCGGTTCTTGAGTTTCTCTCCTCGGTCAGTGTTGATATCTGTTGTCGATGGACAACAAACTGAGCAAGGTATGTCCTCAATGTAGCACAGCAGTTCACGTTAGATGAGCAGTTTGTGGATGCGGCCACTATGCCTTCCCATCTAAGCATGAAGCGCAGTCTGGCAATATTATATCCCAAGTAACGAAGCACAGTAGAATGCAAAAAGCGAATGTGAGAGCCTTCGAAACACCTGAGCAAACTTTGAACAGGCAAGAGACGGATAAAGTGCGTAGCACCCGCAAGAGAGCCTCTGAAACACTCCGCGAGCTACTCCAGCGAGTAAACGCATACTGCAAATAGCCGCCCATCAATTAGTGGTACCACGCATGCACAGTTCGCCGAGGGTTTGCACTAGTGCTTTTCATTAACCCTCGGCGCGCATGCGCAGCGAGGGTTACGGTACTTGGGTCTGTGTGTCTGTCTGTCTGTGTGTCTGTTACTCTTCATCTCACTTCTAGAGTGTTCGTTCGTCTCACAAAGGATACCACCTACTGAACGGGCAATGAAGGTCAGAAATTTCGACCGGATTTCTCTGAAAACGCTCCGTTGCAAAGCTAGAGCGCGAAAAAGCCAATATGCAAATACACAACGGACGGGATGGCTTACCACAGTCGGATCGATCCGCGTGCTCTGCGTACTTCGGAGGCACCAGAAGATGCAACACAGGGCGTGTATCGCCTCTCGCATGCTATCTAGTAGTGTAGTTAGCTTGCGTCAGACTCTGCACGAGCTGGCAAGAGACCACGAGTAACAGCTAAAACTAAACCCACCCCATCAATTAGTTGTACTGCGCATGCGTTTACTTACGCGTGCGTGTCACAGTGCGCCGAGGGTTTGCACTTCAGTGCTTTTCATTCTTTTAGCTAGTATGCTATAAACCTGTTTTTTCTAAAAACTACTCACACTTGATCGCCAAAATTCTTTGTATCAAGGTACACATTTCATCCACAATAATGCCATTACTACTGGGTCCCAGTTCTAGGTGACTGTGAGAGTAGATGCTGGGTTCACAATTTTCTGTTAAAATAATCTCTATATACTGCTTTTCCATACAGGGCATTCATATACTACCGGAACTCCAGGTACATATGTTACCTAATCATACATATAATATACTTTGTTGTACATTTTCTAGTTTGCGTATGCATCATAATGTTGCTTGTCTCCATTCAATACCCTTTAATCTGTGGCACTCTGCTAGGATTGTCTCTGAGCACATATGCGTAGTGAGGTTTATAGTTTGTGAGTCTGTCTTTGGTTTGTCTGTTTACCATTATTACAGGCTACAAGGCTGCCAATAAGTGATACCAACACTGTCAGTGCTATGTAGACGTGAATATTACTGTTTCCCATGAAACCACTGCATTCGAGAGTTTTGCATGAAACACAAGCAAAAGAGCCATTAGCATAGGTAATGAGCAATGGCTTACCTCGACCGATTTTAAAACACCGTGGAGGGCACAAAGTTACTCGTAAGATGAGTATCCCGTCTAGTATTGCTCCACACACTACTCACTGGTGCTACTAGACTCTGTTGAAACTGAGTGAACGTGTGGCGTGGCCCTGCCAATTAATCATTGTGTACATTGCCTCATTTGCGCCGAGGGTTTTGACTTTTAGGTCTTTGGTTGGTATAAAATACCAATGTTTTTGTAGAGAAGTAGCCAGCATTCCCAGACAAACATGAGATGGTGATCTGTCTTCCATCACCTGTTGTCCTTTACTGTTGCACTAGTGAAGTTAGTGTGTATACTGGCAAACATCATCAAGGCAAAACCATTTGCCAAACCATTGTACTCCAGTGTAAGTGATCGTTGTCATGACTGTAGAGGAAGAAGAAGGAGAAGAAGGAGAGAAGAAGGAACTAGAGTCAGAGTTGGAGAAGTGTAAAGATGAGGAGAAGAGGAGAGAACTGGAGAAGAAGATGAGAGATTGTGATGAGGTAACATTACATGACTGTTTTTGATGTCACATTGAGTACAGGCATGCCTGAGTTGTGCAAACACTCTGTGAACCCCATGATACATGTATCTGCTCCATATGGTTGTGTGTAAGACTGTAAAAGCATACTCTAAGGCCCATGACACTTTTTCTGGCCCCATTACAGCATGTGTATTGAAGCACATAAAACAGAGCCAGTCACATGAACATGTAACAATAGACCATGTGATGCCGAGAGAAAAAAGATGGGGAGCTCTGGA